TCTGGTCCGTGGAACAGGAGTGGTGATGGGTTGAAGCCCAAGGGCATTTAACGTATTGGTAGTTGTGCGTTCAAGATAAAGAATGTGTTTCCATAGAGAATGGCCATGATGATGAGGGAGGATGAGGACAACTAATAACCAGTGATTGATGAAATCATAGGTCAGGAAATCGAAAGATCGTTGGTGAACCATGGAATGTGGCTGCTAAACTAGTGTCAGATTGTGCAAGAGCAAGTCACCACTGGGAATATTACAATAAAAAATGAGTTAGTTAAAGTAGAGAGGCTTAGGAGTAAGTACTGACCCAGATGAGCAACCTAGTGAAATAGTAAAGAAAGGAGAGAGAACAATTGAAGGCCTAATACTGGATGAGGATGTTGCAAAATAGAATGTAGAAGAAAAGAGAGAAGAAAAACTGTACAGAACATTTATAGAATGGTGTAAAAATAGTGACAAACAAGTAATAACATTTGGACTGGGCCAGCCCACATCATGCATATGAGAGAGCCGGGTCAGCCCAGTCACTATATAAACCAGCGGTGGGCTAGCCCGCATCATGCGTAGGAGAGAGCCGGGTCAGCCCAGTCACCATATAAACCAGCGGTGGGCTAGCCCACATCATGCATAGGAGAGAGCTGGGTCAGCCCAGTCACCATATAAAACAGCGGTGGGCTAGCCCGCATCATGCATAGGAGAGTGCCGGGTTGGCCCAGTCACCATATAACCAGCAGTGGGCTATCCCGCATTGACCAGTCACTGTCTTTTTCTTTCCGCTTTTATGCTTACATCCAAAGTAATATGTGATGACACTTACTCCAATAAAACCTGGAGTATTGTGGTGCAGGGTATGTTCCAATTGTGCAAATTAACCAGATGGAGTGTAAAATATGTCAGTACCTGGAGTGAGGGCACAGTCAAGAAGGATTTCTAGGTCAAGGACCTCACCCCGACTTACATTCTTCCCTCATCTTCAAAGACAACCCCCCCTGTCTACCACAAATAGCACCTTACCTGACTTACATTCTTCCTCAGTCTTCAAGACAACCCCCCTGTCTACCACAAATTTATTCCTGCCTCCTCCAGCTGCTTTGATTTTGTAGGTCAAGAACCTTACCCAACTTGCATTTCTTCCCTCATCTTCAAAAGACAACCCCCCTGTCTACCCACAAATTTCTTCCTGCCTCCTCCAGCTGCTTTGAATTTTTGTAGGTCAAGAACCTTACCCAACTTAATTCTTCCCTCATCTTTCAAGACAACCCCCCCTCCTACCACAAATTTCTTCCCGCCTCCTCCACTGCTTTGGATTTTGTAGGTCAAGAACCTTACCCAACTTACATTCTTCCACATCTTCAAAGACAAGCCGGCCCCCCCCCCCTCACCACATATTTCTTTTCACTTTCTCCATTCGTAGGTCAAGGACCTTATGAAGACAAACATTATACTCTAAGTGTCTAAATGTGTGGGTAATTTTTCATGAGAAATGACCCCTGACACCCCCTGTGTATTCATATAATAAAGTATCTAGGATGACCCAGATGGGTCATGGGACAGATCAAATACATTGGCCCAGCAGGCCCAGGCTTCGTGGGGAAAGTGTTGAATTGGCCCGGGATATAACCTGCATTGCCTGGGAATACCACCTAAGATCATGCCTCTTAGGGTAAGATTGTAAGCCAGAATATATGTACCTAAGAGGTACTTTAACAGGGGTGACTGAAGTGCTCATGCTAACATTATTATTTCAGTGTCCTGAATTGGTGTATGCTTTTGGGCTAGTACCACCAGTTGGGACTCCCGAGCGGCATATACGATGAGCTGGTCACTCGCTCTGGCCATAACCTCGCGCCTTCCCTTCTTTGAGAAATGCCATTCTATCTTTTCTTCTCTTCATATTATCCCTATGGCGCACGTCAAGGACGGAGAAGTTGAAGGCAGCATAGCAAACATAGACGGCCAGCCGGATGAACCCAGCCACGACTCTACGGCAACAGAAGCATCTCTGCAGGCTTGATAGAGACGCAGAATTGCGCAACTGGAGGAGAAGCTGGAGGTTCTCAAGGCTGGGTGTGCTTCCAAAGAAAGGTATAGTCATCACTCCATATATGAAGTTGGCATTACTCACCATCGGGCAGGCAATCAAACTATTATATAGCTGAAGGATGGGCGATTAGGCATGTTATTGCTTTGTTTGACAATGTTGAGGACCTCATCACCGAAAATGACTGAAGATATGACTTAAATGATGACGATGAAAGTAATATTGAGTAAGTCTTTCGCCCCTCAAGCTAATTTGCGAGTGCTAAACATGCACTGGTTTCTATAGCCAAGATCGACTGCAGACGGGGTACATCAACCTCACCCATACCTTGCCGTGGTTTCATAAGAAAGGCATGGAGATGGAGTATAATGATTATGTGCACATGATGAAAATGGTCGGCTTTCTACATGTCAGTGATGGACTTTGTTGTGTTCATAACCTTTCTTTAGCCTCGGCAGGGGGCTGACAGTGCTCGAGGTGATGATACCTCGAAACTCAAGACACTCATTGCCGAATGGGTAAATCGCAAATTCAAGCCAGATCACCCAGTCGACCCCGACGACAAACATTCCCGTGGTTTTAGCAATGACGCATGTGGCAGACTGCTCTGTCCGGCTGAATTTGATTGGAACAACCCAGCGTAAGTGTGTGTTCAGAATACTGTGAAAAGACACTCATTATTCAGTAGTGTAAAGGCAGGTATCTGAGATCGCTCAGAAGGCTATATCGTGACGGATCTGTCCTTTCCAGCATTCCTTTATGACAAGTACCAGAGCAATCTAGATGATCTGGAGGAGGGGCTTTTCAAAGGTAAAATTCTTCTTCAGGTATGTCGCACCCGAGTAGCATGATGGTGATCTCACAAGTTCTTGTAGGGTTACAAAGCTGTATTCACCTCGCCATCCTCAGCCAAGGACATCAACGGTGATGGTGACGGGGTGGATGTCATACAAAACAACAGACTCGCCAAGAAATCCTCTGCCAGCGTCAAAGTCAAGAAGCTTGTAGCGGAGATCATCAAAATGAGAAAAGTCAATCCTCGTTCTATCGCCTATATTGCGTGCCAAGTAAGTTGTTTAGTGAGGTTAATGATACAAATGACGACTAAATTGGCAGGTTTGATTCGCCCTCTCTTCTATCACCTCATGGTGGTCCGTTGATGGGGATTTTGACTACATACAATTTTGGCGGACCATCGTCGGCTTTTTTGAAAAGCTCCTTGAGTGGTGGACTAGGTACATTATATTAACGCTCCTGTTGTCTCAATAAACCTCACCTAACCTCTGTCATTTAGGAAGGTATTTGGAAGGAATCACCGCAATGATATTAGTAATATGGCAAAGGCCAATATGTTCGTCAACACTCTCGCAAGGCAGAGGGCACAGCGTGATGATGCCACATTTAATTCACCCTAAGCTCTGTGACCCCCACCTCCCTTACAATTATAGTGTTATCTATATACTATTATACTATTATTCTACCACAAATATCATGATAATTGCATTTTGTGAAACAAAAACCTCAGAGTGCAGTCCAACTTGGCCTCATTGTGTTTGATTGGCTGAATCCAAGACCTACAGCGCAACCATGGCTATGTCCGCATTTTCAAGTATTTGTGCTGATGTCACAATTCAAGTATCAGATTACAGACCTGCCTGTAGGTTGTCAATAAGCTGGATCCAGGACACACAGTACGACTACAAGGATCTGTAAATCTTATAGTGTTCACGTGAATATCTCACTTCAAGCACTAGGTTACGAATGTGCCTGTGGATTTTTGATCAACTAGATCCAGGACACGCAGCACGAATATGAGGATCTGTAAATTTTATAGTCATCACGCAAATATCACACTTCGAGCACCAGATTGAGGATTTGCTTGCGTATTTTCCATACACCGGATCCAGGAAATGCAGCATGACTATGAGGATTTGTATATCTTATAGTGTTCACACAAATCTCACCATTCAAGCACCAGATTACAAACCCATTTGTGTATTTTCGATCAGCCGGATCCAGGACATACAGTGTGACTATGAGGATCTGTGTATCTTATAGTCTTCAGGTGAATATCACAATTCAAGTGCTGGATTGAGGATTCGTCTGCGTATTTTTGATAAGCTGGATCTAGGACATATGGCACGACTACGAGGATCCATATATTTCTAGTCTTCACGCTGATATCACATATTTTATAGTATTCACGTGAATATCACACTTCAAGCACCAAATCACGGATCTTCCTGCGTGTTTTCGACAAGTTGGAACCAGGACGTACAGAGCGAGTCATGAGGATCTGTATATTGTATAGTATTCACGCGAATATCACACTTCAAGCACCAAATCACGGATCTTCCTGCGTGTTTTCGACAAGCTGGATCCAGGACATACAGCACGACTACAAGGATCTGGATACTCTATAGCCTTCACGCGAATATTGCAGTTCAAGTACCAGATCGTGGATCTTCCTGCGTATTTTTGATAAGCTGGAACTAGGACATACAAAGTGACTATGAGAATCTCTATATTTTAGTCTCGTATCAACCATAGTACAGAAAGTATTGGCCTGTGAGATGATCAATCGGAGGTCGTCAAATGGTAAGCGGGGGTAAGTTTTCTACTCAAGTACTATGCAACAACTGCATAGTGTCCCGTGCACGCCTATGACTTCTTGGGACTGCTGCGGAATGCTATAGCATCTTCGAACACATTCCCAACTGATATATAGTATGTAATCATCAGCCATTTAAGGAAAATGACGTTGATAGCGGAAGCAGTACCCAAACTTAGGCTTGCTCGCTGGATGAACGCGTTCTCGTTGCCTGGAAGACATGAGCTTTCGTTCTTACACGAAAGATTGTCATACAGTTGACAAAAATCAGCCATTTCAAGAAGGTTGTGTTAATAGCTCAAGCAAGACACAAATTCCTTCAAGTTTGAGTTTGAGTGATATCAGGAACTTTTCCTAATCATCAACCATCGTAGGAAAATGAGGAAGTCACCTTTCCTCTATAAGGACAAATATAACAATGTGATGCTCGATAGCAGAATTGTGCTAGTTCTGGTGATTATGTACTATGTATTGTGATATATTCCCTTCTAAAACCTTCACCGGTTCACTGATGGAATAGTTCAAAAAACCCCTCCTTCCACCCATGCGCATTCCTCGCCTCAACAATCCCTCTCACCACCAAATCCTGCGTGACAAACAACCGCCTGCGCCACGTCCCGAATTCACTGAACATACATCGCACATCTAAAAGGGATGTAACTTTATGCGTGGCTTGTTTTTAGACTCGTGACCAGTCGCCTTATACAGCAGTGATGAGAAGATGTGGTGGGTAATACTACATTCCACCACAACTCTCACACAAGACAAGGCAGCTGGTGACGAGACTAGTTTGTTCTGTTGCATGCCCATACTCAGTAGCACAAAAGAATCAAGAACCGAGAAAGGAGTTGACTCACCTTCTCGATCAGTATAATCCCAATTCTGATCCGCATACCAAAAATACATCTCACAAAGATACGCCATGAGCGGGACCTCCCATAAAACCATCTCCAGCTACGAGCCTCTTGCTTCGATCTTGATGCTGCCCATATCGGGGTCATAAGAAGACGGGAGGAAGGTGACAAAGATCTATGGGTGCGCGTCAATGGAGTACAAGGGAAAAGAAGCATATGATCACTTGATCAGGTTTGAACCTGTAAGACTAGAGATAATCAAGGCGCGCAGGTTTAAAATACTTGCATTTATCTTGGAGCCAGGGGTGTTTGTCTTGTGTCAGTTGTGCATCAGCGAAACCTGCAAATACTAAATCAGGATAAAGATGGTTGGAAAGACACGAACCATTCAGTGATTCTCAATACATGCTCTAGAGAACTGATGGTACTTGTCACGGCACATGAATCAATAACGACTTTTGCAGTGGGATAGCATCCGAAAATAGCCTGTTGCATCATGAACTGCGCAACTGCTTCAACATGGCAGGAGAAGCATTTGAGGTGACGATGATAGTGTTGCTGTGATACATGCCCTGTACAAGTCAGTGCCTAGGATCGACGACCTTGAATTCAGAGTGGACATCTGGGACGCTAGCACTGGTGTTGCTTGTCATGATGATGATCGATGGAGTAAGAGGTTGCTTCAAGTTATCGGACCGGTACTGATCAGGAGTCTTCGTACATAACTGAAGCTGTTAGCTATAGTGGGCATGAATGTCCTACATCTCCTCAGTCCATCTCAAGTCCAGCCTCAATCCCCCGTCCATTCCCTAAGCACATTCATTATCTTACTCTAGAGCACCTTGCCCGCATCACACATGACTCTGAACACCTCCTCAAAGTGATCCATATGCAACATGGTCTCCATCTGGACGAGTGTTGATATTCCTGTAAGAGGCATCATGCCCACCACGACGCCCGGCACGTCGTATTCTTCGACTGTGGTTAGATCGAGTAAGGATTGGGTGCCATGCACGCCTCAGCTGATAGCGCAGACAAAGTAGAAAGATGGGAATGCATGCAGTTGCAAAGGCGAGAGTGGAGGCGTTTATGCATGTGAGGAGGAGACCACCATCGAGCTGGAGGACGTAGATGAAGATGTCGGTTGTGCTGTGGGGGTAGAAATGGGTTTGAATGATGCATTCGAATGTGCTTTTGATTGTTGCTGCGAGTTCGAGCAGGCACCTAAGTGGCTTTATATGACCGATAAAGCGCATGTAAATGAGATTTACTTGTTGCCTCTGCCTCTTCTTCGTTCGCTGACACCAAAAGGGCCAAGCTAGATTTCGACGTTTAGTGTCGCACGATTGTAGAATATTTCGCATCTTGTTCTTGGTTTTGCTTTGTGCGGGCCAAGGACTGAGACCTAGACTTGTGTGAGTAGGTGACGCTGCCGTCTGCAATTCCTTGTGCTTCGAAGTTCATGGGTAGTGTTCGTAGTTCATGAGGCTTGTGACCGTCACTTCAAAGAAGACCAGCGTGGAGTAGTTCAATACAGGAGGACTGGATGTGAATGGATGGGAGGTTATGGTGGGATGGAGTACATTGAGCGAACCATGGTTAGTCTGAGAGACAAGAAGAAAGTCTCACGCCAAAACTGAAGTACATTTTGGTTGTCTTATCTTATACAGTGCTATTGATTGTTTGAAGCATGCGAGCCATTAATTCTCACCGGCATTGTGTTCGACCTTTTTTTTTCCTTCATTCATTGCACCATATACTGCATACAAGATTGGACCCTTGCCCAATTTTGCTCCTCAACAAACTGGATGGCAGGTGAGCGTCTAGCCGAGCAAAGAACGCAGTTCTAGAAAGCGCTTACGCCAGAGCTTTCCCCTATTCCCCAGGACGTCTAATTTTGGATTAGTAGCTTGTGTGTAAATGAGACCAATATGATGCAAAATTCTAGGGATACTGTTCATGTGGAAGTATTGTCAATGCATGAAATGAAAATGTCCCATCCTTCGCAGCTACAATATCTCCACCGTCCTGATGTCCATCATGTCATCAACAGAAGCCATGTCCTTGACGCAGGCGATGATACTGTGATCCGTAGCAATCCTCTTATACTCCCCACCCCACTGCTGCGCTAGTAAAAATGTGCCAAAAGGCTGTGCGAGGCGAACGATCAACTTCAACTCTCGTGTAGCCTGCTCGCTGTATCCAGGATAGCCGACAGACGTATCATCTGACAGAGACCCAGGCTCGCCCCAATCTTCCACACTCTGCATCTTGTCTGCGAAGTGAATCAGCCCGAGATCATACCGATTCCACGGACAGATGAGTAGGAATGTCTGCCGAGTACGCCTAGCAGGCGAGAACTGAACCAGCTTGTCTTCCATTGTGACCAGCAGGTCTTGTAGCCCATCTGCCTTGACTTCATATGTGAAAAATTTATCCCCATCTCCACCAGTATTCCGCCTGACTTCTGTGAGAGGAAATGCGATGCAGGGCAATTGGAGTCTGGCATTTGCGAAACGAGGAACGCTGAGGTTTTCAAGAGTGGTATACAGTCTTGAAGCCGACTCCACAGCTACAATATCGTTTCACAGCATGGAGGCCAATATCTGCATGTCGTGTTCAGATAGAAATGGTAGCGTGCATGGCAGAGCCTTGTATGAGGAAATTTCAGCTGGGAGACAACTGTTGAAGTTGGACAGTCGTCCTACCCAGTCCAGGGCCGTGATGTTGCTAGAATGGGCTATGATCTCCTGTAAGAGACGTCCGAGCGCATTTTGCCTTTTTTCTCCGTAGAATACAGGAAGGTGGACGCCGAAGATTCCAAACAGCGAATATGCAATGTCTTCCTGCAACGTGGTGACACGCGTTGATGCCCACTGAAGTTTCTCTTGGGCATTGCTCATTCCCGGGTGGAAGGCAACGAGCGCCTGCGCATTTATGCCAGTTGAACGTTCCAACTCCTGTGTGATAGCGACAGACTCTTTGTGGTTGCGAGAGCAGTCGTCAAGATATAGGGTCCAATCTGCTTGGTAGAAGAGAACAATTTTAGGAGCGAGGAACTCCTGAACAGTCCATCCTTGCGTATTCCAAATGCTGTTTGCGAGTGCACCCGACTTTGACGAAGGAGAAACATCCGATAGGTAGACGATGGTGAGCGCTGAGTAGTGATACCAGATGAACATGGAGTTGACTGATTGCTGGACCTCAACATGGTTGTTCTGGTCGATGCAGCACGTATCAACCCACGCCCAGCAATACCCCTCATTGCGAGTGACTTTGCAAAACTTCTGCAACTTCACGATGGTTCCGACTGGATTCAATTCGTATACGTTCCTGCCCTGAATGTCGTGCAGCCCCGGTGTGAAAGAGTAATAGCGACTAGGCTGGTTAGAAACTAGTGCTACTTATCCAAATAGGCGCGAGTGTAATATTCGACCCAAGAGGACTGCTATTGAAGCAACTCCCTTCAAATATGCAAGGGTAGTGACGATGCGAAGGACTAATAAGCTATAGCAACCTAAGACCAAAAACCAATGAGTAGCGCTGTAGTGATCAGCGACTAGCGACAAGTGAGTTCTGACAGAGAAACGTGCATATAAGTAAGTAGCGCTATGCAAGTTGTCCTATGCGATAGCGCTATGCGTCGTCCAACTAGTGACAGCGAGAAGAAATCAAAAGAAGGTAAGGCGAGGGATAAGGTATGATAGTGCAGGTGGAATGCCTGATAGCGACTAGATTATAGCTCGACTACCAACAGCGATCCCGACATTGCGAAGATCAAACTTATGAAGGAACTTTAGCGATGCACACTTGAAGCAAGTCAAGCGACACGCGATCAGAGAGATTGGCAAGAGCAGAATCGATTGCACCAAAACTAGGATATAGCGACTAAAGTGACTCCGACACCAGCAAAGGTCTGGGGAAGGGAAGTACTGTACTGTATGTAGGATGGGTCATTTTATCATACTGCGTAGGGGTTTGGGATGCATAGGCGAGTATAGTAGCGACACTGGCGAGGGCACGATGTAGCGACAGGTAATAGAACATGCAGCGCTGCGGAACATGAGGACACATGTAATAAGACCTGCGACTGATGAGTAGCGACATTTAAGGAAATATAACGCACCAGTGGAGGTAGGTGGACATAGGCAGGACATGGAAGGGCGGAACACCTAGACGTCGGACCGGGGTAGCGCGCTATGGGGAAAAAGTGGTTCCAAAGCGGATAGCTTGGGAGCTGAATAGCGCTGGTGACTAGCGTCTTACTCTTTTCTTCTAGGCAAGTCAAAATATGCCTATGACATTCATACGCGCCTAGCGCCGGTATGATTGTCACACCGGTTCCTTGGTCCCCCACCTATGGGATAACATGACCCAACTGAAGTGCTTGACGACTGCTTTTTCGATGAGCTCCGTTTGAAGGGGCACGTGCATCACCAATGAATCCAAAAGCTCTTTGAACTCTGTACTCTCCGTAAATGCATTGATCTGTGCATTTCGATCACATATATGCCCAGTGATGGTGTTGATTAGACGAAGTGGAGCGTTTTCCAGTTGAGCGTCAATGGCTCGTCGAATAGCATCAGATGGACTGACATATTGCTGGCGTAGCTCTGCAACAAATGTAAGTCATCTTCAAGTAGGCGCTCGAGTTGTTTGTGGCTTACGTCGTATCTGTGGGTCAGGTGTATTGTCCAACTTGGAGAACATGATTGTCAAGGCCTCGAATGCATCATCATATCGCTGTGCTCTGTGAAGCGCTGCATGCTTCAATTTGTATCCAAGATGAGACGAAGGGTCGAGCTCAATGACCTACGAACATCATCACAGATGTTAAAACAATGACGGTATCGTCCGCACCTTTTCCGCATCCAACAGGGCCTCCACATAGAGGTTTTGTCCCAACTTCACCTTACTGCGGTGTGCGAAGTATGAGGAATTTGTCCCAAATACTGTGGAAAGTGTATTCTCAACGGACCAGAATTGAAGATTCCCGGCATAATCTCCACTTGCGAGCTGTCCTCCACTGGGAGAAATTGCGACGCAGTAAACCAATGTAGTGTGTTTGAGTGGCTGTCCTATTTGCTCGCGTGACTTTGTGTTCCACAGGCGCACAGTCTCATCTTTTGAGGCAGTGGCAATAAAGAAGCCATCAGAAGATATGGCAAGTGACGTGATGGGGAAAGTGTGACCGGTGCAAGGTTGACCGATCTGGGTCCCATTTGACGAGTCCCAAAACTTGATTGTTGTGTCTTCTGATGCAGAGATAAGTTGCTGGCCGTTGGACGTCCACACCACACCGCGAACAGAATCTTTGTGAGCGTCGATGTCAAATAGAAGCTCGGCATTATCGGTGCTCCAAATCCGGATCCTACGCGATGCTCCGAATGCTAATTTTAGCCCATCCGGGCTGAAGGCGATAGACAACACCGAACCTTGATCAATAATATTCCCGAGTGTTGAGAGAATAGCGCCAGTCTCCACATCCTATATCATAACTTCTCCACTCCATGATCCACTTGCAAGTTTCTTTACATCCGGGGAGAAGCACACCGACCAAACCTGTTCTGTCTTTACCATCCGTTCGAATACCATCTGCTTTCTCTCGACATCCCAGATGATGATAGTTCCATCTTCTCCACCACTCGCAATTCGCCTATCGTCTGGCGATACAGCGACTGAAAGCACATTGTCGTTGTGTCCCTTGAATGGCCCTCCCACCAATGTTCCTTGCTCCACGTCCCAGATTCGCAGGGTTTTATCCTGTGAAGCAGTGACAATCCGTCGACCATCTTTGAAGAACGCGACTGCTGACACTTTCTCATGTGCATTCGCATCGTTTGTGTCTGCGCCGGCTGGGCTGTTTGTGCTGGCGGGGTGGTCTGCGCTGGCGTCGCGCACCTTCTCACAGTAAGATATGCTTTTTTTGCTACATCGAGCAATCCTGACATGTCGCTAGACAGGAAGTCGGACGGTCAGTAGTGTTTGAAGCTAATGAGAGGCGTACTCTGCTGCCGTCGTCAATCTTATGTGTCGTGAGTAGAGCTGTATTTCTGCCCATAACCCAATTCATGTAGGCTCTTTATATCTCGTTGGCCCCTACCACGTTGTTGCAACGTGGATCTCATTTCGCCCCTTCCATCTTCCATCAGTGCCTTAGCGGACCAAGTACTTTCTGCTCGTCGACATCCCAGATCATCATGGCATCAGCTGTACTGCTCGCAACTCACAGTCACCGGGTGATACAGCGACTGGACATGTGGCCTCACGCCTCCAGTGTCCCCTGAATGGCCCTCCTACCAATCCTCCTTTTTCTAGTATATCCGAATTGCGCGCAATATGGTCCGAACCAGTGACAATCTGTTGACTGACGTTGAAAAACGTGACTGTTGACACCATCCTCGTGTGCCCTGGCATGAGCATCGTCGGCGTTGGTTGTGTTGTCTGCTCCAGTGTCGTGAACCCTCTCACAGCGAGATACGCCGTTCTTGCTCCATCAAGCACACGCACACTTACCAACATGGTCAGTAGGATTTAAGTTGACGAGAGTGCTTCATGGTTATATCATCAATCTTGTGTGTTATAAGTAGAGCTATGTTCTGCCCATAACCCGATTGATGTAGCTTGTCCGTGGTTCTTTTCAGGGTTCTTGATGGCTCTTACCCTCTCTTACCACGCTGCAATGGTGTTGCTTCTTCGCATCAACATTGTCCCTCATAAATGCCCGTCATATATAAATCATGTGTACAGCAAACCCGCTTCAATGAGCATCGGTCTGGTACTCTCACAGTTAATTCTGCAGATGAGTATATTCTATTCTACTTTCATCATCCTGTGTAGTACACAATGCATTCTGCTTCGTCGCGAGATCTAGAAGGCCTAGAGCGATCTCTAGGCGCCTTTTGATATTGATGGGGTGCTACATCCGGGGCACACGGCGACCAATGCATCTTGCTCTATCTTACTGGTCTGCGCTCTAGACCTCATGTGCAAGTTTTCCGTCGTGCGTAATTGCACTAGCCCCAGATTGTTGTTGACACTGACAGTCACCTCTTCCTGCTCATGTGGACGATAATCTCCCAGGAACGCATTCGATGCAAACACGCCTAAAAGACGCTTCAAACAGAGGATCATTTCATCAACGCTCTTCATGGTTCTATCAGTATTGTCGGTATCCTTCATCTCTGGTGTAATGATTGACGTTGGCAAACACAATCTTTGCCTTGGGGATGGCCGAACTATGACGGACCAATGAGGTATTTCTGCTCGACACGAACAGTTACTAGTCAAGTACCAAGTAGTTGGTACTTGAGAACCTCTGGGAATGAAACCCTGCGGTGACTGCCACAATACACGCCTTCTTTGCAGATTAGCATTGGTGCTGGTGTTGAGGAATATAGAAGGAACGACCGAGTACTGAAATGGATGTAGGCACAGAGTCACCCATCCAGGATTGACGAAGCTACCGCTACGATTGACGCACATGTCTACACGGGTGAGTTAGACGAGCCGTGCTTCTAGCTCTACATTGGTTGCACTAACAGTGCATTCAATGTGAGGTGCAAAAGCACTTCAGCTTGAAGAGTGGTTTTACTCTTGAGGATGGGAAGTTGCCGAGCTAAATAGTGTCACCCACAGGACTTCCACGGCCTTCTACTTCTGCATGGACAGTCGAGCACCAAGTATTGGTATTTGAGATCCTCAGTGAGAGATGAAGCCTTGTGGTGCCTGCCATATACGCGCCTCATTTACAGATTAGCACTTGCACTAGTGTTGAAGCGGATGTAAGCACTGGCAGACACACCTGTGACATTCAGTGGATGAGCTGTACCTCTATCTTGCTGTTATTGCACTGGGGGTGTTGAGTTGGCACTGCGTTGAGGTGCAGAAGGATTTGAAGAGTGATCGGAAGGTATCAAGTCAGACCTAAACTGTCTTCAGATAGATGGCGGTGTGCATGACAGCCCGTTCAACTACGAGGAAATATCAGCTGGGGGACTGTTATTAGACTCGGATGATTTCCCGGCCCAGTCAGGACAAAATACCGCCCTGAATGAGCTATGCGCATTTGTCTCTTCTCGCCATAGATTAAGGGGAGGGGGATGCCAAAAATAAGTACGCGATGTCTTCCTGCAACATGGTGACATGCATCGATGCTTACTGGAGTTCTTCTCGGGCGCCTCTCATAAAGCGACGTGCACCGTGCATCTCTCTCAGACGTATATAAGTTTGATTTATGAGGGCCTCTGGCAGGGTAAGGATGCGAAAAACCACAAGACTGTCTAGCCTAGTACCCTCAATGACGATTCAATTATACAATTGGATTATTCACTTGCCTGTTTTACAATACCACATAATTTTCCATGCAGGGGCTGTCGAGGTATGAATGAAAATGAGTGAAAGATGCTCGTTGTTCAACAAGAATGCAGCTACAATATCTCTAGCATCCTGACATTCATCATGTCATCGACACGAGTCATATCCCTAACTCGTGTGATGATATTGCAACCTGAAGCGATTCTCTTATACTCCCCACCCTGCTGCTGCGCTAGTAAAAGTGCGCTAAAAGACTGTCCAAGGCGAACAACCAACTCCAACTCTCGCGTGCGAGACCGCTTCTGTTCTAGCCGACGTGCGCCAAAACGTTGTCCGAGGCAATCGAGCAAGCTCAACTCTCGCATAAGAGACTGCGAACCAGCCTGCTCGCTGCCTGAAGGAGATAAGTGGAGCGGATCATCTGATGGAGACCCAGGCTCAGGCCGATCGTCTGCGCCCTGCATCTCGTCTGCGAAATCGGGCAGCCCGAGATCTTGATGATTCCATGGAAGGATGAGGAAGAATTTCTGTGAGGTGGACTTGCTAGGCCAGAATTGAACCAGCTTGTCCGCCGTTGTGATTTCTAGGTCTTTGAGTCCGACTGCCTTTATATGATAAGTGCAATGCATACCAACCTTCCGCCTGACTTCTGTGAGAGGAAATGTGATGCAAGGTAATTGCAGTCTGGTGTTGGAAAAACGAGGAAAGCTGAGATTCTCAAGGAGGGTATACAGTTTTGAAGCCGACTTCACAGCCACAATATTGTTTCGCAGTTTGGAGATCAATATCTGCATGTCGTGTTCAGAGAGAAGTGGCAGCGTGCATGGCAGAGCCTTGTATGAGGAAATTTCGGCTGGGAGACAACTGTTGAAATTGGACGATTGTCCCACCCAATCAAGGGCTGTGATGTCGCCTGAATGGGCTATGATCTCCTGCAAGAGTCGTCCGAGCGCCTTTTGTCTTTTCTCTCCGTAGATAACAGGAAGGTTAACATCGAAGATGCCAAACAAAGAGTAGGCAATGTCTTCCTCCCTCGTGGTGTCACGGTTTGACGCCCATCGGAGTTTCTCTTGGGCATCTCTTGTCCCTGGCCGGAAGTCGACGAACACCTGCGCATTTATGCCAGTTGAATCCTTCAACTCCTCCATGATACTGACAGACTTCTTGTGGTTGCGTGAGCGTATGTTGAGATATAGGGACCAATCTGCTTGATAGAAGAGAATAATTTTAGGAGCAAGGAACTCCTGAACGGTCCATCCTCACGTGTTCCAAACGCTTTTTGCGAGCGCACCAGACCGTGACGAAGGAGGAACATCCGATAGGTAGACGATGGTGAGCGCTGAGTAACGATACCAGATGAACATGGAGTTGACCGATTGCTGGAGTTCGACAGTGTTATTCTGGTCGATGCAGCATGTATCACTCCACGCCCAACGATACCCCGCATCGCGAGCGACTTCGCAGAACTTCTGCAACTTCACGATTGTTCCGACTGGATTCAAGTTGTATATGTCCCTGCCCTGGATGTCGTGCATCCCCGGCTCCTTTGTTCCCCACCTATGGGATAACATGACCCAACTGAAGTATTTAGAGACCGTTTCCTCAATGAGCTCTGTTTGGAGGGGCGCATGCATGTCGAATGAACACAGAAGCTCTTTGTGCTCTGAACTGGCCATGAATGCTTTGATCTGCGCCTCTCGATTGGACAGGCGTCCAGTAGAGGTGTTGATGAGATAAAGGGGAGCGTTTTCCAGTTGGACGTGAATAGCTCGTTGAATAGCTTCTTCTACTTCAGATAGACCGATGTATTTCTGGCGTAGCTCTACAAAAATGTAAGTCATCTTCACATCGGCACTTGAGTTGTTTGGGGCTTACGTCGTATCTGTGTGTCGGATGCATGGTCCAACTTGGAGAGCATGATTGTGAAAGCCTCGGATGCATCATCATAGCGCTGTTCTCCACGAAGCGCGGAATGCTTTAATTCGTACCCAAGATAATACGAAGGGTTGCGCTCAACGACCTACGAACATCATCAGATTTGCCAAATCAATGACGGATATCGTCCGCACCTTGTCCGCGTCTGAAAGGGCATCCGCATAGAGGTTTTGACCCAACTTCACCTCACTGCGGTGCACAAAGTAGAAATCACATGAGGGATCCATCCCAAATGAAAGTGTGTCCTCGATGGACCAGAGCTGAAGATTGCCATCATAGTCTCCACTCATGAGCAGTTCTCCATTGGGAGAAATTGCAACGCAGCAAACACGTGCGGTGTGTTTGAGTGGTTGTCCTATCTGCTGGTGTGACTTTGTGTTCCACAGGTGCACAGTCTTATCTTGCGAGGCAGTTGCAATGAAAGAGCCATCAGAAGAGATGGCTAAGGAGTCGATGTTGTCAGTGTGACCGGTGCAAGGTTGACCGATCTGGGTCCCATTCGACGAATGCCAAAACTTGACTGTTGCATCGTCGTCTGATGCAGAGACAAATTGCAGGCCGTCTGGCGACCACACAACACTTCGAACAGAACCTTGGTGAGCATCGATCGAGAGAAGAAGCTCGGCGTTATCGGTGCTCCAAACCCGAATGGTACCATTCAATTTGCCAGCTGCTAATTTTAGCCCATCCGGGCTGAATGCAACACAACACACCCAACCTTCGCAGAATGTTGAGAGAACAGCGCCTGTCTCTGCACCCCATATAACAACTCTTTCATCAAATGACCCGCTTGCGAGTCTCTTACCATCGAGGGAGAAGCACACCGAGTACACCCAACTTGTATGCTCTACCGGCAGTTTGAATACCATCTGCTTGCTGTCAACGTCCCAGATGATGATGGTTCCATTTTCTCCACCACTCGCAATTCGCCTATCGCCTGGCGATACAGCGACTGAATACACACAGCCACTGTGTCCCTCGAATGGCCCTCCCACCAATGCCTTTTTCTTCATGTCCCAGATTCACAGAGTTTTATCCTCTGAAGCAGTGACGATCCGTCGACCGTCTTTGAAGAACGCGACTGCCGACACTTTCTTCGTGTGCGTTCGCATCGTTCGCATTGCCGCCGGCTGGGTTGCCTGTGCCGGCGTCGCGCGCTTTTTCACTGTAAGATATGCTTTTTTTGCTCCATCGAGCAATCCTGACATGTCGCTAGATAGCAAGATGGACAATCAGTAGTGTTTGAAGTTAACGAAGAACGTACTTACTCTGTGTTTCCGTCGTCAATTTTAAAATGTGTCGTGAGTAGAGCTGAATTTCTACCCATTTATAACCCAACTCATAGGTTATTTATATGCTTATGGTTTGCTCGATGGACTCAATGCTGCAAGTGCGGCATATCAGTAGGTGCGTACTGGTGCGTACAGCTATAAATCAGTCGGCAATCTGGCTTTGTCTGCTAGCAAGCATGTAATTGTATTTGATTGCTTGGTTTGAATTTATACTAATGAGATTTAAATAGAATAGAGGTGCGTGCAGCTGGAAATAGACCCGCCATCAGGCCCAGGCCCAGCGCTTGCCAAGTCTAATTAAATCAGGTACGTGGGAACCCCAGCCTATGAAGAAATACGCTTCCCGTATACCTCGTTCCTATCGAATGATACCACTTCGTCCCTCAGCTAGACTACTCCTGTCAGACGCAATCCATGTCATGAGTTCATTCCAAGCACATCTCAGGATGAACATCCGTAACTACACGGGCAGTCGAAAATGCTGTGGACGAGTGCGATGTGTCAGCGCTTCAGCGGCGTCAGCCTATCATTTTTGGAGCATCGCAACCTCAAAAGCTATCTTCATAGAAACAATTCCAGTACTAGGTACTGTTGCGAAAAACTCGCCTCAATCATGATCTTTCTTTCACTGGTTCTGGTGCTGCAGCACTGACAATATGAGCTGTTTTTATAACGGTCGCAATCTGAACGCTAAAGCTGTCCGTAGGTAATGATGCCATCTGTCCTAGCGGTCAGGGGTCGACGTCTTACCTATCAGCGCTGCAGAGATTTGCAAAAGACAGAATAGTAATCCTTGTCACGTTCACGCTCCTTTGACGTGGACGGTTTAATGCTACAGTCATTCTAATACACGGCCATCCTAGGACGCTTCGTCGGTGAGTTTTGAACGCCCTGGAGTGGCAAGGCAGCGCAAGACCACCATCAATTTAGATTCACATTCACGAAAGTACCATCACTCACACAATCGACGAGGTCGATATCTGGTACATATCTTTAACCTTCTCTACTACTTCTGGAACTCCCGTATTCTGTAAAAAGAAAACAAGACCATTTATGAGAAGATAAACCCGAGAATCACGACATATCACACCTTTGTAATCTCTTAACACACTCCTTCCCATCAATCGACTCAAGTTTAACCACTGTATTCAGCACCTTGCTCTTTCCCTCGTACCAACTGCTCTTCTCAAAGTCGTTCGTCAGCCAAGTGCCAACACCAAACGAACCAGCACGTGCGATTTGCCATCTGAATCTGCTGTTCCCTGTGCTTCGAAGTTGATGGATTTTGTTCATACTTCATAAGGTATGCGACCGTCCCTGCGAAGAAGACCAGCATTGCGGAGCTCGATGCGAGAGGACTGGAGGTAAATGGATGGGAGGGTTATGGTGAGATGAAGTAAACGGGGGTACATCATGGTTAAACGTTGAGAGACGTCAAGACGAACTTGTTTCAAAAGTAAAAGTCGTACGTACTAAAAATTGTTATCTTATACACACCGCCATCTGTCGATCCATGCGTTCGACCGTTTTTCCTTCCTCCGTTGCACCATATACTGCTTCCAACGTGGGACTCTCTTAGGTTCTTGCTCCTCAATGAGCTGAAACTTGAAAGAGAGGACGGGCCTCTAAATGGGTAAACAGCGCAGTTCTAGAAAGCGCTTGCACCGGCGCTTTGTCCTCTTTCCCTGGGACGTCTGATTTTGGGATTAGCTCGTTTATGTATGAGACAATATATGATATGATATCGAGATTGATACAATGCAAAATGCTAGGGGTACTGTTCATGTAGAGGTGTTGTCAAGGTATGGAATGAATATGTCCCGTTCGTCGCAACTACAATATCTCCAGCATCCTAATGCCCATCGTGTCATCAATAGAAGTCATGTTCCTGACTTGTGCGATGATATTGTTATCCGAAGCGATTCTCTTATACTCCCCACCCCACTGCTGCGCCACCAAAAGTGCGCCAAAAGGCTGTCCGAGGCGAACGATCAACCTCAACTCTCGCGTAGCCGGCTCGTTGTACCCAGGATAGCCGCGGGGCATGTCATCTGACGGAGACCCAGGCTCAGGCCAATCTTCCACGCTCTGCGTCTCGTCTGCAAAGTTAATCAACCCGAGATCATGTCGATTCCATGGACAGACAAGCAAGAATGTCTGCAGAGTACGCCTTGCAGACGAGAATTGAACAAGCTTGTCTTCCGTTGTGATCAAAAGATCTTGTAGCCTGTCTGCCTTGACGTCGTAAGTGAAACATCTGGCCCCATCTTGGCCAGGCCTCCGCCTGACTTCTGTGAGAGGAAATGCGATGCAGGGCAGTTGAAGTCTGGCGTTTGCGAAACGAGGAATGCTGAGGTTCTCAAGGAGGGTATACAGTTTTGAGGCCGAGCGCACGGCTACAGAATTTTGCAGTGTGGAGACCGAATTCTGCATCTCCCCTTCGGATAGAGATGGCAGTGTACATGACGGAGCCTTGTATGAGAAAATCTCGGCTGGCAGACAGCTGTTGAAGTTGGACGATTGTCCTACCCAGTCCAGGGCTGTGATGTCGCCCGAATGAGCTATGATCTCCTGTATGAGTCGTCCGAGCGCGTTCTGTCTTGTTTCTCCGTAGATTACAGGAAGGTGGACACCGAAGATCCCAAACAGCGAATACGCGATGTCTTCCTGCAACGTAGTGACACGCGTTGATGCCCATTGAAGTTTCTCTCGGGCATCTCTCATCCCTGGGCGGAAGGCGATGAGGGCTCGCGCATTTATGCCAGTTGAACGCTCCAACTCCTGCATGATAGCAGTAGACTCCTTGTGGTTGCGTGAGCGGTCGTCGAGATATAGGGTCCAATCTGCTCGGTAGAAGAGAACGATTTTAGGAGCGAGGAACTCCTGGACGGTCCATCCTCGCGTGTTCCAAATGCTGTTTGCGAGTGCGCCAGACTCTGACGAAGGAGGAACATCTGATAGGTAGACGATAGTGAGCGCTGAGTAGTGATACCAGATGAACATGGAGTTGACTGATTGCTGGAGCTCAACATTGTTGTTCTGGTCGATGCAGCACGTATCGCTCCACGCCCAACGATACCTCGCATCGCGAGCGACTTTGCAGAACTTCTGCAACTTCACCGTGGTTCCGACCGGATCCAAGTCGTATATGTCCCTGCCCTGAATGTCGTGCAGGAGCGGCTCCTTCCTTTCCCACCTATGGGACAACATGACCCAACTGAAGTACTTGACGACCGCTCCTTTCATCAGCTCCGTTTGAAGGGGCGCATGCATCCATAACGAATGAAAAAGCTCTTTGTACTCTGTACTCTCTGTGAACGCGTTGATCTGCGCATCTCGATTGCACAAACATCCAGTAGAGGTGTTGATTAGACGAAGGGGAGCGTGTTCCAGGTGGACGTGAATGGCTCGTCGAATAGCATTTTCTACTTCAGATGGACTGACGTATTGCTGGCGTAGCTCTGCAAAAAATGTAAGTCATCTTCAAGTCGGCGCTTGAGTTGTTTGGGGCTTACGTCGTATCCGTGGGTCGGGTATATCATCCAACTTGGAGAGCATGATTTCGAAGGCCTCGAATGCATCATCATATCGCTGTGCTCCATAAAGCGCTGCATGCTTCAATTCGTACCCGAGGTAAGACGAAGGGTTGAGCTCAATGACCTACGAACGTCATCACAAGTGTTAACACAACGACGGATATCGTCCGCACCTTTCAGCATCTGAAAGGGCCTCCGTATAGAGCATCTGGCCCAACTTCAGCCCTACTGCAGCGGGCAAAGTAGAAATCGTATGAGGAATCCATCCCGAATGCTGCGGAAAGTGTGTTCTGGATGGACCAGAGGTGAAGATTCCCATCAAAGCTTCCACTCACGAGCAGTTCTCCACTGAGAGAAATTGCAACGCAGGAAACCAATGTGGTGTGTTCGAGTGGCTGTCCTATCTGCTCGTGATACATTGTGCTCCACAGACGCACAGTACTGTCGTGTGAGGTGGTTGCAATGAAGGAGCCATCGGAAGAAATGGCCAGGGAGTAGATTTTGTCAGCGTGACCGGTGCAAGGTTGACCGATCTGGGTCCCATTCGACGAGTCCCAAAACTTGATTGTTTTATCATGTGATGCAGAGACAAGTTGCTGGCCGTCGGGCGACCACACAATACTTCGAACGAAATATTGGTGAGCGTCGATCCTGAGAAGGAGCTCGGCCTTGTCGGTGCTCCAAACCCGAATGTCGTGCCATGATCCGGATGCTAATTTCAGCCCATCTGGGCTGAAGGCGACACAAAACACCGAACTCCCACTCTGGAGTGTTGAGAGGACAGCGCCAGTCTCTGCATCCCACACAATCACTGTCCAATCCCATGACCCACTTGCGAGTTTCTTGCCATCGGTGGAGAAACACACCGACGAAACCGAGTTTGTATGCTTCACCAGTGGTTTGAATACCATCTGCTTGCTATCGACGTCCCAGATGATGATGGCGCCATCTCTTCCACCACTCGCAATTCGCCTATCGTCTGGCGACACAGCGACTGAATGTGCACAGTGACTGTGTCTTACAAATGGCTCTCCCACCAATGTTCTTTTCTTCACATCCCAGATTCGCAGGGTTGTATCCTCCGAAGTAGTAACGAACCGTCGACCATCTTTGAAGAACGCGACTGCCGACACTTTCTTCGTGTGCACTCGCATCATTGGTGTTGGCGTCGGCTGAGTTACCTGCGCCGGCGTCGCGCGCTTTCCCACAGTAATAATATATGCTTTTTTTGCTACATCGAGCAATCCTGACATGTCGCTAGACAGGAATATGGACGGTCAGCAGTGTTTGAAGCTAATGAGAAGCGTACTCTGCTGCCGTTGTCAATCTTATGTGTCGTGAGTAGAGCTGGATTTTTGCCCATAACCCAATTCATGTAGGCTCTTTATACATCGTTGGCCCATACCACGTTGCTGCAACGTGGATCTCATTTCGCTCCTTCCATCTTCCATCAGTGCCTTAGCGGACCGAGTACTTTCTGTTTTTCGACGTCCCAGATCATTATGTCATCAGCTGTACTGCTCGCAACTCGCAGTCAATCCGGTGATTCAACGACTGAATACATAGCCTCACGGCTCCGTGTGCCTTCCTACCAATGCTCCTTTCTCTGTATCCCAACTGTGCGCAATGTGGTCCGAACCTGTGACAATCCGCTGACCTCGCATTGAAGAACATCTGTTGACACCATCCTCGTGTGCCTTGCATGGTCGGCGTTGGTTGTGTTGTCTGCTCCAGTGTCGTGAACCCTTGCTCCATCAAGCGCACTTGCCAACATATCATGGATAGTTAGTAGGATTTGAAGTTGACGAGGACAGTGCTTGTCGTCAATCTTATGTGCCGTGAGTAGAGTTGTAACCCAACTGATGTAGCTTATCTGGGGTTCTTTCCGGGGTCTTACCCTCTCTTACCACGCTGCCACAGATTTAGTGTCGTTGGCAGATTACTGCCGTTCTGCCATTCGCCGTGGCAGAACTTGGAAAAACCTGGCAGTTGGCAGAAGGTCTGGGGCAGAACTTGACAGAACTTGAAAAGGTACCAGAGCGTGCGTGAGATGAATATATGATAAACTGTATAGTTGTCAATGCAAATCTTAATTGTATCTCCCCAATAAATGAACATTAGAATTAGGTGTTTGTCTATGGCTAAGCGCTAAGCAAGCAACCTTCTTTCTGTCGTCCCACATGCAGGCGACGTTGAGCGGCTGTTCTCGGACATGGGTGGCACTCAATCAGTGAAGCGCTGCAATCTTTTAGTTGCAACCTTTGAAACAATCGCAAAAATCCGTGCAAACCTTCGCTTTCACAGCCATCAGAAGACACTCGCTAGTGGGAAGTCTGTTCGTCGCCATCACGTACACATGCATACCCGAGACGAGCCTGGTGTCAACCTCAATACGGCACATCACCTCGAAAACACATTTGCATTCGAGCCACCGCTTACAATCCAAAGTAACATCGATGACCTGCTTGCTGGCCCAGAAGTCATTTCAGTTGACGAGATTGACGCAGAATTTGATGCACTCGAGGTATCGGTTTCGAAACGGGAGGACTGGATGTGAATGGGCGGTAGGAAATACGCGTTTAATGACAAGGAGAAAGTCACGCAAAAAATGACATGTTGGTTATCTTATCTTGTCTGTTGGACTTCGGTCTGAAGCATGCCAGTCATTTCTCACCAGCATTATTGGCAATCCACCTTGTTTCCTTCTTCCGTTGTGTCATATACTGCATCCAAGACGAGACCCTTGTCCTATTGTGCTCCTCAACAAGCTGGAAGGTCGGAGGACGGAGCCCTAGGACACCTGATTTGGGAATAGCTTGTTTGTATATATGATACGATATCGAGACCGATACGATGCAAAATTCTACGGGTACTGCTCATCTCGAGGTGTTGTCAATGTATGAAATGAAAATGACCCGTGCTTCAGAGCTACAATATCTCCAGCATCCTGACGTTCATCATGTCATCAACAGAAGCCATGTCCCTGACTTGTGCGATGATATTGTTATCCGAAGCGATTCTCCTATACTCCCCACCACGCTGCTGCGCTAGCAAGAGTGCACTAAAGGGCTGTCCAAGGTGAACGATCAATCGAAACGCCCGGTCGCTTGATTCTGAATCAACCAGCCCGTGTTCTCCAGGAGACCCGGGAGGCGAATCATATAATGGAGACTCAAGCGCAGACCAATAGTCTTCCACACTACTCTCATCGTCAATGTCGAACGGCTCTGCAAAGTCCGGCAGTTCTGCGAAGTCTGGCAGTTCGAGAAGATAACGAGTCCACGGACGGATGAGCAGGAATATCTGCCGAGTACGCCTTGCAGGTGAGAATTGAAGTAGCTTGTCTTCCGTTGTGACCAGCAGGTCTCGTAGCCCATCTGCCTTGACGTCATAAGTGAAACAGCTAGCCCCGTCTTGACCAGGTCTCCGCCTGACTTCTGTGAGGGGAAATGCGATGCAGGGCAGTTGTAGTCTGGCGTTTGCGAAACGAGGAACGCCGAGGTTCTCAAGAGTGGCATGCAGTTTCAAAGCTGACTCCACAGTCACAGTATTGCTTTGCAGCGTGGAGACCGATATCTGCATCTCGTCTTCGGATAGAGATGGCAGTGTACACGATGGAGCCTTGTATGAGGAAATGTCGGCTGGCAGACAGCTGTTGAAGTTGGACGATTGTCCTACCCAATCGAGGGCCGTGATGTCGCCTGAATGCGCTATGATCTCCTGTAAGAGTCGTCCGAGCGCATTGTGTCTTTTTTCTCCGTATATTACAGGAAGGTGGACGCCGAATATCCCAAACAGCGAATACGCTATGTCTTCCTGCAACGTAGTGACACGCGTTGATGCCCATTGAAGTTTCTCTCGGGCATCTCTCATCCCCGGGCGGAAGTCGACGAGCGCCTGCGCATTTATGCCAGTTGAACGCTCCAACTCCTGCGTGATAGCGACAGACTCCTTGTGGTTGCGTGAGCGTATGTTGAGATATAGGGTCCAATCTGCTTGGTAGAAGAGAACGATTTTAGGAGCGAGGAACTCCTGAACGGTCCAGACTCGCGTGTTCCAAATGCTGTTTGCGAGTGCGCCAGACTCTGACGAAGGAGGAACATCTGATAGGTAGACGATAGTGAGCGCTGAGTAGTGATACCAGATGAACATGGAGTTGACTGATTCCTGGAGCTCGACGTTATTATACCGGTCGATGCAGCATGTATCGCTCCACGCCCAGCGATACCCCGCGTCGCGAGCGACTTTGCAGAATTTCTGCAACTTCACCACGGTTCCGACCGAATCCAAGTCATATATATCCCTGCCCTCGATGTCGTGCAGTAGCGGCTCCTTCCTTTCCCATCTATGGGACAACATGACCCAACCGAAGTATTTTGCGACCGCTTCTTTGATGGGTCCTGTTTGGAGGGGCCCATGCATGTCGAACGAATGCAAAAGCTCTTCATACTCTGTACTCTCCGTGAATACATTGATCTGCGCATCCCGATTGCACAAACATCCAGTAGAGGTGTTGATTAGACGAAGGGGGGCGTTTTCCAGTTGGGTGTGAATGGCTCGTCGAATAGCATCTTCTACTTCAGATGGGCTAACATGGTGCTGTGCTCCACGAAGCGCTGCATGCTTTAATTCGTACCCGAGATAATACGAAGGGTTCAGCTCAATGACCTACGAACATCATCACATTTGTCAGATTAATGACGGGAATCGTCCGCACCTTGTCCGCGTCCGAAAGGGCCTCCGCATAGAGCCCTTGGCCCAACTTCACCTTACTGCGGTGCGCAAAGTAGAAATCATATGAAGGATCCATCCCGAATGCTGCAGAAAGTGTGTTCTCGATGGACCAGAGTTGAAGATTCCCAGCATTATCTCCACTCGCGAGCAGTTCTCCACTGGGAGAAATGCTGACGCAGAGAACCCATGCGGTGTGTTGGAGTGCCTGTCCTATTTGCTGGTGTGACTTTGTGTTCCACAGGCGCACAGTCTTATCTTCTGAGGCAGTGGCAATGAAGGAGCCATCAGAAGAGATAGCCAGGGAGCAGATTTTGTCAGTGTGACCGGTGCAAGGCTGACCGATCTGGGTCCCATCCGACGAGTCCCAAAACTTGATTGCTTTGTCGTCTGATGCAGAGACAAGTTGCTGGCCGTCGGGTGTCCACACAACAATTTTAACCAAATAGTGAGCGTTGATGCTGATGTCCAACAAAAGCTCGGCGTTATTGGTGTGCCAAACCCGGATGTTACGCAATGATCCGGAAGCTAATTTTAACCCATCTGGGCTGAAGGCGACACAACACGCCCAATTACCGTTGTCGAGTCTTGAGAGGACAGCGCCAGTCTGCGTATCCCATATAATAACTCTTTCATCATGCGACCCGCTTGCAAGTTTCTTTCCATCGGGGGAGAAACACACCGACCGTACCCAACCTCTACGCTTCTCCAGTGGTTTGAATACCATCTGCTTGCTATCGACGTCCCAGATGATGATGGCTTTATCTTCTCCACCACTCGCAATTTGTCTATCGTCTGGCGATATGGCGACTGAATACACACAGTCACTGTGTCCCTCGAATGGTCCTTCCACCAATGCTCTTTTCTCCACGTCCCAGATTCGCAGTGTCTTGTCCTTGGAAGCAGTGACAATCCGTCGACTATCTTTGAAGAACGCGACTGCCGATATTGCTTTTGTGTGCACTCGCATCGTTTGTGTTGGTGTCTGCGCCGGCGTCGCGTGCTTCCCCACAGCAAGATCTCCTATATCGTGTAATCCTGACTCGGACATATCGCTAAACAGCCTGAGGGAAATAGACGGTCAGTAGCGTTAACTTTTGAAGTTGACGAGGAGCGTACTCGTCGTCGATCTTATGTGTAGGGAGAGGTTATGAGCAGAATGGGATGTTTGCCCATAACCCAAATCATGTATGCTTTTTATATATCGTTTGCTCCAACCACGTTGCTACAGCGTGGATCTCATTTCGCTCCTTCTATCCGAGTCAGCCTCTGTCCATCAACGTCATATTTAATTCCTTCACTTTGTTCACAGTAAATCCCTTATAATTTCCCCGAAAAATATAAACGAAGAAATACGCTTGCCGTATGCCCCGAAATTTTACTTCCTATCAAGTGGTATCACTTCGTCCGTCAGGTAGGGCTGGCCGAGACGCAATGAGTTCATTACAAGCACATCTCACCATGGACATCCGGCCCGAACTACACAGGCAGTCGAAAACGCTGTGAACGAGAGCGATGTGTCAGGCTATCATGTTTTGGAGCATCGCAACCTCTGAAAAACTGTCTTCATAAACACAATCGCATGCTTTTCCAGCACTGGTGCGAGGAACTCGCCTCAATGATCTTTCTTTCCCCGGTTCCAGTTAGGTAAGAGCTTATTTTATAAAAGTCGTGATCTCAATGCTGAGGCTGTCCGGAAGTATCCCTCTGATACCACCAATCTGACCTAGTGGCCAGGGCTCGTTACGTTGCTTTGACATGGATGGTTTAGCATGCTACAGGCATCGTGATGCAAGGCCACCAGGACACTTCGTCGTTGAGCTTTAAACGCGCTGGAGTGACAAGACAGCACAAGACTATCGTCAATTAGATTCTCATTCACAAAAGTACCGTCACGCACACGATCAACGAGGTTTATGAGACCGATATCTGATACATCTCTTTGACCTTTGCCACAACTTCCGGAACTCCCGTATTCTGTAAAAAAAAAACGCAAATGGCAATTAACGATAAAACCAAACCGAGAATCACGAAATAAGTATTCCACCTTTGTAATCTCATCACTAATCTTAACACACTCCTTCCCATACCTACCGCTCTTCTTCTTAAAGTCGTTCGTCAGCCAAGTTCCAATACCAAACGAACCTGCATGTGCGGTTAGTCCACGAAACGCAACCAAAATAAGGTGACGACGTACACTTGAACCCAAGCAGCAGACGCTGCTCATTCAACTCCTTCACCTTCTTAAGATTCAACCTATCGCCGAAGATGATAGCTTTCTGTATATAATCGATCCCGCGCTTTTCGTACATCCGCTTAGCCCTCGGCGCGGTCTCCCAAGTCTTGACGCAGGGCTTTCCATTAGTTGGCGCGTCTATTGTCGAATTCCTATAAACATAATAAAAATATTCTAAAAATGAAAATCGGTATAAGAGATGCTGCGCAGTAACAAAGTCAACATACGCACCCGATAAAATAATTCAGTGGAGAATGCATCCGTGAGCGTGGCTGAAAGACTGTCTCCGTAGAGGTTTGACCAGAGATCTAGAGCTGTCCCGACAGCGTCTTTGTAATCGTCCAACGCCACGATCTAGGTATATCTTTGATCAGAGGGGATTTATCTTCAAGTGTGGAAAACTGCACTCACGAACCACTCGCTATAAGTCACAAGTTATAAATCATGAAAATAAAAGGAAGGGATGTCATCATGGTTGAGGTTGTATTGCATTATGCATAGCGAGGCAGACCTGCGCATCTGCGTCAAAAAAGGGGACCACCGATAACTGCATACATTACTAGTTCCAAAAAAACTCCTCCTTCCACTTATGCGCATCCCTCGCCTTGACGATCCCGCTCACCATCAAATCCTGCCTGAAGAACGACTGCCTGCGCCACGTCCCGAATCCACCAAATCATCCATCTATTCCCTGGGCGCATCCCCCTTCTCACTCCAAAGCACCTTGCCCGCATCGCACGCAACTTTAAACACCTCCTGAAAGTGATCCATATGCAACAGAGTCTCCATCTGGACGAGGGTCATGCGTACTGTACGAGGTATCACGCCCGCCATGACTGTCGGCACATCGTTTTCTTCGACTGTGATGAGATCGAGTAAGGGTTGGGTGCCATGCACACCCACGCTGATAGTGCAGACAAAGTCGAAGAGGGGAATGCCTGCGGTTGCGAGGGCGAGGGTGGAGGCGTTTATGCAAGCAGAGAGGAGGCCGCCGTCGAGCTGGAGGACGTGAATGAAGATATCGATTGTGCTGCGTGGGTAGAGCTGCGAGTTCGAGGAGGCGCCTAAGTGGTATTAACGATAAAATAAAGTGCGTGTAGATGAGATTTACTTCAAGTTGTTGCCTCTGACTCTTCGTCGTCGCTCACCGAAGCCAAAAGGGGTGAGCTGGACTTCGACGTTTAGTCTTGCGCGATCGTGGAATGTTTCGCGTCTTGTGGTTTGTGTGGGCCGAGGACTGAGACTCGGACTTGGGTGAGGCCGTGTGAGTAGGTATTAATAACGCTGCCATCTGCGGTTCCTTGTGCTTCGAAGAATCGAAGTTGATGGCTATTGTTCGTAGTTCATAAGGTCTGCGACTGGCGCTACGAAGAAAACTAGCATTGAGGAGCTTTCCTTATTGTGTTGCACCATATACTGCTTCCAAGGTGGAACCCTTGCACTCTTTCCTTAAGTGTTGCAAGCTGGAAGGGAGGATGAGCGTCTACATAAGAAAACAGTGCATTTCACACTTGCACTGTGGGCTCGTGACCAGCCTGGTGTATACTGCCACGGATGCTCGAGTGGCGTAGCCAACACCACATCAAAAAATGCATGTATGCAGAATGGTTATGAGTCTACTTGCACTGAATGTTTTCTCCTTTTCCCAGGACGTCTGATTTTGGGACTAGCTTGTTTGTATACGAGACAATATCTGATACGATATCGAGATTAATATAATGCAAATTCTAGGGGTACTGTTCATGTGGAGGTGTAGTCGATGTATGAAGTGAAAATGTCTCGTTCTTTGCACCTACAGTATCTCCAGCGTCCGGATGTCCATCATATTATCAACAGATGCCGTGTCCCTCACTTGTGCCATGATATTGTTATCCGAAGCTATTCTCTTATACTCCCCACCACGCTGTTGCGCTACCAAAAGTGCGCCAAAAGGACGAGCAAGGCGAACGATCAACCTCAACCCTCTGGTGATTAGTTCATCATCTCCAGGTTCATCATGCCAATCATCCACGCTCTGCGACTCGTCTGTATAGCCGACTAATTCGAGATCATACCGATTCCATGGACGGATGAGCAGGAATGTCTGTCGAGTACGCTTTGCAGGCGAGAATTGAACAAGCTTGTCTTCCGTTGTGACCAGCAGGTCTTGTAGCCCGTCTGCCTTGATTTCATATGTGGAAGATTTGTCCCCGTCTCCACCAGAACTCCGCCTGATTTCTGTGAGAGGAAATGCAATGCAGGGCAGTTGCAGTCTAGCGTTTGCGAAACGAGGAACGCCGAGGTTCTTAAGAGTGGCATACAGTTTCGAAGTCGACTCCACAGCCACAATATTGTTTCGCAGCGTGGAGACCGATATCTGCATATCGTGTTCAGATAGAGATCGCAGCGTGCATGGCAGAGCCTTGTATGAGGAAATGTCGGCTGGGAGACAACTGTTGAAGTTGGAAGATTGTCCGACCCAATCAAGGGATGTGATGTCGCCCGAATGGGCTATGATCTCCTGTAAGAGTCGTCCGAGCGCGTTCTGTCTTTTTTCTCCGTATATTACCGGAAGGTGGACGCCGAAGATCCCAAACAGCGAATACGCGATATCTTCCTCCCTAGTGGTATCACGGTTTGACGCCCATCGGAGTTTCTCTCGGGCATCTTCTGTCCCTGGATGGAAGTCAACAAGCGCCCGCGCATTTATGCCGGTTGAATGTTCCAACTCCCCCATGATACTGACAGACTCTTTGTGGTTGCGTGAGCGTCTGTCGAGATATAGAGTCCAATCTGCTTGGTAGAAGAGAATAATTTTAGGAGCGAGGAACTCCTGAACAGTCCATCCTCGGGTGTTCCAAATGCTGTTTGCGAGCGCGCCCGACTTGGACGAAGGCGGGACGTCTGATAGGTAGACGATAGTGAGCGCTGAGTGGTGATACCAGATGAACATGGAATTGACTGATTCTTGGAGCTCGACGTTGTTATTCTGATCGATGCAGCATGTATCGACCCACGCCCAGTGATACCCCGCTTTGCGAGCGACTTTGCAGAACTTTTGTAACTTCGCCATGGTTCCGACCGGGTCCAAGTCGTATATGTCTTTGTCCTGAATGTCATGCAGCCCTGGCTCCATGGTTCCCCACCTATGGGATAGCATGACCCAACTGAAGCACTTGGTGACCACTTCTTTGATGAGCTCTATTTGGAGGTGCGAATGCGTCACTAATGAAGGGAAAAGCTTTTTGTACTCTGTACTCTCTGTGAATGCGTTGATCTGCGCATCTCGATTGCACAGACATCCAGTAGAGGTGTTGATGAGACGAAGGGGAGCGTTTTCCAGTTGGGAGTGAATGGCTCGTTGAAAAGCATCTTCTACTTCAGATGGACTGACGTATCGCTGGCGTAACTCTGCAAACAATATAAATCATCTTCAAGTCGGCGCTTCGAGTTATTTGGGACTTACGTCGTATCTGTGGGTCAGGTGCATTATCCATCCTGGAGAGCATAATTGTGAAAGCCTCGAATGCATCATCATAGCGCTGTGCTCCACGAAGCGCTGCATGCTTCAATTTGTACCCGAGATAAGACGAAGGGCTGAGCTCAATGACCTACAAACATCATGACAATGATGAAACAAAGACAGATATCGTCCGCACCTTGTCCGCGTCCGAAAGGGCCTCCTCATAGAGCGTTTGGCCCAATTTCACTTTACTGCGGTGCGCAAAGTAGGAATCATCCCAGGAATCTATCCGGAACGCTGCGGAAAGTGTGCTCTCGACGGACCAGAGCTTAAGATTCCCATCATTGTCGCCACTCACTAGCAGTTCCCCGCTGAGAGAAATTGTAGCGCAGAAAACCGACGCGGTGTGTCGGACCTGACCTATCTGCTGGTGTGACTTTGTACTCCACAAGCGCACAGTATTGTCGTCCGAGGTGGTTGCAATGAAGGAGCCATCAGAAGAAATGGCAAGTGACCAAATGAAGTTAGTGTGACCAATGCAAGGTTGACCGATCTGTGCACCATTCGACGAGTTCCAAAACTCGATTGTTTTGTCGTGTGACGCAGAGACAAGTTGCTGGCCGTCGGGCGACCACACAACACTAGACACATTATGATTTAGGAGGGCGCTGATGCTGAGAAGAAGCTCGGCATTATCGGTGCTCCAAACCCGGATGCTACGCGATGATCTGGATGCTAATTTTAGCCCATCCGGGCTGAAGGCGACACTCGACACTACACTCCCAACCTTGAGTGTTGAGAGGACAGCCCCAGTCTCCGCATCCCATATAATAACTGTTTCATCATATGACCCGCTTGCGAGTCTCTTTCCATCGGAGGAGAAACAAACCGACAGAACCCAGTCTGTATGCTTCACCAGTGGTTTGAACAGCATCTGCTTGTTATCGACGTCCCAGATGATGATGGCCCTATCTCTCCCACCACTCGCAATTCGCCCATCGTCTGGTGATACAGCGACTGAAAGCACACTGCTTCTATGTCCCTCGAATGGCCCTCCCATCGACGTTCTTTCCTCCACGTCCCAGATTCGCAGGGTTTTGTCCCCTGAAGCAGTGACGATCCGTCGGCCGTCTTTGAACAATGCGACTGCCCACACTGGCTTCGTGTGCACTCTCATCGTTTGTGTCGGTGCCGGTTGGATTGTTAGCGTCGGCTGGGTTGTCTGCACTGGCTGGGTTGTCTGCACTGGCTGGGTTGTCTGCACTGGCTGGGTTGCCTGCACTGGCTGGGTTGTCTGCACTGGCTGGGTTGCCTGCACTGGCTGGGTTGCCTGCACTGGCTGGGTTGTCTGCGCTGGTGTCCTGCGCCCTGTCACAGTAAGATATGCGTTTTTTGCTATATCGCGCCATCCTGACATATTGCTAGATAGGAAGATGAACTGTTATTAGCGTTTTAAGTTAACGGGGAGGGTACTCTGTGGTTACCGTAGTCGTCGATCTTATGTGTAGTGGGTAGAGTTGAATCTCTGCCGTTTATAACCCAACTCATGTGGGCGCTTATGCCGTGACTCCTCAGGGGTACTTACCACGCTGCCACTGCCAGTGTCATCAAGTACTGCCCATTTTCATCAACTGCCCATCATATACTAGGGGTCGGCGTTGCCGACTTGTGACAGTGCGGAGCGAGTGGGTTTATTTTATTTTATTTGGGCCAATGCCGATACATCAACAAGATTTTGATTCGTACACGACACGGCGAATGAAATTATCAATGATTGGATGATGTCCCATTTCGGTATCGATTAGGATGATTTCTTGTATGCTTTCGGTCCAGGCTTCCCCGCTAAGAAGTAACACTGTCCTAGCATTAACGGCCGATACGATGGGTTTGGTCTCATGTGCAGGTTGGACTAGAAATCCATGTGTATGGTCACACACTGAGTAAGAATATTCCATGTCCATCATTATTTCTCGCTACGTCGTGTGGACAGGTAGCGCTCAGACCTGCAGGGACGAGACATATTACAGGACATTTGATAATTCAGAACCACCAGGGCCTGCACGGTGTAAGCACGAATAGCGGCCGGCATGTTGTCCATCACGTCATGCTGTGTTCTTGCGTTTTGTCTCTCGTTATCGATGAAGCCGTTGTTGTTGGATACACACTAGATATGCAGAGGGATACATGATGTATGAGTGGTGATTGAGATGTCGAAGTTGATCTACCGATAGTAAGTGCGCTACCGTTTGAACCTGCGAGCAAAATTGACTGTCAAAGCTATGAAAGGAGGGCAAATCGCTATGTTGTTGTTTGGTATTTACTCTTCAGGTATCCGTGTGAATGGTACATCCCGGATTGCATGATTTCTTCACTGTGTTAGGTCTATGCTTTGATCTCGCAGGTATCAATTGACAATCAATTTCGGTAATGTGTGGGATGACAAGTGAGTGACTAAGGTCAGGTATCTAACAAAGGCGCTATGGTATATTGTTTGGGCAAAACCCAATAGGGTTTTCGACCGAAACATGCTTTGCAACTCCAAAAGATGGGGGCAAGAGAAGCTGAGGTTCCCTATAATCAGGAGCGAAACGACGCAGCTAGTGTTAGCTTGACCCCGAAATGGAAGGAGTGCCGCAGACACTTACGTGGTGTCAAGACGGCAGGGTGTACCACATAAAAGGCTCTAAGATTGGGCGATCCTGCAGGTACGGCGCTAGAACCACGGCGCGTTTCCGAAGGTACAGGGCTGCTCAATTCTAAAATGTCGTTGTCGATGTCGACTAGGATTAGGACGAGGATACTCTGCGACAAGGTGTAGAACGTCTCCCATGCGAAGGTTTAACCGACACGGAGGTGGCCAAATCAGGAAAGGTTTAGGGTCCGCGTAAGTAATTTACGAGTGGCCGTAAGGTCAAGTCGACATTGACAACGACATTTTAGAATTGAGCAGCCCTAAGGCGGCTACACCACGAGAGTATCACAACGGCAAGCAGGATTGTCACGCGTATTCCATTCAGTGCCCAACGAGCAGCTTGGCACATGCAGTGGATAAAGCTACAACTTGTAATCAGATGGACAAGGTACCCTTATGAGGCTTACCGTAGTATTTCGTAGGAGAATTTGGATCTACTGAACGTAATGTTCCCACGCTTCCAGTTGTCATGAACAGCGAGGAGACGGCGTCGACTGATTCGCAACCTGCGGTCCCACTTATCGGACTCGATACGAATAACAAGGCAGGGCAAAATCGGACACTGGGTCAAGCACGGATTAGACTTTTTCCAGGTTGGTTCTGTGGCTCTTCCGTTGACCGTTCGTCTGACAGAATATGGGTTCAGGAAAATCCTGACAAGCCATTGACCCTGCACACTTCCCCAGCCAATGTAGCACAATCTACCATCCCTCGGTTGATTTCAGTCGTGGAGATCCTGAAGCGCGAATACCTGAAAACCTGGGATGTTTCTGCAGGACAGCTGACGGGGCTGCATCAGTACAATGAACTACAATGGGAGCAACGTGGCGAGATCGCTGCAGAAGGAGAAGAACGAGCAAGCACCATAGCAAGAGCTTTGGAAGGTAAAAAATAGTGCGTGTTTCACGTATGGAAAATGACGCTCGCACTGACAGAGGGACAGCCCCAAGCTCACACTTGCGCCTTATATGAAAGTCACGCTGTGCAGGAAGGCTCTTCCAGGAATGCATGAGAAGAAAGACGTGACGTGAGTCACGTTTATGCACAGATTATTGTCCGACCTGACGAGCTTGCAGATACCAGACACCACAGACACGACGACTGTCCAAGACTACAAAGGCGAGATTGAAGAAAAAAGCAAAGCAGCAGATGCCTTAGCTATTATTTTTTCCTATAAATCTGTACCCAAATATTATCATTTTCTGACAAGGTTTGAGTAAAATTCCCAGGGGGGTTTCGATTTGTTGATTTGAGAACACAATTATTCGTCCCAACTGGACTCTTCAAGCTGCTTCGTTAACGTTCTGCTAAACGTCGTGCTCATCGTCAGTAACGGCGACGGTAATCACCAACAACTAATTTCAGCCTAAACTTGGTTTTGAGCGTCTTTCTAGTAATCGCTGGACAGGTTGTGCATTTGAACATCACCTGAACTGCCGAAGGATCTCCGACCTTTTTATAAAGCCCTAACTCAGCTGCGCGCATGCCTCGCCGCACTTCTACTCGCCTTACATCCTCTGTCACTCCACAAGCACCTTCAGTCTCTTTTCAACTTCCTGCCTCCGATGCAGATCCCAATATCCTTCAGCTCAGGCGACACTGGAAATGGGCTGCCTTCAGCCAGTTCTTCTTCACATTTAATACTCTCTTTGCCATGAGTGACGTGACGTTGATCGTGAGTACCGATTCTGCCTGCCTCTGGAGCACCATCTTATCTTTCAAATTATCACAGGACATAGAAAATGACCTTGCCTACTCTACCAACCGCGTTTTGTCTCGCATCATGACAAGATTGCTCGTCACGTTAACGCAGGACAGAAAAATATCGTAAGCTTCCCTTCATCGTATGCTGTGGTCCAACTCCTATCATCTGACAAATGTCGATTATCAGCGTTGATAACTGGCAAACTGCCCTGCGAAAACAATATATGAGACGTGACCCAGATGCAAATCCCATAGGACCAATTCAGCAGATATACATCAATGTCGCAGAGTCCTCGCGCGCATCCACAGCTCCCCCACACCCATCCGAAATTGGAGAACAGTTGGTGCTAGAGGAAGAAAAGAAAAGCACGGTGCACGAAGACGGAGCGTCTGCTGACGGTGATGCTGTCCCAGACGATTCAGCAGATGCAGTCGAGGTCAAGTCGGAGGAAACGAAGATCGATGAATCGAAGGATGGTGTCACCGGGTCTTCCTCAGAGGCTTTACAAGATTCCGAGCAGCTACAGCAGCAGATTGATTGGCTCGACCTTCCTACAGTTAAGAAACTGGATTCCCTTCACACTCTTATGGAATGGCAATTTCATAACCCTAATCGTCTACGTACCCAGATGAAAGACGACGACGAGAATGCCGAATGGGTAATACCATGCCTGCTTCATCTTCCACTTTACTGACCAGTCCTTACATAGCACATAGAGCCGATAGGGTATGATGCCAAGAGTAATGCATACTGGCTCATAGGCGGTGTGTGCTATTTTTCATCTCATTACCCAGCCTTGACCTAGCTTTAGCCGACCGTTTGTGGATTCAACGTGAACCTCCACGTCAGACACTCAAACGCAAGCGGTTCACAAACCCCAACGCGTCGAAATCTAGTGGCAAGAAGTCTTTCAACAAACGCCAGCGAGTTGACCCAGAGCCAGAGCCCACACCTCCACCCACAACACCTGCCAGAGCATCCCGTCGGCGCAATCAAACGCAGGCCCAGAACTCCAGCCCGTCCGGTTCGCGCGGTACCCGCGCTGCCAAATCACGTGCAAATCAGAAGCTCGATGCTCAAGCGAAGGACCTCGCTGAATTCCAGCGCCAGATGGCTCGGAGCAAATCTACTAATGCCAGGCCTCTGACTCCACGCCGACCTTCTGGGATCCGTGTGAGTGCGCGGCTGCGTGGTAACCTGGCAGACGATGAGTGGCAGGAGGGTACCAGACGAATGGCTTTCTCCTAGTGCGCATGATGGAACGGAGGGAGAGGAGAAAACACCGCCCAAGGCTAAGACGAGGCTGAAAACGGGGCTTGAGAGCGATGAAGACTCGGTCAGCGATCTCACAGAGCTTAGCGAGGACGATGACACAGATGAGGGGGACACCCAAGAAGAAGCCGATGCAGAAGAGGATGAAGAACCAAACGTTAAAGATGAAGAATCCGAAGCGGACTCCGTGCCGGTTCCTGATAAACCAAATGGCAAGATTGATTATGAGGAAGACGACGAGCTTCCATCTCTTCCTGAAGGTTTTATTGAATGGGAGACGGTGAGTTATTTATGAGCGATTAGTTAAATCGTTTCATATTCCCCTTCTTCATCGTGAACAGATCTGTATCACTCTTGAAGAGTGGGAGAACTTCCCCGAGCAATTTGAGAAAGCCACTCACTATGCTGAGAAGTCGCTGTATAAGGTATTGACGCAAAGTATCGTCCCGGCAATAACCGCTGAGCTGAGGGCATGTATCCCACCTCATTTAATCTTAGGAAGCATTGATACTAATGTAATTTTAGGAGGTGGAGAAGAAGAAGCGCAAAGAAGAAGCGGTCGTACATCGCAAGCGCTCATCTCGTATTGCTATCAAGGAAAGTGAGAAGGAGCAAGAATTACTTGCTGCTAAGAAGCGCGCAGAGGAAGATGATAAGATGAGCCGAGCTCGAAGGGCTGAAGCGCGTCGACAGAAAGAGGAAGCGGACAGGATTAAGAGGGAGAATGCTAGAGAACAACGCAGGAAGGAGCGAGAAGCCAAGCAAGTTGGGGGGTCTGAGGCTGATGCTAGGTATGAATATTTTGCCATATCTTGTGTATTCTAAACGCCTCGCTAGCGCCAACACGCCTATCGATGTCGTGAGTCAAGAACCTTCCTCATCTTCCATACCGCCTGGTCAGATGGGCAAATTTCCAACATTATCTGTTCCTGTTCCCGTCAACGGATCAGGCGCTGTTAGTAGTGGATCACGGACACCAGCCGAAGACTGGGAACTGGATTGCGAGGTCTGCGGTAGACAAGGGGTCAACCGGGTTTGTCTCTTTTTAACCCCGTATTCTTGCCGCTTTACATCTTGTGATAATTTTAGGATGACGGCGTTCCCATCATGTGCTGTGGTCGATGTTTGAAGTGGCAGCATATTGGGTGTCATGACCAACGAGACGTCACTGCAGGCCGCCCAAAACGTAACTGGGATGCCGAGGACTTCGTCTGCAGAAGGTGTCGCGTGTCGGGATCCAGGGCTTCTTCATTTAGCAGTAGCCAATTGCCAACACCAACCGATCTGAAAGCAGTGTATGGTTCAGTTGGAACACAGCCCTACTATAGCAGCCAGCAGAGTTACTCCCCTGACCGCTATCCTAATGGAGGCTACTACGCAGGCGGCGCGACGAGTGGGAGATACAGCTACGAACACCAGTCTGACATAAGGTCATCTGGCATGCCTTCTCAGTCTTATGCTCAAGCTCCCCGTACTTCTGGCGTCACCTTTGCTCACTATCAACCCCAGCAAGGAGGATTTTCGACGTCACGTCCATCTTACTCCATTCAAGAGCCAGTTCCCATAACCCAGCAGACTCGCTATCCGCAGTCTACATCTCCAGTCACTGGAGTAAGCCAATACCCCGGGCCCTTCCAGGTGACTTGAATTTATTGAGTTCCAAAAACCATATCTCTAACTGATTTCAAGGCCCATCCATCCACCCATATCCAGGTGCAGCCTCAGCACCGGTGGCAACCCTCCAGCTATTCTCGGAGCGATGCGTCTTACAGCATGAACGCGGTTGTTCCGCCTTCTCCATACACCTCCCAACAACAGCCCTACTATCCTGGAACCTCCTCCTCAAGTCCCTCAGTTCCGTTCTCTCAAATGCATGGTACAAACCATCAATCCGTGCCCCAGTATTCCGGATACCAACATGCCGCTCCTTACCAACAAAGTAGATGAGTTCACATTAGTTCACATTCGTACGCTCTTTTTTTCGCTGGGAACACTTTTTGATTTATCAAGATATTCGTAAGTGATGGACCGCAGGTACATAGTTAGTGGAGGAGGATGAGAAGCAGGAGGATGTAGAGTACTGAATGTGATATAATGAATGTGCTTCGTTGGGCTGGAATCACTTGAAGTGAGGGCTCTATATCATGATAAGTCTCACTGCCCATGAGTGCGTTGATTAGAAGTGCTGGAAGTATGCGCGCGTTTTGCGCGAGTTCATTCCAAAAGCACTTTCTCACCGTGACTGTAAGATACATACTTACGAGCACGGATTTCAGAGACGACTTTGATTCGATCCAATCAAGAATCCGTCTGGGAGTGCTGCATGCAGCCTCCGTCAACTCGGGACCAGAAACGTCCGCCACGAAATCCACTCCATGTTCCCGGACATTTGAAAGGGATTACGACATACTAATATCTTAAAATTCATGGGCACTATCTCGAAGTCCTTCGGTACATGTGTTTGGATGCTCCGTGAGTAGCACTGACATTATTTCTCACTCTGACCAACGAGACGCTGACGTCCGTTGACCATTTGATTCTGCTGAGACATGAGAGGTTCATCTCTAGTATGTGTATGACTGTCAGACCTTCATGTCCACCTTCTCACTCGTACCCAAGACATCATCTACTATCTCCTCGAGTCCTTCCTGAAATAATCACTATTAACAGACGTAGCTGCGGCCATGTCGAATATGGTTTCGCCGACGCCGAGGAAACGGTCAGCAAATGAGCGCATGGTTGGGTCTGATATTAGAGTGGTGTCAACGCTGAAGAGTGCACGAGCCGGCGAAACCGATGACATTCGCATTAATGTCGGATGTGGGACATGAGGCTTGAGAGACTCACGCGAATCCACTCGACCGCCGGATGCCAGCGACGACAGTTGAAACTAGCACTGCGTCTACAGCATAATGCACGATTCTGCCTAGTGCCATGTAGTAGTAATAATTGTGTCAAGTAGGAAATGTGCTAGCTTGGGTAATGGTGGTTAGCGATTAAGAATGGTGTGCGGGTGAGGCTATCACAAAAGGGAACTCTTCGGTATAACGTCACGGTGGCCGCCCTAGTCTCCCCTAGTCAGACCAAAAGAGGAAAACGAAAACAGTCATTCCTTCTATATTAGTGCCGCCCAGATGTTGATCCGGGGCCAACAAGTTTATCCTTTCAAATATTCGGGAGTCCTACGCTCATCGAATTCACTTGTATGGACGCATAACTTGGTGCAGCACAACTACAAGCATAAATAACAGAGGTACACTATTACTAGCCATCACCGGAGAAACACTACCCTCTTCTCCGGCCTTGATGCAATCCAGGCGGCTTCATGAATGACGCCCAACCCGACACGTTCCATCAAGCCCTCATCCTGACTAACCGCCATCACATGCAACGAGCATCCATCGTAACCCCTAAGAGTCTCTTCGTCGTATACGCTGCGCGAACTGGTACGGGAAAGGACGATAAAGTCGAGAGAAGATGGCAGAGCAAGTTCCAATGGCAGGACGGCAGTGCCAACCCAAACAGGAGGAAAAGAAGCGGCTGAGAGAATATTGAAGAGACCGTGAGCATATCCACTTGGTTCTTCGCCACCTCGCCGTGTAATTCCAAAGTGGCTGCAAGTCGTGCGAAAAACGAGGGTGCCTGGTTCTAGCGGTCGATGAATGTCTAGTGTCAGCTCCGTTGGGTCTAAGATCCCTTGCGGAGCAGAATATGCATGCTTCACTTCCCTTGCCCTCAAAACGACCCAGGAAACATGGTGGACATCAAGCCGCATTGTGTTGCCGCCGTGGTTCACGATGTACCAAGGTTCAACAAGTGTTTCCTCCACCGATGGCTCACTACTCAAATCGCCCATCTGAGTCCTCAGATACACATCCGCCCCCCTGTAGAGAACACCGCCACGCCACGCAGCCCATGCCCAAGAAGGCCAAGGCGAGCTGCCTCCGACAGGGAGTAAACGACGAGTGCGAGGTGTTTGTGGATTATGTTGCCAGAGAAGCGTGAGATGTATGTTTGGCAACATCATTCCATATCGAAAGACTCTGTCGGGGTCACCAAGCTCAAATGCCATCGCTAAAGCATTCGTCACTCCAGTGAAAGCATCAACGATATCTGATTCCACGGTGAGATGGCGTCGTGTATACCTATCAACGGCTCCCGTGTAACTCGGAACTGCGTAAGAATATGGGAAATACTCTCCAAATGACCGGAGGAAGCTGTGGGAGAGTGGGAGACACTTGCTTTCGGCGACGATGTCTTCGCAGAAAATGTCGCATTTGCACTCAAAGTAGACTTGCGGCCCGGTGAAGTATATTCTTCTGCAGGAGAGCGCGCTCTCTTGGTAGGTCCAACAACGCGTACTCCACGTGGATTGAGCGAGAGCTTCCCTAAGTCTTGGAGGAGCCACGTAGAGATGCAGTCCTTGAACGACCTCGATGTGCTGTTGCAATGTTCTAGTCCGTGGACGGCATCCTGGGAGAGGGTCTTGAGCCGTCGTACCGCCAGCAGCGACTATCGTGAGATGAGACAGGCCGTAGACCAAATCCATAGCGTGTAGCTGAATGGACTTGTCAAGCAAATCATCTTGAATAATGCATAGAGCGTCGATCCATAAATAACGTTCGCCGAGCTGTCGAACGAATAGGATCGAATCTGTGATGGTTTCGGGAAGGGTCGACATGTTCAATCCGCCAGGTATGGAGCGCTCCGCTATATTATCTTTCGTCGTCCAGTAACCTGCGCCGATACTTCCCCATACATAACTGAGCGTGAGATAACGACAGCCAGAAGGCGCAGGAACCACGGCCATCGATGCTACGTCCACCACTCTCACAAACCCCGGCAGCTTCCTGTCCATTTTCCAAACGTTGCCACATTTATCTCCATGGTTCTCCTGGCACAGGCTAATCCACTTCTGCACCAGACCAATATCCACGGTGTTCTTCACCCTGCGGCCATGAAGGTCGGCTGGTCTCCCAAATTTGAAAGCATCTTCTTGCAAGAGGTGGATGATGAGCGGACTTTCTTCCCCTAAAGCTAGATGTCTCTTCCAAAGGCCCCCTGGATCCTTCGTCCTGACAATGTGGAGGCGGTAACAACGAAATGTCGGCTGATAAAAGGGCTCCCGAAGACAGCCACAATTTTTCGAGTACATCCCAAATTCAATCTCCGAGAGATCGACGTGAGGAAATTCGTCCAATTTCCATGTTCGACGTACATGAAAGGATATGAGGCGGCAGAAATTGCATTGGTAGGATTTCTCTAAGATGGAGGAGAGTAACCCAAGCGGAATCTCTTCCTTTAGTGGGGTACCGTCGAGGAAGATCTGGTGAAAATCTAGATTTGCACAGATGGAACATAGTGAGGTGTTGTTGTCTGACGGGGCGATGTGATATCTCTGTTCACCCTCTTCAATCACGTTGTGCTGGGTAAGTGGGCATGCTCACCTGGAGATCAGTTGGTGGTTGATCTGGATTTAGGAGAGGGGCGAATTCAGAGGTCCTATCGGATGCAATGTTTGTTTTGAGTTTGCATATGCGGATGACCGATAGCCAAAAAACCCAAACTACGAGAGCGGCTCCTCCGATAATTCCAATAAGGGCCAAACCATGATTTGAGACCTGACGGAGAGTCTTGGGTTGTGCTTTAAGCCCCTCGTGGTTACCTGATGATGACTTGAATACGTGATAAAAATGACAAAAAAACATCGTAGAGGCATGATACTCACCTGAAGGAATCATAATGTTAAGTTGCAGCGAGGTTCACTGGGAGGACTTTGGTTTGACTCCAGGTAGGTAAGAGATGCGCGACGGCAGATCACGACATGACAGGCTGTGTTTCGTAGTGGCAGTGGGAAATCTACCTTTATGTACATCACTGGCGTAGATAAGTTCGTCCAAAGATGAAGTGATACACCTAGCGCACCTCCGCCTTGATCACAAATGGAGCGGTGGATGATGATATTCTTGTAATACAGAAGCCGTTCGAAACTAGCGGAAACGTCTTTCTCCCTATGCAGTGCTCGAACGCGGTCAGATCAGGGCTGCATATCATGAATGTTGATTGACTTTTGCTGCTGTAATGGTGGAAAATACAGGATGAAGTGGTCAGACGTCAGAACCCGGAATATTATAAAGGATGTTGACGCTACCCGGTTACCGCCCTGCCTGAGGATCAGTGCCTAATGCAAAGAGTGAGGCCTCATGTATGATGATGGCTGGCTCAGTTCTCACGGTAGGAACAGGCAAAGTATACGTCTAAGCTCATCACCAATACATTCCCTAGAACAATAGCTTTCATGGATTTAAGGTAGTCTAAGTCATGTAGCCATAAAGATATGCGAAATACAACGACAGCCAAAACGAGGATCTATCAAGGCCTGTCCTTGAACATTTTCTGGATAGCCTCACTCGAGTACGATTTCGGACGTTCCAAAGCTAGCATAGCATACATTCAGTTTCCCATCAATGCAAATTAGATGAATCGGACTTACGAGCACCAAGCGCACGATCCCAGATCAACTGAGCAGCCACCCCGAATGCACGGGAAACACCAAACAGCACGGTATAGAACTGCATCTGATCCAGTCCATAATGCGTCAACAGCACACCGGAATGGGCGTCCACATTCGGCCACGGGTTCTTGGCTTTACCCGCCTCCAACAAAATACCAGGGACAATATCGTAAATCTGACCCACGAGTTTGAAGAGGGGGTCATTAGGGAGATTCTTGAGTGCGAATTCACGCTGGGCGGTGTAGCGGGGGTCCGTCTTGCGGAGGACGGCATGTCCGTACCCGGGGACGACTTGGCCGCCTTTGAGTGTGGACCAAACGTAGGATTTGACGGCGTCGTCTGTAGCGTTTTCGCCGATTTGGGATTGCATCTTGCGCAGCCACAGGAGGACTTCTTGGTTGGCAAGGCCATGAAGGGGGCCGGCGAGACCGTTTAGGGAGGCGCCGAATGCGAGGAAGGGGTCGGAGAGGGCTGAGCCGACGAGTTTGCCTGTGTGGGCAGAGACGTTACCACCTTCGTGGTCGCTTGAGTGGTGTAAGTATGCTTTGTGTGGTATAGATGAAAAAGACGTACGTGTGGATGGTAATGTAGAGACGGAGGAGCTCGACAAAGGCCTCATTGTCACCAAAGCCAAGGAGGGTTGCGAGGTTGGCAGAGTAGTCCTTGCTGTTATCAATGGCAGGTAGCTTTCCGTCACTGAACATGTTGCGGTATATGCGACCTGCAATGTTGGGGAGCTTGGCAATGCTAAGGGAGATATGAGCATTAGTTAGCTGAATAGATGATGAATACTGACAGATCCATGGAGTCCTCAAATGTGTAACCCCAGTATTCCTTCTTGGAGACACCGTCTTGGTATGCCTTGGCAAAGGCAGAGTCATGGTTGAGCGCGGTGACTGCCATGGAGAACTGGCTCATGGGGTGAAGGGTGGGAGGGCAGCGATCAATGATCTCCTTTACGAAATCGGGAATCTCAGCACGAGCAGCCCAGTCGCGGCTAAGCTCTGCGACTTGTTCCTTGGATGGAATTTCGCCGGTGAGGAGAAGCCAGAAGATACCTTCTGGGAGAGGTTCCGAGCCACCCGGCGCTGCGGGTAGAAGGCTCTTGCACTCGTCGATGGACTTTCCACGGAAACGGATACCATCCTCTGGAAAGGCGTGAGATGGGAAGAATGAGAAGGAAAAGATGACGGACCTGGGTCGAGTACGGAGCCATCCCAGATGAGTGCTGGGAGACCACGCATGCCGCCATAGAGCTGGTCGACTGTTACAGGACCGAATGCCTTTTTCCCATGCTCTGCGCGAATTGCTTTTACCTGAGGAAGGAAAAGGAAAAGAAGCTGATGACCAAAAATGAGATATCACGCGCACCTTTTCTATTTCTGTGGGGATGAGCTCAGCAAGACGTTCTTTTAAAGTGACCTGTCTTGAAGCTGTTGAAGAGAATCGAATTGAGGAGCGTGCAAGCAGTGGAGAGCGGGACTAGGAATAAGAGTTAGTAGGAAGTTGACAGAGGTGAAGTTGTACATACGACATTAAAGACGTTACGGAGAGCAGCGACCATGGTGAAGACTCTGAAGAGGGAGGGATGGAGAGAAATTGAAAGCCGAGGTTGAAATTGAAATTTAAGACGCAGAATATCGGAAAACATCGGACCACGGGAAAAATGGGTCGACGCGGGTGAGAACCGAACCGTGACCGAGACAGCATGCCGAAGCGAAAGAGAACGACGACTACGACTACGGCGGCGGCGGCGACGACGAGCAACGCTCCTTCACTACTCCCACAGGTCAGTTCACTCAGACCGACTAAATAAAACACTGAGTCTTTGAATAGAAAAAACACTATAGACAACGAGCTCATGCAAATCCATTCTCTGATCATTCACTCGTATATCCATCATCACCCGATTCAATAGATTGGTCGTCTCACTATCCAGCCTTTGTAAACCAGAGACCATCGTTTGCAGACATTGGATGTGGTTTTGGTGGTCTTTTGATTACACTCGCACCTCAATTCCCTGATACTCTCATCATCGGTCAGTCAATCTATTATTGTCTTAATCCCTTTCTTATATCCGCAGGTCTTGAAATTCGTGTTCAAGTAACACAGTATGTTTATGATCGTATCACCGCACTTCGAGCGACCACAGACAATTATCAAAATGTATCAGTCATCCGCGCAAACGCAATGAAATTCCTCCCAAACTTCTTTCAGAAAGCTTCCCTCACTGCCCTCTTCTTCCTATTCCCCGATCCACACTTCAAAACACGCAAACACAAGGCACGCATCATATCACCCACCCTTCTTGCAGAATATGCATATGTCCTCGCACCAGGTGGAATCGTCTACACCATCACAGATGTCGAGGATCTTGCACAGTGGATGCGTACTCATCTAGACGCTCATCCTCTCTTTCAGTTTGTCGAGGAGCAAGAACTGAGGAAAGAGGGAAAGGGTCCCATCTTGGATGCAGTTTATGGTTCTACGGAAGAAGGGAAAAAAGGTAGAACGCAATGCTGGTGAGAAATGGCTCGCATGCTTCAGACGCATCGAGGTCAAGAGAATCAATGTAATCTAGTCAGTGTAATAAGAAGTGTACAGTTGTTGCGTAAGACCTTTGAAAGAGGCTCCTAAGCCTAAGCGCTCAATGACGAAGTCTCCCCGCGGCCTTGTATTAGAACAACCGTGCCATGCTAAACCATCCATGTCAGAGTAACGTAACTAGCACTGACATTCAAGTCTGGTATCAGAGGCATAAGTACCCACGGTGCCGTTTGAGCTCTACGTGAGCCTGCGAACGTTTTGCTCAAACAAGTGCTTACTAAGCGAGCGAACGCGTATCGTAAGACGCCGTTTTGCCACAGTGGCAGCCACACGCGTCTTTCATCTCGTTTTCATCTTGCGTTAGCTCGCCTAGATCTCTTACCCGCCCATCACTTCCCTTAGGTGTCTTAGCAGTGTTTTTGGGTTGTGTTGTGTTTCAGAAAACTTCCCAAATACCTCTGCTTCACACTCGAGGGTTTCTGGCTGTGTCTTTTCCCCAGGTCGATTCTTTTCGCGCCCTTTTTCTCGCGCGCATTCGATCTCGTCTTTCGCTTGCTTCAGACGAATATCTCTCTTTCCGCGCCTTTGCTTGTGCGCATTTGATCTCGTCTTTCGCTTGCTCTAGACGGATTCCTCACTCATCTTCTCGTCGACCCGGCGGATATCTTTGTCTGCACTGCCCGGCAAAAGCCGAAACTGACCACAGCCAAAACCCCACCCCCAACTGAAGAAATTCGTGTCGATGTAACTCGCATTTAGCTTTATTAAATGCATCGTTCTTAATACTTTATTTTAGCCTGTCATATCACTGGTCGAGTCTGCGAAATTTTGACGCACGTCACAACAGCAGCTTCAGTTTGCGATTTCGCAGACTCTACCTTAGCCGTAGCACAACAAGCAATAGTAAGCGACAGCTTTAGCATTCAAATCACGACTATTATATTTAAAAAGGTTATACCCAATTGGAACCAGTTAAAGCAAGATTATCGAGGCGAATTTCTCGCACCAGTGCTGGGAAAGTATGCGATTGTGTTTATGAAGACAGCTTCTGAGAGGTTGCGATGCTCAAAACACGATAGCCGGACGTATCGGTCTCGTCCACAGCATTTTGGACTTCCTGTGCAGGACGGGCCTACACAGGAAGTCAAAAATGCTGTGGACAAGACCGCATCAGATTTTGGACCCGTCGAAAGACCATCGTTGAATGACCCCACAGTGTTTGGCATAGTCTCAGTCGAACCGCATCGAGCGAGGCACTTTGCCAAAAAAACAAACCAACAAACTCAAAGAATTAATCCATAATGAGCAATTGATGAAGAGGCAGTACCTGATAATTGATACACACAGTGACAGTGGTACGGAACCAGAGCGGGATATGTGCCTACATGAGTTGGGTTATAAATGGTCAGAAATCCAACAGAATCCAACTCACGATACATAGGATCTACTAATAGTGCGACTACGCCGGTGAGGTCCACAGAGCACCCCCCCTCGTCAACTTCAAACATTATTGACCGTCCATCCCGTTGGCGCATATAGCTTTCTCCTTACCTTGTTCGTCGTCTCTCTTGCTTCTCTTGCTTCTTGAAACTATACAGTGATTCACCTTTGACGCTCAGCCACCTTACATAACCACTCTGTATCATATTAGTAGCCGCGCGTAGTCGTTTGTTTTACCTCAGAGTTTGTTCCACTCGCTGAGGTATATGTTACTCCTACTGTCTTGTACCTATTTGTACTCATGTCACCTAGTTCACTCGTGCTCTAGGTACTACTCAATATTATAGCGTTTGTTCCACTCGCTGAGTTCACTTGTGCTCTAGCCTATCACATCCTCCTGTCTAGCGACTCGGACATGTCGGGATTGCTCGATGTAGCAAAAAAAGTGTATCTTACTGTAAGAAGGCGCGCGACGCCGGCGCAGCCGGCAAAGACAACACAACTGGCGCAGACACAGACGATGCAAATGCACACGAAGAAATTGTGGGCAGTCACATTCTTCAAAGACGGTCGACGGATCGTCACTGCTTCAGAGGATAAAATCCTGCGAATCTGGGACGTGGAGAAACGAGCATTGGTGGGAGGGCCATTCGAGGGACACAGTGATTATGTGGATTCAGTCGCCGTATCGCCAGACGACAGGCGAATTGCGAGTGCTGGAGGAGATAAAGCCATCATCATCTGGGACGTCAACAGCAAGCAGATGGTATTCCAACGGCTGTGGGGGCATACAAAACGTGTCCGGTCGGTATGCTTCTCTCCCGGTGGAAAGAGACTTGCAAGCGGGTCATCTAATTAGACGGTGATTATGTGGGATGCGGAGACTGGTGCTGTTCTCTCAAGACTCCAGAGTGGGGGTTCGGTGTGGAGTGTTGCCTTCAGCCCAGATGGGCTAAAATTGGTATCTGGCGGAGGTTTTGGTACCGTTCGTGTTTGGAGCACCGATAACGCCGAGCTTCTTCTCAGGATTGACGCTCGCCAAAATGCTGTTCGAAGTGTTGTGTGGTCGCCCGACGGCCAGCAATTTATCTCTGCATCAGATGACGACACAACAATCAAGTTTTGGGACTCTTCGAATGGGACCCAGATCAGTCAACCATGCACCGGTCATACTGACAAAATCTACTCCCTGGCCATATCTTCTGATCCCTCCTTCATTGCAACTGCCTCGCAAGATAAAACTGTGCGCCTGTGGAACACAAAGTCACACCAGCAGATAGGGCAGCCACTCAAACACACCGCACAGGTTTACTGTCTCGCAATTTCTCCCAATGGAGAACTGCTCGTGAGTGGAGATTATGATGGAAATGTGCAGTTCTGGTCTATCGAGAGCACACTATCCACAGCATTCGGGACGGATTCCTCATTTGATTCCTACTTTGCACACCGCAGTAAGGTGAAGTTGGGACAAAACCTCTATGTGGAGGCCCTTTCGGACGCGAACAAGGTGCAGGCGATATCCGTCATTTATGTAACATTTATGGATGACGTTCGTAGGTCATTGAACTCTACCCTTCGTCTTACCTTGGATACGAATTAAAGTATTCCGCGCTTCGTGGAGCACAACGCTATGATGACGCATCCGAGGCTTTTACAATCATGCTCTCCAAGTTGGACAATGAATCCGACCCACAGATACGACGTAAGCCCAAAACAACTCAAACGTCGACTTGAAGATGACCTGCATTTTTGCAGAGCTACGCCAGCAATACGTCAGTCCATCTGAAGTAGAAGATGCTATTCGACGAGCCATTCACGCCCAACTGGAAAACGCCCTCCTTCGTCTAATCAATACCTCTACTGGACGTTTATGCAATCGAGATGCACAGATCAACGCATTCATTGAGAGCACAGAGTTCAAGAAGCTTTTGTCTCCATCAGTAATGCATGGGGCCGTCCAAACGGGACACATCAAAGAAACGGTTTCGAAGTACTTCAGTTGGGTCATGTTGTCCCATAGGTGGGAAAGGAAGAAGCCGCTACAGCACGGCGCGGTGAAGTTGGGTCAAAACCTCTATGATGAGGCCCTTTCGGACGCGAACAAGGTGCGGACGAAATCCATCGTTGTTTGAACATTTGTGATGATGTTCGTAGGTCATTGAGTTCATCCCTTCTTCTTATCTCGGGTACGAACTGAAGTATGAAGCTCTTCATGGAGCACATCACTATAATGATGCATTTGAGGCGTTCGAAATAATGCTCTCTAAGTTGGACAATGCTCCTGAAGCACGGATGCAAAGTAAGCCCAAAATCACTCACGCCGCCAACGTAATTATCATGAATTCGTTCTCCAGAGCTACGTCAGAAATATATCAGTGCATCTGAAGCACTGGAAACCGCTGTTCGACGGGCCATTCACGCTCGACTGGAAAACGTCCCCCTTCGTCTAATCAACATCTCTACTGCACGTTTATGCAATCGAGACGCACAAATCAACGCATTCATTGAAAGCACAGAATACAAGGAGCTTTTTGCTCCATCAGTAATGCATGGGCCCCTCCAAACGGAGCTCATCAAAGAAGCGGTGGCGAAATACTTCAGCTGGGTCATGTTGTCCCACAGGTGGGAAAGGACGGAGCCGCTACTGTACGACATTCAGGGCAGGGAGATATACGACTTGGATCCGATAGGAACCTTCGTGAAGTTGCAGAAGTTCTGCAAAGTCGCTCGCGACGCGGGGTATCGCTGGGCGTGGAGCGATACGTGCTGCATCGACCAGAACAACAACGTGGAGCTCCAGCAATCAGTCAATTCCATGTTCATCTGGTATCACTACTCAGCGCTCACTATCGTCTACTTATCAGATGTTCCTCCTTCGTCAGAGTCTGGTGCGCTCGCAAACAGCATGTGGAATACGCGAGGATGGACCGTTCAGGAGTTCCTCGCTCCTAGAATTGTTCTCTTCTACCAAGCAGATTGGAACCTATATCTCGACAACCGCTCACGCAACCACAAGGAGTCTGTCAGTATAATGAAGGAGTTAGAGCGTTCAACTGGCATAAATGCGCAGGCGCTCGTCGACTTCCATCCAGGGACAAGAGATGCCCGAGAGAAACTGCGATGGGCGTCAACTCGTGTCACTACGTTGCAGGAAGATATAGCGTATTCACTGTTTGGGATCTTCGGCGTTCACCTTCCCGTAATATACGGAGAAAACCGACAGAACGCGCTCGGACGTCTCTTACAGGAGATCATAGCGCATTCGGGGGACATCACAGCCCTTGATTGGGTGGGACAATCGTCCGACTTCAACAGTTGTCTCCCAGCTGAGATTTCTTCATACAAGACTCCGTCATCTACGCTGCCATCTTTATCCGAAGACGAGATGCAGAATTCGGTCTCCACGCTGCGAAACAATGTGGCTGTGGAGTCAGCCTCGAAACTGTATGACACTCTTGAGAACCTCAACGTTCCTCGTTTTGCAAACGCCAGACTGCAATTGCCTTGCATCGCATTTCCTCTTACAGAAGTCAGGCGGAGTCCTGATGGAGACAAATATTTCACATATGAAGTCAAAGCAGTCGGGCTACAAGACTTGCTGGTCACAACGGAAGATAAGCTGGTTCAATTCTCACCTGCAAGGCGTACTCGGCAGACGTTCCTGCTCATCTGTCCGTGGAATCGGTATGATCTCGAGTTGGTCGACTTTACAGACGAGTCGCAGAGCGCGGACGATTGGGCTGATGAGCCTGGAGATGATGAGCTGGTCGCCAGAGGGTTGAGGTTGCTCGTTCGCCTTGCTCGTCCATTTGGGGCCCTTTTGCTAGCGCAACAGCGTGGTGGGGAGTATAAGAGAATCGCTTCGGATAACAATATCATCGCACAAGTCAGGGACACGGCATCTGTTGATAACTTGATGGACATCAGGACGCTGGAGATATTGTAGCTGCGAAGAACGGGTCATTTTCATTTCATACATTGACAACATATCTAGATGAACAGTAGCCGTAGAATTTTGCATCGTATTTGTCTTGATATCGTATCATATATACAAACAAGCTAATCCGAAAATCAGGCGTCCTAGGGCAGAGGAGAAAGCTCCGGTACAAGCGCTCTCTAGAACTGCGTTGTTTGCCCATCTAGACGCGCTCTCTCTCTTTCAGTTTGTTGACTAAGAAGTAGGGGAAGAAGGGAAGGGTGCCATGTTGGATGCAGTATATGGTTGAAAGGAATAGATGTTTAACGCCGCATGGGTCGAGCAACGCGGACGAGAACCGAACCGTGACCAAGCGAAAGAGAACGACAGGGATGACGACAACGCACTTTCACTACTCCCACACTACTAGTAAGTATCAGAGGCATACCCACGGACAGCTTTAGATTCAGATCGCGACTGTTATAGAAAAAGTCATACCTAATTGAAACCAGTGAAAGAAAGATCATTGAGGTGAATTTCCCGCACCAGTGCTGAAAAAGCATGTGATTTTTTTATGAAGACAACTTTTGAGATGTTGCGATGCTCAAAACACGATAGCCGGACACATCGCTCTCGTCCACAGCATTTTTGACTGCTTGTGTAGTTCCGGATGTCCATCGTGGGGTGTGCACGGAATGAACTCATGATATTGATTGCGTCTGGCAGGAGTGGTCTACCTGAGGGACGAAGGGGTACCACTTGATAGAAACCAAGATTTCGGGGTACATCACAGGTGTATTCTTCCATTATAGTTCTTTGGGAACAATATAAGGGATTTGCTGTGAACGAACTCAATTTACCTATAATGGGCAGGTGATGAAGAAGGATGATTGATACAGTGGCAGTGGCATCGTGGTAAGTACGGAATACGGAACCAGAGCGGATAAGCACCTACACGAGTTGGGTTATAAATGGGGAGAAATCGAACTCACGACACATAGGATCGACGACTACGCCGGGTAAGGTCCACAGAGTACGCTCCTCGTCAACTTCAAACGTTACTGACCGTCTATCTCCCTATTTAGCGATATGTCAGGATTGCGCGATGTAGCAAAAAAAGCATATCTTACTATGAGGAGGGCGCGCGACGCTGGCGCCGACAACCCAGCCTGCGCCAATACAAACGAAGCGAGTGCACACGAAGAAAGTGTCGGCAGTCGCGTTCTTCAAAGACGGTCAACGGATCGTCACTGCTTCAGAGGATAAAACCCTCCGATCTGGGACCTGGAGAAAGAGTATTGGTGGGAGGACCATTCGAGGGACACAGTGGCTGTGTGATTTCAGTCGCCATATCGCCAGACGACAGACGAATTGCGAGTGGTGGGAGAGATAGAGCCATGATCATCTGGGATGTCGATAGCAAGCAGATGGTATTCAACCACTGGTGAAACATACCACAAGGGGTTGAGTCGGTGTGTTTCTCTCCCAATGGAAAAGACTCGCAAGCGGGTCATCGAGTGGAGAAGTTGTGATATGGGATGCGGAGACTGGCGCTGTCCTCTCAACACTCAAGGCTTGGAGTGCGGTGGATTGTGTCGCCTTCAGCCCGGATGGGCGAAAATTAGCTTCCGGAACGTGGCGCTTACATTCGGGTTTGGCGCACCGACAACGCCGAGCTTCTGTTGGACATCAAGGCTCACCAACATTCCATTCAAAGCGTTGTGTGGTCGCCTGATGGCCAGAAACTTGTCTCTGCATCAGGAGACAAAACAATCAAGTTCTGGGACTCGTCGAATGGAAGCCAGATTGGTCAACCTTGCACCGGTCACACTTCCTACATTCGCTCACTTGCCATTTCTTCTGATGGCTTCTTCATTGCAACCGCCTCCGACGATAAGACTGTGCGACTGTGGAACCCCATGTCACAACAGCAGATAGGACAGCCGCTTAAACACACCAAACGTGTTTGTTGCGTCGCTATTTCTCCCAACAGAGAACTGCTTGCGATTGGGGACAATGATGGAAATGTTCAGCTCTGGTCCATCAAGAACACACTTTCCGCAGCATTCGGGATGGGTTCCTCATACTTTGCGCGTCGCAGTAAGGTGAATTTTGGCCTAAAGCTATATGCGGAGGCCCTTTCGGACGCGGAAAAGGTACAGACGATAATCATTATCACTTTCACACATGATGATGTTCGCAGGTCATTGAGCTCAACCCTTCGTCTTATCTCGGGTACGAACTAATGCATGCAGCGCTTCGTGGAGCACATCGCCATGATTCATTCGAGGCCTTCACAATCATGCTCTCCAAGTTGGACAATACATCCGACCCACGGATACGACGTAAAGCCCCAAAGAAACTCGAGCGTCGACCTGAAGATGAATGACTTGCTAATTTTTTTTGCAGAGCTACATCAGCAATACGTCGGTTTATCTGAGGTAGAAGATGCTATTCGACGAGCCATTCACCCCAAACTGGAAAACGCCCCTCTTCGTCTAATCAACACCTCTACTGGGCGTTTGTGCAATAGAGATGCGCAGATCAACGCATTCATGGAGAGTACAGAGTACGAAGAGCTTTTGTATTCATCGGATGTGCATGGGCCCCTCCAAACGGAGCTCATCCAAGAAGCGGTCGCGAAGTACTTCGGTTGGGTCATGTTGTCCCATAGGTGGGAAAGGAAGGAGCCGCTGTTGTATGACATTCAGGGCAGAGACATATACGACTTGGATCCGGTCGGAACCGTGGTGAAGTTGCAGAAGTTCTGCAAAGTCGCACGCGCCGCGGGGCATCGTTGGGTGTGGAGTGACACATGCTGCATCGACCAGAACAACAATGTCGAGCTCGGAGAATCAGTCAATTCCATGTTCATCTGGTATCACTACTCAGCGCTCACCATCGTCTACCTATCCGATGTTCTTCGTTTTTCAGAATCTGGCGCGCTCGCCAACAGCATTTGGAACACACGGGGATGGACCGTTCAGGAGTTCCTCGCTCCTAGAATTATTCTTTTTCTACCGAGCAGATTGGACCCTATATCTGGACGACCCGCTCACGCAACCACAAGGAGTCTGCCAGTATCGTGAGGGAGATGGAGCATTCAACTGGCATGAATGCACAGGCGCTCATCGACTTCCGTCCAGGATGAGAGATGCGCGAGAGAAACTACGATGGGCGTCAAACCGTTACACCACGAGGGAGGAAGACATTGCCTACTCTTTGTTTGGTATCTTTGATATCAACCTTCCTGTTATCTACGGGGAAAAAAAGACAAAAGGCGCTCGGACGACTCTTGCAGGAGATCATAGCGCATTCGGGGGACATCACAGCCCTTGATTGGGTGGGACAATCGTCCAACTTCAATAGTTGTTTGCCAGCCGACATCTCCTCATACAAGGCTCTGCCACGCACTCTACCACCTCTATCCGAACATGACATGCAGATATCAGTCTCCACATTGCGAAACAATATTGTGGCTGTAGAGTCGGCTTCCAAATGTATACCACTCTCAAGAACCTCGGTATTCCTCGTTTCTCAAACGCCAGACTGCAATTGCCCTGCATCGTATTTCCTCTCACAGAAGTCGGGCGGAGGCCTGGTCAAGACGGGGCCAGATGTTTCACTTATGACGTGAAGGCGGACGGGCTACATGACCTACTGATCACAACGGAAGACAAACTAGTCGAATTCTCGCCTGAAAGGCGTACTCAACAGACATTCTTGCTCGTCCGTCCATGGAATCGGCATGATCTTGGGCTTGATTAACTTTGCAGACCAGACGCAGAGCTTGGAAGGTTGGCCCAAGCCTGGGTCTCCGTCAGATGATATGCTCGGCGGCCATCCCGCATACGACGAGCCGGCTACGCGAGAGTTGAGGTTGATCGTTCGCCTCGCACAGCCTTTCCGCGCACTTTTGCTAGCGCAGCAGTGGGGTGAGGAGTATAAGAGAATCGCTTCGGATATCAATATCATCGCACAAGCCAGGGACATGGCTTCTGTTGATGACATGATGGATGTCAGGATGCTGGAGATATTGTAGGTACGAAGAACGGGACGTTTTCATTTCACACCTTGACCAGACCTCCACACGAACAGTATCCCTAGAGATTTGCATTGCATCGCTCTCGACATCGTATCATACATTGTCTCATACAAACAAGCTAATTCGAAATCAGACGCCTAGGAAAGGAGAAAACTCCGGTGCAAGCGCTTTCTAGAAATGCGCTGTTTGCCCGTCCAGACGCTCGCTCTCTCTTTCAGTTTGTTCAGTAAGGAAAGAGGGGAAGGGTCCCATCTTGGATGCAGTATGATATGGTTGAAAGGAATAAATGCTGAACGCATCATGGGGTCGACGCGGCCCGAGCAACGCGGGCGAGAACCGAATCGTGACCAAAGTGAAAGAGAGCGACAGGGATGACGATTCAGACCACGCACCCTTACTACGGAGTCCCACAGGTCAGTTCATTCGGATCGAATATAAAAATACATAAACCAACTTTGAATAGAAAAACCATTATAGACTACGAACTCACGCGAATTCATTCTCTAATCATTCACTATTCACTCATCAGAGTCGCCCGATTCAATTGATTGGTCAGTGTCTCACTTTGTAAACCTGGTAGAGACCATCATGCGTTTGCAGATATTGGGTGTGGATTCGGTGGTCATTTAATCACACTCGCACCTCAATTCCATGATACTCTCATCATCGGTTGGTCAATCCTAATCTTAACTTTTTCTTATATCCGCAGGTCTCGAAATTCATGTACAGTATGTCCAAGATTGTATCACCGCACTCCGAGCAACCAACGATGGACAATTGTCAAAATATAATCCGATAAAATTCCTCCCAAACTTCTTTCAAAAAGCTTCTCTCACCGCCCTCTTCTTCCTATTCCCCGACCCACACTTCAAAACACGCGAACACAAGGCATGCATCACATCACCCACCCTTCTTACAGAATACGCATATGTCCTCGCTCCAGGTGGAATCGTCCGTTGGCGCGTGCACAGCACGTGAGCAATGCGACCACGAACGAGACACGGCTTGTTGGAGTTGTCAGAAGGAATATAACTCAATATTATACGAGGCTGAGGGTGAGTTGCTTCTTCTTGTCCCGCCGTACCTAGTCCACTGACAGTTTATATGTACAGACTGATAGTGTCTAGGTACATATAATGAAGTCCGTTATACGAGGCTGAGGACTGATAGTGTCTCGATCTTAACATCGTCTACACCATCACAGATGTTGAGGATCTTGCACAGTGGATGCGCACTCATCTAGATGCTCATCCTCTCTTTCAATTTGTTGAGGAGTAAGAACTGAAGAAAGAGGGAAAGGGTCCCATCTTGGATGCAGTTTATGGTTCAACGCAAGAAGGAAAAAAGGTAGAATGCGATGCTGGTTAAAAATGGCTCGCATGCTTTAGACACATCAAGGTCAAAAGAATCAATGTAATCTAGTCACCAGTGTAATAAGAAGTGTACAGTTTTTGCGTGAGACTTTTGCAACAGGCTCTAAGCTCGGCGGCCGTGTAGCGGGAATGAAATGACGGTGGACCGTGGCATCCATGTCCAAGCAACGTAACGAATGAGCCCTGCCACCAGCCCCAGCTAAGATCGCGAAAAAAGATCATCAAGCGAGTTCTTTGTATCAGTGCTGGAAAAGTATGCGATTGTGTACAGCTTTCTAATAAATTTGAGGGGATGCCGCGGCCATGCTCGAAGCACGATGCATGATAGCCTGACACATCGCTCTCGTCCACAGCATTTTCAACTGCCGGCGTAGTTCCGAACTTCCAAATGTCCATCATGATCGTGAGATGTACTTGGAAATGAACTCATTATATTGATGCGGCGTCTGGTAGAAGTAGTCTACTGAGGGACGAAGTGGTACTTACCAGTGTACCACTTCATAGGAACTAAGATTTCGGGATATTCGGCAAGCGTAGTATTTCTTCCATTATAATTCTTCATGGAAATTCTAAAGAATTTGCTGTGAACAGAATTTAATATTGATTATGATGGGCGTTTATGGACAGTGATAGAAGCCACAGCAGAATTACAAAATCAATGGTTCGACGTGTAACGAGCACAGTGGTCCTGGCTTCCACAACAGAGGCACTGCGCACTGGAAGGAGTGAATGAGATCCACGGCAGAGCAACGTGGTATGAAGCAAACGATACATAAAGAGCCTACGTATCGTGATTTGAGTTATGGGCAGACATCTAATACTGCTCACGACCTCTCACTGCATGTGAGATCGACGACTTGACCACAGGGTACGCTCCTCGTCAACTTTAAACGCTACTGACAGTCAATCCCCCTGTATCAGGATTACGCGATAAAGGATATCATACTGCGAGAATGCACGCGACGTCGGTACCAACACAAAGGATGCGAGTGCACGCGAAGGCAGTGTCAGCAGTCGCGTTCTTCAAAGACGGTCGACGGGTCGTCACTGCTTCAAAGGATAAAACCCTGCGAATCTGGAACGTAGAGAAAATAGAATTGGTGGGAGGGACATTCGAGGGACACAGTGACTATGTGGATTCGGTCGCTGTATCGCCAGACGATAGGCAAATTGCGAGTGGTGGAGGAGATGGTGTCATCATCATCTGGGACGTCGATAGCAAGCAGAAAGCACTCGTGGTGAAAGCATGAAGATAGGGTGAAATCACTGTGTTTCTCCCCAGATGGCAAGAGACTCGCAAGCGGTTCATTGGATGGAACAGTTATGATATGGGATGCGAAGACTGGCGCTGTCCTCTCAACACTCGTCAAGGGTCGGACCGGTCAACCATCTTCGGTGTTTTGTGTCGCCTTCAGCCCTGGTGGGCTAAAATTAGCAGTCCGGAACACGGCGCTACATTCGAGTTTGGCGCACCGACAGCGCCGACCTTCTGTTTGACATCAACGCTCACGACGATTGGGTTCAAAATATTGTGTGGTCGCCCGACGGCCAGCAACTTATCTCTGCATCACACGATGCAACAATCAAGTTTTGGGACTCCTCGAGTGGGACCCAGATCGGGCAACCTTGTACCAGTCACAATTCCTCCATCGCGTCACTTGCCATCTCTTCCGATGGCTCCTTCATTACCATTGCCTCGCACGACAATACTGTGCAAATGTGGAGCACAAAGTCACACCAGCAGATAGGACAGGTACTCGAACACACCGCATTGGTTAACTTCGTCGCCATTTCTCCCGACGGAGAACTGCTCGCCAGTGGAGACTCTGCTGGGAATCTTCAGCTCTGGTCGATCGAGAATGCAGTTTCCACAGCATTCGGAATGAATTCCTCATACAGTTCCTACTTTGCGTACCGCAGTAAATGTGAAGCTTGGACGAAACCTTTATTCGGAGGCCCTTTCGTATGCTGAAAAGGTGCAGACGATATTATTCACGATATTCATCATTGATTTGACAAATGTAATGATACTCGTAGGTCATTGAGCTCGAGCCTTGGTCTTATCGCGGGTACGAATTGAAGCATGCAGCGCTTTATGGAGCACAGCGCCATGATGGTGCATTCAAAGCCTTCACAATCATGCTCTCCAAGTTGGATGATGCACCCGACCCACAGATACGACGTAAGCCCCAACCAACACAAGCGCGGACTTGACTGACATTTTTCACAGAGCTACGCCAGCAATACGTCAGTCCATCTGAAGTAGAAAATGTTGTTCGACAAGCTATTCACACCCAACTGGACAACGCTCCACTTCGTTTAATAAACACCTCTACTGGACGTTTGTGCAATCGAGATGCGCAGATCAACGCATTCACTGAGAGTACAAAGTACAAAGAGCTGTTGCATTCATTTGACATGCATGCGCCCCTCCAAACAGAGTCCATCAAAGAAGCGGTCGCGAAGTACTTCGGTTGGGTCATGTTGTCCCATAAGTGGGAAAAGAAGGAGCCCGGGCTGCACGACATTCAGGACAAGGTCATATACGACTTGGATCCGGTCGGAAGCGTTGTGAAGTTGCAGAAGTTCTGCAAAGTCGCCCGCGATGCGGGGCATCGTTGGGCGTGGAGCGATACATGCTGCATCGACCAGAATAACAATGCTGAGGTCCAACAATCAGTCAACTCCATGTTCGTCTGGTATCATTACTCAGCGCTCACCATTGTCTACCTATCGGATGTTCCTCCTTCGTCGAAGTCGGGCGCGCTCGCAAACAGCATTTGGAACACGCGAGGATGGACCGTTCAGGAGTTCCTCGCTCCTAGAATTGTTCTCTTCTACCAAGCAGATTGGACCCTATATCTCGACAACCGCTCACGCAACCACAAGGAGTCTGTCGCTATCATGGGGGAGTTGGAGGATTCAACTGGCATAAATGCGCAGGCGCTCGTCAACTTCCGTCCGGGGACAAGAGATTCCCGAGAGAAACTGCGATGGGCGTCAAATCGTGACACTACGAGGGAGGAAGACATCGCCTACTCTTTGTTTGGCATCTTTGATGTCAACCTTCCTGTTATCTACGGAGAGAAAAGGCAAAAGGCGCTCGGACGACTCTTGCAGGAGATCATAGCGCATTCGGGGGACATCACAGCCCTTGATTGGGTGGGACGATCATCCAACTTCAACAGCTGTCTGCCAGCCGACATCTCCTCATACAAGGCTCCGTCATGTACGCCGCCATCTCTATCCAAAGACGAGATGCAGAATTTGGTCTCCATGCTGCGAAACAATGTGGCTGTGGAGTCGGCTTCGAAACTCTATGCCGCTCTTGAGAACCTCAGCGCTCCTCGTTTTTCCAACGCCAGATTGCAATTGCCTTGCATCGCATTTCCTCTCACGGAAGTCAGTCGGTGGCCTGGTGGCACACGGGGACAAATATTTCGTATATGAAGTGAAGGCAGACGGGCTAGAAGACCTGCTGATCACAACGGAACACAAGCTAGTTGAATTCTCGCCTGCAAGACGTACTCGGCAGACATTCTTGCTCGTCCGTCCGTGGAATCGATATGATCTCGGGCTGGTTAACTTTGCAGACGAGACGCAGATCGTAGGAGATTGCTCCGTGCTTCGGTCTCCAGTCAGATCCATACGTTCAGCAGCTATTTTAGACATAACGAGCCGGCTACGCGAGAGTTGAGGTTAATCGTTCGCCTCGGACAGCCTTTTGGCGCACTTCTGCTAGCGCAGCAGTGCGGTGAGGAGTATAAGAGAATCGCTTCGGATAACAATATCATCGCGCAGGTTAGGGACAAGGCTTCTGTTGATGACATGATGGACGTCAGGATGCTGGAGATATTGTAGCTGCGAGGAACGGGATCTTTTTATTTCATACTTTAACAACACCTCCACATTCATGAACAGCATCCCTAGAATTTTGCTTTGTATCACATATCGTCTCGTATAAAAACAAGCTAATCCCCAAATCAGACATCCTAGGGAAGAGGAGAAAGCTCCGGTGTAGGGTATGACACGGGTAAGCTGGCTTACCCGGACACCTACCTGAGCACCACCCGCGGGTGAATATTGAATCAGATTGAATCATGGGTTGGGCAGCACTGGTACGGGTACGAGGACCTGCATAACTTGGGTACTCACGGGTAGGATGCTACACCATCCATGTCAAAGCAATGTAACGAGCTCTGACCACCAGGTCAGATGGGTGGTATTAGAGGGATACTTCCGGACAGCCCCAGCATTCAGATCACGACCTTTATAAAAAAAAAGCTCATACCCAATTGCAAGTGCTGCAGTGCTGGAACCAGTGAAAAAAAAAGATCGTTGAGGGGAGTTCTTCGCACCAGTGCTGGAAAATTATGCGATTGTGCACAGCTGCCAAGCTCGAAGCATGATGCATGACAGCCTGCTCTCGTCCACAGCATTTTCGACTGTCTGTGTGGTTTGGGCCAGATGTCAATCGTGAGGTGTACTTGAAATGAACTCATCATATTGATTGCGTCTGGTACGAGTAGTCTACCCATGATCAAGGGGCGAAGTGGCACACTTGATAGGAACTAAGATTTCGTGATATTCGGCAACCGAGTGTGTAGTGCCCTGTTCCCAATTGGGACTCCCTTGAACGCATCAATTACGTCAGTGGGAAAGACCTCAACGTTGCCAACCACCGCTCGGTAAGCATATTTCCTGGTCATTCTTAAGTCGAAGTTCACCGCCCTCGCGCATACCTACTGTGCGCTGTCCTGCCATGTTCGCGCCACTCCCTTCTCCATAGCACCATAACTCGTCCTTACTGTATCAGCCAGGTCAGGGTGACCAATAAACGCCCATTGCCGAGCTACCCGACCAATACTCGATGTCGATATCCACGACTTCGACTCCCATAGCGCTGCCAGCTGCAGGTAGGGGTAACAGGGGTCCAACGTCGACGCGTCAACCTTGACTAAATAACGTCAGTAACAAACAGTTAATGCTAACAGGCACATATCACGGGTTTACGCGTTACAGACAGCTGAATCTGATGGAAAGAGCGAAGTTAGATCCACGCTGTAGCAACGTAACGTGCAGCAAATAATAATATATAAAAGAACCTGCGGTTGTGGGCAGACATTCAATTCCACTCACGACCTCTTACAACACATAAGCATCGGCGACTTAACCACAGAGTACGCCACTCCTTGTCAACTTCAAACCCTACTGGCCGTCCATCTTCCTGTCTAGCGACATGCCAGAATTGCTCGATGTAGCAAAAAATGCATATCTTACTGTGAGAAAGCGCACAACGCCGCAGACAACCCAGCCGACAAAGACGACTCAGTCGGTGTCAACACAAACAGTGCGAGTGCACACGAAGAAAGTGTCGGCGGTGGCGTTCTTCAAAGACGGCCGACGGATCGTCACTGCTTCGGAGGATACAACCCTGCGAATCTGGGACGCGGAGAAAGGTGCATTGGTGGGAGGGCCATTCGAGGGACACAGTGAAGAAGTGAACTCAGTCGCTGTATCGCCAGACAATATGCGAATTGCGAGTGGTGGAAGAGATAATACTATCATCATCTGGGACGTCGATAGCAAGCGGATGGTATTCAAACCGCAGGTAAAGCATAGAAAGTGGGTTTGGTCGGTCTGTTTCTCCCCAGATGGAAAGAGACTCGCAAGCGGGTCATTTGATGCATCAGTTATTATATGGGATGCAGAGACTGGCGCTGTCCTCTTTAGACTCTCGGGTGAGAGAGAGGTGTTTTGTGTCGCATTCAGCCCAGATGGGCTAAAATTAGCATCTGGCGAATCACATGGTACCGTTCAGGTTTGGAGCACCGACAACGCTGAGCTTCTATTCAAGATCCACGCTCATCGAGCTTTCGCTCGCAGTGTTGTGTGGTCGCCCGATGGCCAACAACTTGTCTCTGCATCAGACGACAAAACAATCAAGATTTGGGACGCGTCGAATAGGACCCGGATCGGTCAACCTTGCACCGGTCACACTTCCTGCGTCCACTCGCTTGCCATTTCTTCTGATGGCTCGTTCATTACTACTGCCTCGAGTGACAACACTGTGCGCCTGTGGGACACAACGTTACACAGGGAGATAGGACAGCCATTCGAACACACCAAACGCGTTTGCTGCGTCGCCATTTCTCCCAACGGAGAACTGCTCGCGATTGGGGACAATGATGGGAATGTTCAGCTTTGGTCCATCAAGAACACACTTTCCGCAGCAGTCGGGATGGGTTCTTCATACTTTGCGCGTCGCAGTAAGGTGAAGTTGGGCCTAAAGCTCTATTTAGATGCCCTGTCGGACGCGGAAAAGGTGCAGATGATATTCGTTATCGATTTGACATATCTGATGATGTTCGCAGGTCATCGAGCTCAACCCTTCGTCTTATCTCGGGTACGAACTAAAGCATGCAGCGCTTCGTGGAGCACATCGTCATGATGATGCATTCGAGGCCTTCACAACCATGCTCTATAAGTTGGACAATGCATCTGACCCACAGATACGACGTAAGCCCCAAAGAACTCGAGCGCCGCCTTAAAGATGACTTACTAATTTTTTACAGAGCTACGCCAGCAATACGTCAGTCAATTCGAAGCAGATGGTGTTATTCGACGAGCCATTCACGCCCAACTGGACAACGCACCACTTCGTCTAACCAACACCTCTACTGGACGTTTGTGCAATCAAGATGAGCAAATCAACGCATTCATGGAGAGTACAGAGTACAAAGAGCTTTTGAATTCATCGGACATGCATGGGCCCCTCCAAACGGAGCTCATCAAAGAAGTGGTTGCGAAGTACTTCAGTTGGGTTCTGTTGTCCCATATGTGGGGAACCAAGGAGCCGGGGCTGCATGACATTCAGGGCACGGGCATTTACGACTTGGATCCGGGCCGTGATGATACAGTCGAGGCCTTCACAATCATGCTCTCCAAGTTGGACAATGCATCCGACCCACAGATGCGACGTAAGCCCCAAACAATTCAAACGTTGACTTGAAGATGACCTACATTTTTTGCAGAGCTACGCCAGCAATACGTCAGTCCATCTGAAGTAGAAGATGCTATTCGACGTGCCATTCGCGCCCAACTGGAAAACGCCCCCCTTCGTCTAATCAATACCTCTACTGGACGTTTGTGCAATCGAGATGCGCAGATCAATACATTCACGGAGAGTACAGAGTACAAAGTGCTTCTGCATTCATCGGTGTTGCATGCGCCCCTCCAAACAGGGCCCATTAAAGACGCGGTCGCGAAGTACTTCGGTTGGGTCATGTTGTCTCATAGGTGGGAAAAGAAGGAGCCCGGGCTGCACGACATTCAGGATAAGGTCATATACGACTTGGATCCGGTCGGTACCATTGTGAAGTTGCAGGAGTTTTGCAAAGTTGCACGCGATACGGGGCATCGCTTGGCGTGGGTCGACACTTGCTGCATCGACCAGAACAACAATGTCGAGCTCCAGGAATCAGTCAACTCTATGTTCATCTGGTATCACTACTCAGCGCTCACCATCATCTACCTATCAGATGTTCCTCCTTCGTCGGAGTCTGGTGCGCTCGCAAATAGCATTTGGAACACGCGAGGATGGACCGTTCAGGAATTTCTCGCTCCTAGAATTGTTCTCTTCTACCGAGCAGATTGGACCCTATATCTGGACGACCGCTCACGCAACCACAAGGAGTCTGTCAGTATCATGAGGGAGATGGAGCGTTCAACTGGCATAAATGCGCGGGCGCTCGTCGACTTTTGTCCAGGAACAAGAGATGCGCGAGAGAAACTGCGATGGGCGTCAAACCGTGACACCACAAGGGAGGAAGACATCGCCTACTCTTTGTTTGGCATCTTTGATGTCAACCTTCCTGTTATCTACGGAGAGAAAAGGCACAAGGCGCTCGGACGACTCTTGCAGGAGATCATAGCGCATTCGGGGGACATCACAGCCCTTGATTGGGTGGGACAATCGTCCAACTTCAATAGCTGTTTGCCAGCCGACATCTCCTCATACAAGGCTCTGCCATGCACACTACCACCTCTATCTGAACACGAGATGCAGATATGGGCCTCCACGCTGCGAAACAATATTGGGGCTGTGGAGTCGGCTTCGAAATTGTATACCCTCCTTGAGAATATCAGCGTTGCTCGTTTCGCAAACGCCAGACTGCAATTGCCTTGCATCGCATTTCCTCTCACAGAAGTCAGGCAGAGGCCTGGTCAAGACGGGGCTAGATGTTTCACATATGAAGTCAAGGCACACGGGCTACGAGACTCGCTAGTCACAACGGAGGACAAGCTAGTTCAATTCTCGCCTGCAAGGCCTACTCAGCAGACATTCCTGCTCGTCCGTCCGTGGAATCGGCATGATCTCGGGCTGGTTAACTTTGCAGATAAGACGCAGAGCGTCGCAGATTGGCCCGAGCCTGGTTCTCCGTCAGATGACACGCTCGGTGGCCATCCTGGATACAATGAGCCAGCTAGTACGCGAGAGTTGAGGTTGATGGTTCGTGTCAGACAGCCATTTGGCGCACTGTTGCTAGCGCGGCAGTGGGGTGGGGAGTACAAGAGAATCGCTTCGGATAACAATATCATCGCGCGAGTCAAGGACGTGGCTTCTGTTGATGACATGACGGACGTCAGGATGCTGGAGATATTGTAGGTACGAAGAACGGGACGTTTGCATTTCACACCTTGATAACACCTCCGCACGAATGTTATCCCTAGAGATTTGCATTGCATCGGTCTCAATATCGTATCATACTATCCCTGCTGAGTCGTCACCCCCACAAGTCGTCACGACCTAAATATCTCACTCAATTCTTACTTCTACACATAATATACAACTTCAATCAATGTTTCTAACATGTACCGTTCATTGCGATGTTGAACGACTGATTTTCATGAGGAAATGGTGAAGTTCTTTGAAAGCAGCCAAAGTCACGCTGGTGGCAGCCGAACGTTGTGGATGCAGTATATGGTTCAACGGAAGAAGGAAAAAGGTCGAACGCAATGCTGGTGAGAAATGGCTTGCATGCTTCAAAGTTCAGACGCATGCAAGTCAAAACGATCAATTTATGTCACTAGTAATAATGTAATAAGAAATGTACTATTTTTGCGTGAGACTTTTGAAAAGGCTCCTCTTGACCGCGTCTCTCAACCATGGTGCGCTCAATTTACCCCATCCCACCATAACCCTCCAACCTATTCATATCCAGTCTTCCCGCATTGAACTCCTTAATGCTGGTCTTCTTCGCAGCGATGGTCGCAGACCTTATGAGCTACGAACAATAGCCATCAACTTCGAAGCACAAGGAACGGCAGACGGCAGCGTCACCTACTCACATGGCCTCACACAAGTTCGAGTCTCAGTCCTCGGCCCACACGAAGCAAAACCTGGAACAAGACGCGAAACATTTCACGATCGCGCAATACTAAACGTCGAAGTCCAACTCGCCCCTTTTGGCGTCGGTGAACGAAGAAGAAGAGGTAGAGGCGATAAGTAAGTCTCATCTGCACCCACTTTATTTTATCGTTAATACGTACACTTAGGCGCCTCCTCGAACTCGCAGCATCAATCAAAAGCACATTCGAACCCGTCGTTCAAACTCATCTCTACCCCCGTAGCACAATCGACATATTCATCCATGTCCTCCAACTTGATGGCGGCCTCCTCCCCGCTTGCATAAACGCCTCCACCCTCGCACTCGCAACCGCAGGCATCCCTCTATTCGACTTTGTCTGCGCTATCAGCGGAGGCGTGCATGGCACTCAGCCGTTACTCGATCTAACAACAGTCGAGGAAAACGACGTGCCGAGCGTCGTGGTGGGCGTTATGCCTCGTACAGGACGCGTGACCCTCGTGCAGATGGAGACCAGGTTGCATATGGATCGTTTTGAGGAGGTGTTTAGAGTCGCGTGCGATGCAGGCAAGGTCCTTTGGAGTGAGATGAGGGATGCGCTCAGGGAACAAACGGGCGATCTGGTCGATAAACTTGAGGCTGGACCTGGGATGGTTGCGGTGAAGGAGACTGAGGATACGTAGGATTAATAGGTGACTTCCCGTAAGGTTTTACAAACAAAAGACGTCTGACTCGGCAGTCAAGCAAGAGCACAAGCTCAGTTAGTATTTAGCGTTCAGCGTGAGTGAGCAAGGACTAGCTAGTAGATACGTCTAAGTACGAGGGTAACCATTATTAGTTTGAGTGAATAATCACATGAATCACGACTCACATTCTGCTGTTTTGATATAGCTCATTTGCAGTTGCCTGAATTGCAGCTTGAATGCGCGACTCATATGTAGGCTCTAACGAAGTTCGCAGCTTTCCTCGTCTACCGCTGCAGACTTGCGAATGCGGACCAGCTGCACCCAGTACCAGTCGGCACTTCCAAAGTGGGTGTGCAGTTTGAAACTTCGATCGACACATATCGGCAGGTGACATTTCTGCGTGACTTCGGCACTTTCAATTATCTCACTCAATTCTGCTTCAATCATGGTTGTTCAACCTCGCAATGAGTTAGAGAATGATATCTATGCTAAGAATTTTGTGTTGAAGTCGCTAGAAATACGAGTTTTATGAAAGTGCCGACTTCTGTGGGGTGCCGATTGCAGTGGAAGGGATAGTACCTAGTACCCCTCCGTAGATTAGAAAATTTGCAAACAGCAACGAGTTGACAGCTGTTGACAGCGACCTTCCTAGAGGATTAACAGCTGTAAAACCTTACGGGAAGTCACCCGACTACTAGTAGTATGAAAACTTTTGATTGGTACCAGTCTGGTAACTTGAAGCAACACCACACACTCTTACTCCATCGATCATCATCATGACGAGCAACACCAGCGCTAGCATCCCAGATGGAGTCCAATCTGAGTTCAAGGTCGTGTCGATCTTCGACACAGACTTGTACAAGGCATGTATCGTAATAGCATTATCGTCATCACCTCAAACGCTTCTCCTATCATATTGACCCAGTTGCGCAGTTCACGATGCAACAGGCTATTTTCGAATACTATCCCAATGCAAAAGTCGTATATCGATTCACGCACCGTGACAAATACCGCCAGTTCTCTAGAGCATGTATAGACAAATTTCGAGAAGCACTGAACGGTTCGTGTCTCTTCCTTGAAGCTACCCCATTCTTTATCTTGATTTAGTACTATATGCAGGTTTCGCCGATGTACAACTAACACAAGCCGAACGCGTCTGGCTCCAGGATAAATGCAAGTATTTCAAGCCTGCGTACCTCGATTATCTCCAGTCTTATAAATTCAAACCCGATCAAGTGATTAGATGTCCCTTCAAGTTCTATCCTTGTACTCCATTGATGCGCACCCGTAGATCTCTGCTACATTCCTCCCGTCTTCTGATGACCCTGATATGGGCAGCGTTAAGATCGAAGCGAGAGGCTTGTGGCTGGAGACAGTTTTATGGGAGGGTACCGCTCATGGCATGTCTTTGTGAGATGTATTTTCGGTATACGGATCAGGATTGGGATTATACCGGGCAAGAAGGTGAGTAAATCCCTTCTTCATTATTGATTCTTTCGTGCTGCTGAATACGGTCATGCGCCAGAACAAGCCACGCATAAAGCTTACATCCCTCTTGGACGCGCGATGTACGTTCAGTGAATTTGGGACACGGCGCAGGCGCTCGTTCGTCACGCAGGATTTGGTAATGAGAGGGATTATAAAAGCGAGGGAGGCACATGAGTGGAAAGAGGGTTTTTTTGGGACTAGTAATGTATGCTGTTCTTCATACCGGTGGTCCCCCCTTGTGGGGTTTTTTGACGCAGATGGGCAGGTCTACCTCGCTATGCGGTACAACCTCAACGTCATAGGAACGATCGCTCAGTACGTCGCTGTTCCTTTTATTTTCATGACTTATAACTTGTGACTTTTAGCGAGTGGTTCATGGGAGCAAGTTCTCCTCACTTGATGATAAATATCCTCTGATCAAAGATATACTTAGGTCGCGGCACTGGGCGATTATAAAGATGCTGCTGGAACAGCTCTAGATCTCTGGTCTAACCTCTACGGAGATAGTCTTTCAGTCACGCTCACGGATACATTCTCTACTGAAGTGTTTTATCGGGTGCGTATATCGACTTTGAGCGTCTGTTATCCCCATCCTCATTTTTTGTGTTTTTATAGGAATTCGACAATAGACGCGCCAACCAATGGAAAGTCCTGCGTCAAGACTCGGGAGACCCAAAAGTATTCGCGCCGAGGGCTAAGCGGATGTACGAAGAGCGCGGGATCGATTATAAACAGAAAGCTATCATCTTCAGCGACGGTTTAGATTTTAAGAAGGCGAAGGAGTTGAATGAGCAGTGTCAGCTGCTTGGGTTCAAGTGTACGTCGTCACGTTATTTATGGTTTCGTTCTGTGGTCTAATCACAAGTGCAGGTTCGTTTGGTATTGGGACTTGGTTGACGAACGACTTTAAGAAGAAGAGCAGTGGGTATGAGGAACAAAGCAAGGCATTGAATATTGTGATTAAACTTGGGTCGATTGATGGGAAGGAGTGTGTTAAGATTAGTGATGAGATTACAAAGGTGGGATATGTTGTGATTCTCGGTTTTGTTGTCATTAATGCCCATTTGTGTTTTTTTACAGAATACGGGAGTTCCTCAAGTCGTGGCAAAGGTTAAAGAGATGTACCAGATATCGGCCTTGTAGACCCATTTGTAGACCAGCAGTTGTGAGTGATGGTATTTTCGTGGATGACTATCTAAATTGATGATGTCTTGAGCTGCCTCGTCACTCCAAGGCGTTCAAAGCTCAATGTTCAACGACGAAGTGTCCTGGTGGCTATGTATTAGAATAACTATGTCAAAGCGAGCCCCGATCATATATAGAAAGCTCGTACCCAATTTTCAGCGCTGCAGTACCGGAACCAGTGAAAGAAAGATCATTGAGGCGAGTTCATCGCACTACTACTGGAAAAGTATGAGATTGTGTTTATGAAGATAGCTTTTGAGAGGTTGCGATGCTCGAAACATGACAGCCTGACTCTCGTCCACAGACTGCCTATGCAGTTCTGGTTTCGGATGTCTAACGTGAGATATCCTTCCGAAGAATGAACTCATGATATTGATCGCGTCTGGCAGAGCCCTCTGAGTAGTCCATTTGAGGAACGAAGTGGTACGCTTGTTAGGAACCAAAATTTCGTGGGCGTATTTCTTCCATGATAATTCTTCGGGCGAATATAGGGGTATAATCAGTGCTGTGAATAGAATGAAGGAATTGATTATGACGGGCGTTTATCGACAGGGGCTGACTCGGATGGAAGGAGCGAAATGAGATCACGCTATAGCAACGTGCTATGGAGCAGACGATATATAAAGAGCCCACATGAATTGGGTTATGGGCAGACATCCAATTCTGCTCACGACTTCTCACTACACATAAGATCGACGACTTCACCACAGACGCTCCTCGTCAACCTCAAACGCTACTGAAGTACTGACGGTCCACCTCCCTGTTTAGCGATATGTCAAGATTGCGCGATATAGGAAATCTTACTGTGGAAAGGCGCGCGACGCCGGCACAAACACAAATAATGCGAGTGCACACGGATAAAGTGTCGGCAATTGCCTTCTTCAAAGGCGGTCGACATATCCTCACTGCTTCAGAGGATGAAACCCTGCGAATCTGGGACGTGGAGAAAAGAGCATGGGTGGGAAAGCCATTCAAGGGACACAGTGACTATGTATATTCAGTCGCTGTATCGCCAGACGATAGGAGAATTGCGAGTGGTGGGAGAGATAATGCCATCATCGTCTGGGACGTCGATAGCAAGCAGATGGTATTCAAACCGCTGATGAAGCATACAAACTGGATTCGGTCGGTGTGCTTCTCCCCCGATGGAAAGAGACTGGCAAGCGGGTCAGATGATACAAGAGTTGTTATATGGGACGCGGAGACTGGCGTTAGCCTCTCAAGACTCTGGGCTGGGAGTGCGGTGTCGAGTGTTGCCTTCAGCCCCGACGGGCTAAAATTAGCATCCGGCGGATTTAGTACCGTTCGGGTTTGGCGCACCGCCAACACCGAGCTTCTTCTCAAAATCCACGCTCACCAGGATTTCGTTCAAAGTGTGGTGTGGTCGCCTGACAGCCAGCAACTTGTTTCTGCATCAGACGACAAAACAATCAAGTTTTGGGATTCGTCGAATGGGACCCAAGTCGGTGAACCTTGCACCGGTCACACTGGCTACATTAGGTCACTTGCCATTTCTTCTGATGGCTCCTTCATTGCAACCGCCTCGGACGACAAGACTGTCCAACTGTGGAGCACCAAGTCACACAAACAGATAGGACAGCCACTCAAACACACCACATGGGTTTTCCGCGTCGCAATTTCTCCTAGTGGAGAACTACTCGCGAGTGGAGACTTTGATGGGAATCTTCAGCTCTGCTCTATCGAGAACACACTCAGGACGGATTTTTCATATCTCGTGCACCGCAGTAAGGTGAAGTTGGGCCAAAACCTCTATGCAGAAGCCCTGTCGGACGCGGAAAAGGTGGGGACGATATCCGTCGTTGTTTTAACATGTGTAATGATATTCGTAGGTCATTGAGCTCAACCCTTCGTCTTATCTCGGGTACGAACTAAAGCATGCAGCGCTTTGTGAAGCACAGCACTATGATGATGCATTAGAGGCCTTCACAATCATGCTCTCCAAGTTGGATGATGCACCCGACCCACGGATACGACGTACGCCCCAAATAACTCAAGCACAGACTTGAAGATGACTTACAACTTTTGCAGAGCTACGCCGAAAATATGTCAGTCCATCTGAAGTAGAAGATGCTATTCGACGAGCCATTTACGGCCGAACTGGAAAATGCCCCCCTTCGTCTAATCAACACCTCTACTGGACGTTTGTGCAATCGAGATGCGCAGATCACCGCATTCACGGATAGTACAGAATACAAAGAGCTTTTGCATTCATTCGATATGCATGGACCCCTCCAAACAGGGCCCATCAAAAAAGCGGTCGCGAAGTACTTCGGTTGGGTCATGTTGTCCCATAGGTGGGAAAGGAAGGAGCCGCTACTGTATGACATTCAGGGCAGAGACATATACGACTTGGATCCGGTCGGAACCGTGGTGAAGTTGCAGAAGTTCTGCAAAGTCGCACGCGCCGCGGGGCATCGTTGGGCGTGGAGCGACACATGCTGCATCGACCAGAACAACAATGTCGAGCTCGGAGAATCAGTCAATTCCATGTTCATCTGGTATCACTATTCAGCGCTCACCATCGTCTACCTATCGGATGTTCCTTCTTCATCAGAATCTGGTGCGCTCGCAAACAGCATTTGGAACAGGCGAGGATGGACCGTTCAGGAGTTCCTCGCTCCAAAAATTGTTCTCTTCTACCAAGCAGATTGGACCCTATATCTGGACGACCGCTCACGCAACCACAAGGAGTCTGACAGTATCATGAGGGAGATGAAGCGTTCAACTGGCATAAATGCACGGGCGCTCATCGACTTCCGTCCAGGGACAATAGATGCGCGAGAGAAACTGCGATGGGCGTCAAACCGTGACACCACAAGGGAGGAAGACATCGCCTACTCTTTGTTTGGCATCTTTGATGTCAACCTTCCTGTAATCTACGGAGAGAAAAGACAAAAGGCGCTCGGACGACTCTTGCAGGAGATCATAGCCCATTCAGGTGACATCACAGCCCTTGATTGGGTGGGACAATCATCCGACTTCAACAGCTGTCTCCCAGCCGACATTTCCTCATACATGGCTCCGTCATTTACACTGCCATCACTACCCGAAGACGAGATACAGAATTCGGTCTCCATGCTGCAAAACAATGTGGCTGTGGAGTCGGCTTCGAATCTGTACACCACTCTTGAGAACCTCGGCGTTCCTCGTTTCGCAAACGCCAGACTGCAATTGCCCTGCATCGCATTTCCTGTTACAGAAGTCAGGCGGAGGCCTGGTCGAGACGGAGCCAGATGTTTCACATATGAAGTCAAGGCAGACGAGCTACAAGACCTGTTGGTCACAGCGGAAGACAAGCTAGTTCAATTCTCGCCTGCACGGCGTACTCGGCAGACATTGCTGCTCATACGTCCGTGGAATCGGTATGATCTTGACTTGGTCGACTATACGGACGAGTCGCAGAGCATGGACGGTTTGCCTGCTGAGCATGGAGATGATGAGCTGGTTACCAGAGGGTTGAGGTTACTCGTTCGCCTTGAACAGCCTTTTGGCGCACTTTTGCTAGCGCAACAGCGTGGTGGGGAGTATAGGAGAATAGCTTCGGATAATGAGATCATCGCGCAAGTTACGGACATCACCTCTGTTATTGACATGATGGACATCAGGACACTGGAGATATTGTAGCTGCGATGGAAGAACGGGACATTTTCATCTCAATAATTTCATACCTTGACATCTCCACACGAACAGTCTTATTAAGTTATCTCTAGAATTTTGCATCGCGTCAATCTCGATATGGTATCATATATCACTGTCTCGTATACAAACAAGCTGATCACAAAATCAGAGGGACCGTCTTTTGTCAGGATACAAGGACCGAAAGAACCGTGTGTGACCAGGACTGACTTGTGTTTTACAAGGATTACCCAATTGGGAAACCACGCGAGTTCTCTCTTTTCTTTTCGGATCGCCCCAAAGCGGTAGTGACTGAGTACTACCGCCCAGAACATTATTTGATTAGGCAGTCTCATAATCTCAATGTTTCCCAATCTCCCTAATCCTTCCCCTGCTCCCTCCTGTGTAGTAGGCTCGTATATATCATGTATATTAGTCATTATATACCTAATAAAACATACATGACTGCTTTGATTTGCTACCCAATCAGTTCTATGAAAACAATATAATTCGCATTTTTAATGATTTTATGCATCATCATACACTGTACATACTCATATATATGCTATACACTGTCTAGATGACATTTTAACATAGTCTCATAGCTCCAGGAGGCCGATGGTTTGATTTCATAGGGATAGGGGATATATGAGAAGATTGGTGTTCTGGAGGATTAATCAAACATATATTCAAGATCTGAGGGTTGGAACACATGTAATACACATATAGGCGACCAGTGGTGCACTCCTGAGCGATATGACACTAAGCTAAGAGTTGTGGAAGGAATGTAGAGATGGGACATGTGTGGGAAAGTGTGCAAAACATATGAAAAAGACATAAAAATATATCATAGTGTGCTACACAATGCCCCCCATGATCTACAATATGTGTAGTGTGATAGGGGGACATCAGAAATACTATTTTTGATATTCTTGAAATGTGTCAGGTTGATTCTACAAGTATATATGGTAATTTGAGCTTCCACAACTCTTAGCTTAGTGTCCTATTGCTCAGGAGTGCACCTAGTGCTGCTGCGGTCTGGTCTAGTCCGGTTCTCAAGGGTGTTTTGTCGAACATAGAGCTGGATCTTAGGTCCGGTTCAGGCAAGGAAGGTGAATGCTGAACCAGACCCTTATGAACGTGTTCAAACGTCCAAACACTACATATAAATTTCAAAAATTTGCAAGAACTACATGAAAAATTCAATGGGTAACTACTAACTACACCATATCCACAACATAGTATTCATGAGCAGTGGCAAACTCGGCTTGAGCCGTCGCAGATATATGGCCCTGACGATAGCCACTTTTCAACAGCTGAAGGGCCTCAAAAGTTGACGGCAACAAACAATTCCGGTGCATGGTCCTGGTGATGCCACTGCTCAAAAAAACACGTTCAGAGGCAACGGCAGAGCCCTGAATAGCCAAATAATCCTTTGTGATGTGAGAGATGGTTGGATATTGAATAGATTGGTGCTGAAGGTGTTTAAGTCAACCTGCAAGGAATACCAATAAGAAAAAAAACTCACACCCCACCATGCCACTATATTCTTGACATCCTCTAGTGGTGCAGCAAGGTAGTTGTCAAGCTCTTGGCAAGGCCTTCGGTTTGTGGTGTCACTCGCAACGCGAGATTTGACAGCATTGCGCATCCAGCTGTGGCCATATGACCCTTGGTGAGCAAGCGAGGAGGGAGCCACAACAATGAGCTCTGTGTCAGGCAAGGAAGTGTGATGGTAGCACTTGTTGAAAACTTTCTGCAAACATTTCATACCCTCATCAAAGTCACGAGGCTCCCATTTACCCTTCACATATGCCACCTTATAGTTGGGGTTGAGCGCTACACAGTAAAATAGTACACTAGATAGGCCATTATAGTAAAAACAACATATACCAAGGCAAATGAAGTAGACATCGGTTTCATTGATCTTGTGGTACCACTTGCAAATATTGTCAAGGCCGGACTTAATGGCAGTTGAAAAAATCATTGAACTTTGAAGAATCAGCCATGTTTTGCCAAGTTTCTTGGAGATACTCAAGGACTGGAATCGCACACCACACAGTAGGTTCACGAGTTGCAGAAAACGTTTGTTGAGCATTTGCGGGCTCCTAGTTATACAGTAGGTGAATACAATGAATTGATGAAGACACTCGAACACACCTGAAGCACATCATGCATCAACTCCAACTTCTCCCATTCTTTCGGCTGAAATCTTGAATGCACCATATGACTTGCCCTGTGTTGGAATAGCAAGCATGCGCTCGCAGTTGAGACACGCCATTGGGAGATCTTGTTTTCATCCATTACAGCGACCTGTATGTTTCTTTTACTTGATCTTGTTATCTCTCTTTCCATTGTACTTACTGAACCTTTTGTTTGCCATGGCCAGTGCCAATTCCTATTGTACCAAGTCTCACATGCCCAACAAGAGCATTCAGACTATTTAGCTACTGTCTTTTCAAGCCTGATACCTCAGACATTTGCATTCTAGCGTGCAATGACTGAGGTATGATATCTACCTTACTTACATTTTCACCTATGCTAACTTGTATCAGAGTATCTATTGCTTATATGTGAATATCATAGACATATGCGTTCTTGCATGCAATGACTGAGAGTATTCTATTGCTTATAGATCCATACGAGGCTTGTATAACTTTCACACCCTGTAAGTTTGGGACTTCATTGCTGTCATCTGTCAGCTGTATGAACCAATTCACGCCCTGCTGGGAAATTATATTGTGTTAGTATAGTTCATAGGGAGAGTAGTAGTAACCAACCGACCTTACACAACTTAAGTGTGCGCTCCAACATGCCAAACAATGAGGCCCATTGGGTGCGAATCCATTTCAAAAGCTCGAGCTTCAGCTCATTGACCTCAGTGCAGAACTTTTGGAAGAAGGTACAGGCTTGGGGAGATTTCCGTACCTGAATGAAGTGTTCATCAAACAGAGTTAGTCAGATAAGGATACAAACTTAAGGATACAAACTTACCTGCATAATGAGTGCAAGCACTTTGCCAACAGTATCAGCAACATCAAAATCAGTCACATTGTCATTGTCATTGTCATTGTCATCGGTTGCATTCTTGAGGAGAACACTTGCTAGCGTAGGAGCAACCTCCTCGATGAAGTGTTTTGTGACTAAGTGTAAGGTGTGCTCCATACAACTGAATAGACATCAGCATACATAGAATGCAATATTAGATAGATCACTTACTGCATACGGTGCTTGCCTGCAATCCATTTCTTGCTGGAAGGGTCAATAGCAAGTGCAACAGTTTGAATGGCCATATCATTATTGGTGGCATTGTCAGCCATCAGCCATCAGCCATCAGCCATCCAACCTTTGTCCGAATGCCATAGTTATCAATAGTTTCAATCAGAATTCTTCCAATATTGCTGCCACTATGGTTGCCATTAATGATTGTGAATGCAAGCTGCTCAGACTTCAATTCCCACTCCTGAGGTTTGCCAGCCGGTGAGTCAATATAATGTGCTGTGATGGAGAGGAAAGGAATGCCAGGTTCAGATGTCCATGAGTTGAAGGTAAGTGAAATCTTGCTATCGACATGCTTAAGTTTCTCCTTGACACCTTGGACAGTGAGCTTTGCCCATTGAGGGTACAACAACTCTGCTAAGGTGCAATGCAGAGCAAATGAAAGAAATAATGCTCTAAGCTCTGGGTGGGAGATAGAGCTATACTTCTCTCTAAGTGTTGGTCAAGGTGTGATGCGAATCATTTGACCCAGGGAAGCAGATGGCAGCAGAGAAATGATCCAAAGCATGCTGAATGAGTGCCTAAGGGAGTGCCTAAGCACGGGAAAGCGCCAGAGCTGCACGAAGCACTGGAGAAGTGGCTCTCAGTGTAGGACAAAGTCTATTAGAAATGGGATAATAATTATTGCTCTAAAGTGCAGCTCTATACTGGTGCTCAGTGGTAGTAGATGGGTGGTAGTAGGTGTCTAAGAAGTAGTGTCTTCATGCCTCCTCGGCTCAACACAAAGTGAACCACAGTGAGGTAAAGCACTATGTAATAGCTACTGGGCCATGGGGAATGGTGCCATACAGTGTAGGTAATAATGAAAGGTACATGAAATAGTAAAAATAGCGAACTAATACATACCTGTGGGCTGGATGGACAGTGGATGGATGCTCCTGAATGATGGGCGACACAGGGCGCTTAAGCACGAGAAAGCACGCAAGGCGCGCGCGCGGGAACGCTGCGGCTAGTGCGGGAAAGTAGCGTGTACCTTGCGGCTAGCATGGGAAAGTGGGGCGCTCTATAGGGAATGACTAGGGATGATGATGGTGCAAGTTGTGCAGTGATGCCCAGTTGTCCTGAGCTGTGATATAGGCCATATGTGGCTGTAGGGGCATGAGCCTCTACACTGTTCAAGAATTTCATTGTGAGTTTTTGTATGATGAGGGATATCCCTGTCTGAATGGGAGGGCTGGAGGTATTGAAGCAGACAACAAGACCACATCACATCCACCCATCACTTCCTTGCAGAGCCTCAACTCACCCGACCCTTCCATTGTCGCATCAGACTATGTCTGACTCGGCTGATCCAGACCCATTGCCTCGGCCATTCACAGTTAGCTAGGATTGCATGCATCATGCCTTACCCGCTGTCTTGGTCATTGCACACCTTAGCCAACCATTCTGTCCCATTGGTCCCGAGTCCTCCCATGTCCTGCCCATGTCCACCTATCTCCATTGGTGCATTTTTAGCTTATCTCACTGTTACTGAATGAACTGCAGGCATTATTACATGTATTCCCATGGCTGCAGCACTTGCAAGCCTTATTACATACTGACCTGAATACCCTGCGTCTTGCTACTACTCTCACCTGTGCGATTCTGGACATTCATGTAGTTAGATAAATAGGACTCAAGTCTCGTACTACATGTCTCTCACTTCCCTTCTCCGGACATACCTGCTACTGTTGTAGATAACAGTAGCAGGTATGTCTGGAGAAAGGAAGTGAGAGATAGTACATGGCGAGTCACTGTAGTTAGCCTTTAATTTGTGCAATTGATCCCCTTTGCTTTTATCTTCGGATGTGCCTTGACCACTCTAAGTGTGTGCTATCTAAGGTTTCTATACCTAGGCCTTTGTGAGATCTGGACTGCTACTGGTGAGGCGATCTCAACCTGGCTGGGCTGATATGAAATATCTAAAAATGCTTAACCAGTATAAGTGAGTCTTGGCTCTGCCTAGCTGCTATACTCGCAGAATGCAAGAACGTTCAACCCTAAAGGGGACTGCTACTGAACACAGAACCAGATGAAAGAAAGACCCTTGAAGTGCGATGGATGCGCAAAAGCACAAGAAGAAAAGTGAAGTGAGTGCGAAGCGCGAGAGAGCGCACTAAGGTAAGCGCGAGCGTGGGAACGTGAGCACTAAGGCGCGCGTTGTGCGGAAAATACCGGATAAGGAAACGGATAAGGAAGCGGATGTGCAAAGCGAGTGCAAATGCAGAGCAAGTGTTATAATGAGTGCGGATAAAGGTCTAGTATAGGCGGATAACGATAACCATTGGAAACACAAAGTGCGCCCAAGTGGTGACTACTACTTTAAAGTAAAACCCAATAGCGAGGGAAGTACAGCAAAGGGGAGTAATAATGATGGAGTAGTAAGTCAGCAACTTTATACTATGGAAATCACATTGGAAGCGGAAGGGATAGGAGCAGTAAGCGCTAAAAATATGTAATGACATGTAATAGTGCTGCAATGCTTGTTACAAACCACAAGGCAAGGCATATGACGTACCAATGAGGTGGGTGGACATAGAGGGACGTTCCTGGATGATAGGCGATTCAGGGCGATGCAGGGCGCTTGCAGGGCGCTTAAGCGCGAGAAAGCGCGCAAGGTGCGCAGTGTGGGAATGCTGCGCGTTGTGTGGGAAAGTACTGCGCCTATGGCGCGTTTCGCGGTGTCCTGCATGATTTGGGAATCATGCATGGACATGACTACTAGGTATCCCCCTAAAAGACAAAGTCTGTTAGCTTAGTCCTCAGACTAGTCAACCCATACCTTGGTATCAAACCTTGGTCCAATAGTTTCAGTTTTCCCTCAGTGATTCATGAATCCACCATGTTTTGAAGAAAAGTCATATGTGAGATGGGAATCACATAATGACCTAGTTGATATGAGAAGCAAAATGAAGGTTAATGTATTGCCTTTCATTTGGCTTATTCACTTTGGCTAGAGAAACCCATAGAGAAAAGTTCAAAGCCTAACAAAAACCTATCTAAAAAGCCCGCGCTATTGTGTACTATTATTTGTTCCATTATTTCTGAGTTGTTTTCTCTAGTGTTTCTTTACTTTACTTTTCTATTAGGATGCTCTGACTAATCAGATGCTTCATAAAATTGTACCTACAGGGTATGATGTCATAATGATGTCATAGGACTTCACCTACACTCCTGCAGGTATTTTGGTTGAAAGATATGATATCATAGTGATGTCATAATGATGTCATGTTCCATGGAATTTGCTAGAACATTCCAATGACTCATAATGACTCATAGTGACTCATAGTGACTCAGAATGATGTCATTATCCCACCATGAATATTCTGGAATGTTCTTTTGCACCTGCTAGAACATTCTGCTCCAGTTTTTGGAATATTCTTCTCACATTCTGAAGTCATTACATCACCTTTTTACTTACATAATATTCCCACACAAAATGTATATAAGGAGAGCCCATTCTCCCCCAAAAAAATAGATCTCCCACTTGTTGCATTCAAGAATCTCCCACTTGAGCAAATTGAACTCTCACCTAAGAAGCTTCAGTCTGAACAAATTGCTGCTTACAAAGCCCATTTCCTTTGTAAGAACTGTCCAGGCAAGTGCAGGGAAAGTGTTTCCCTTGAGATTACGTAAGTTTCTCGCGATAGAAACCCAGTTTTGTGAGACCAGTGTTCTCACCACGTAGTGTTTACTGACCAACACGAGCTTTGGTCAACGTTGTTATTTGTGAGACCAGCGTTCTCACCAGGTATTTGTATACTGATCAACACGAGCTTTGGTCATTGTTGTTATTTGTCATTGTTTTTTTATTTGTCATTGTTGTTATTTGTGAGACCAGCGTTCTCACCAGGTATTTGTATATTGACCAACACGAGCTTTGGTCCACGTAGTCACATTTGAGACCAGCTTCTCAACAGTTAACCGTATATTCAGGAAACCAGTTCAAGTGTCTAGACGGTATATCCTAGACAATCCCATAGTTTCAATCAGAGATAATAAAGCTCCGGCTAAGTTAATCTGACTGATTGGTTTAGCGAGCCTCCCAAGAACTCACACGTTATCTACCACGAAAGAAGAAAAGTCGTAGACCGTGTTAATCGAGGACTGGCAAGAAGTCTTATCCAGTGTAATTGTGGTGTCATTACATTCTTACACGTATTTATATAAGACCCTCGGTTATTAAGACAGCGGGAAAGCTGCGCGTTATGTGTAAAACAACTAGGGACATGATAGAAGTCGAATACAGCTGATGGTGCAAGTTGTGCATTGAAGGCCAATTGTCATGAGTTGTGAAAAGGTGCGAAAGGTGCCCATATGTGCCTGCAGAAACGCGAGTCTCTACACCGGTAGTCTTGCCTCAGCAACCTATACCTAATTTTACCTTGTCATACCTAGTTATACCTAGACTCTCCTTACCTCGGCCTAGCCTTACCTGCTGCTCCTGTCAGCATCAGACTTCTCTACTCATATCAGGTATCTCATATCAGGTGTCTCACATCAGACATCTTGCATCAGACATCTTGCATTGGACATACTGTCAGTAACCTCATTGCATCAGACACTCCCAGACCTCGGACTCGGAACATCAGTCGGTCGGAACATCTTGGTCTCAGATCATAACTCCTTCCCTTCTCTTCCCTCACACTATCAGAAGGAAGTGCTTCAATAGCAGTCCCCTTGGGTCGATGTACTGCACTTGTGCCCGTTAGGATTTAGTAGGTTTATTGGTATAGCTAGCTGACTACTATTTCTTTCACCACATCAGACCGAATGGACAGTCTGGTTCGGAAGGGTTTGCATTTGAACTGAAGTTCTGAACTGGACTCTGGCAGCACTAGCTGTGCACCACTGGTTACCTATAGGTGTATTACATGTGTTCCAACCCTCAGATCTTGAATATATGTTTGATTAATCCTCCAGAACACCAATCTTCTCATATATCCCCTATCCCTATGAAATCAAACCATCGGCCTCCTGGAGCTACGAGACTGTGTTTAAATGTCATCTAGACAGTGTGTAGCATATATATGAGTATGTAGGCCCTTGTACAGTGTATGATGATGCACAAAATCATTAAAAATGCAAATTATATTGTTTTAATAGAACTGATTGCCTAATGGTAGCTGGTAGCAAATCAAAGTGGTCAAGTATGTTCTATTAGGTATATAATGGCTAATATACATACATGTTGGAGCACGTGAGATGCGACACAGCCACAGCACATCAGAGTATGTGTTTGGAATACGGAGTTGTTATATATGTCCATTTTCTCATTGTCCCACTCTTCCCTCAGTCCATTATATCAGACCAAGGGTGAGTCACTTATTTCTTATCCTGCCGTACTCAGATTGCTCATGTTCATACTTAGGATACTGATATCAGTGTCTAGGTACTTATAATAATCAGTCCATTATATCAGACTGAGGGATACTGATATCAGTGCCTAGGATCTAAAAATACATACCTTCTTTCCTTGTCAGTTCAAAACAATTGAATCTGTATACTGAGTCTATGGTTTGAATTCTGTCTGAGAGTTTAGCATGTTCGTGAATCATGTAGCATGAATCGTGTAGCGTGAATCGTGTCTCCCTTCCTGTAAAAGAGAGAGGAAAAAAGTATAGGTTAAACTCAGCTAGATTAGCTGTTAGTTAATTATATAATCAACCCCTGTAAGGTAGTATATAACTTGAATAAATGTTTCTTAGTCTTACTTTGAGGCTATTGATTTGCCTGTACTTAGGTTCTTACATTATCTTACACCGTTTGAGATGAGTGAAGGTGGAAAGTGCTCCATTTCTTACATGGCAAAATTGGGCTCTTTATATACCTTTTGGAGGCCCTGATTACAAAGCATGAATCATCACATGGATTGGTAAGAATGTGCTTACAAACAATGCCATTTGGTGTGTTGAGTCAGCCTGTTTACTAATTTACATTATAAATACAGTGTAGTTTACAAAGCATGATACAGTGGCTCAAAAAAGTGTCTCAATGTTTGTAGCTTTTCATGTAATTGCTTTCTTGTGAGTCAGGACGTGGAAATATGACTAAGCCATAGGGAGGGGTGGAAAAGCCCTGCTTCTTCGCTTCAATTCCATCCCCTACAGCGTGGGAAGCTGATGTCATCAAGTGAAGATATGGTCATTTTAATTTGGTGATTCATTGAGACGCTTTTTTGACTTTATAAAAATTTAGCAAAATCAGGTTACCTAGACAAAATGTTATGACTAAATATCTAAAAAAATGGTGTTATGTCAATAATATGGTCTGACTGTAATATCTTACATCTATATAAGTGCAAGCTAGAGCATGAAATTCTCCATAATCCTCATGAAGTCTATCTCCTCTACTCAACAGGATAATATCCTTGTTCTCAGCTTCTCTGGTCTATCTACTAGGCAGATTGCTTCCAAAACTGGTTTAAGTTGGGCTACTATTGCTAGGGTCATCAAGAAATCTAATCCAAATAAAGAAAATATCAATATGGGCTATTGTTCACTGTATTCTATCTGGAGAAGCTTCAAATGCTGTTCAAGCCACCAAATTCATTAATTCCATCATCCCCTCCACTGTCTCCACCCAAACAGTAAGAAACACTCTCAAGGCAGCTAACCTGAAAGCTATAACCAAGAAGAAGAAACCTCTTCTTTTACCAACTCATAGGAAGAAGAGACTAGTCTTTGCTCTGAAGCACTAACACTGGACTGTTGAGGACTGGAAAAGAGTTATTTAGTCAGATGAGACCAAAATCAATAGACTGGGGTCAGATAGTCAGGAATTTGTGTGGAAAAAAGCAGGTGATCCACTAGGAGACAGAGAAGTAAAAGGCACACTCAAGTTTGGAGGAGGAAACTTGATGGTGTAGGGCTGCATGAGATGGAATGGAGTGGGGATTCTGTGTGAGGTGGAGGGGAGGATGAATGCAGAGCAGTATGTCTCCATTCTAGAGGAGTGTCTGCTTAGAAGCATGAAGGAGTCAGGTATTGATGAAGAGAACATCATCTTCCAGCAGGACAATGATCCAAGCATACCTCAAGACTGGCTACAAAATGGTTTGAAGACCATAATATCAATGTTCTATCATGGCCAGCACAGTCTCCAGACCTCAATCCCATTGAACATCTTTGGGAATTACTTAAAAGACTACTTGCTGCCTATCAAGATCCTCCAAAGGGGCTATTTGAACTATGGGAGAGAGTTGTAGTAGAGTGGAGAAAGATTACTAAGGAGGAGTGTCAGAAATTGATAGAAAGTATGCCTAGGAGGGTAGCAGCAGTTATTAAAGCTAAGGGGGGTAACACAAAGTACTAGAATCATACAATAGCATTGGTAAAATACAAAGTCAAAAAAGTGTCTCAATGAGTTACCAAATTAGAATGACCATATCTTCACTTGATGACATCAGCTTCCCACACTGTAGGGAACAGAATTAAAGCGAGGAAGCAGAACTTTTACACCCCTCTCTATGGCTTAGTCATATTTTCACATCCTGACTCATAAGAAAGCAATTACATGAAAAGCCACAAACATTGAGATACTTTTTTGAGCCACTGTAAATCATGGCATGAGTCATCACATGGATTGGTAAGGCAGTTGCTTATAAACCAAGCCATTGGGTGTGCTGAATCAGCCTTCTTACTGAGTAGATTATAAATACAGTTAGAAATCTTACAAAGCATGACAAATCATGATATTTCCCAGTCACATGACATGCTTACAAACATGCTTGGTGGCTTGAGAGAAAGTGTTGGCTGAATATGCCTAAGAAAAATAGAAAGAGATGGAATGTCATAGAACAAAATAGAAATACATGGAAAAATGGAAGTGAAGTTTGAAAGTACAAATACTGGCTAATAAATAAGGGGAAAATGATGGGGTAACTTGATGATAGGATACAGTAGAGTCTACTATACCTTCCTTATCACACCTTTTGTGTATATGTCATGGTATGAGTTGCATACCATGCATGACACCATCACAGGCTTGATTTCATCAACATTTTGAATTATTACTACAGCGACGATTATGAGAGCCGACCTGGATCAGGACACCACATAAAACACCACCAGGAAATGATCTGCCACTTAGCCTTCCACCAGCCTACTACACCCATATCACTACATCCACCTTCAACTTCTCTCCTACAGTTCGTGCTTACCTTCAAGGCATTGAAGCCACACCAGAAGTTATGTTGAGGATTGATGCCAGCCTTGACTACTCTGTCAACAACTAAGAAACTTGCTTTGTAAATGCTGGACTTTCAGTGTCACAAGCATGTAACCTTCATCAGGTCATCGTTCATTCACTTCTGGAGGAACAAATTAGTGTCCTTGATATAGCACAGCAATCTGATCACACGCAGAGGTGATTCATGTGAGTATGCAGCATATTGTTCATTTGGCTTTGTGATCTTATTCTCTTGCCTGTCTAGCTGTTTTCTAGTGTTGCTTTGAGCGCTTCTGTTGCCATGCTTTCATCTCTTGCTCACTAAAACTCAAATACTGTAAATATATGTTGCTTCAATGTCAAATTTGGTTAGTTCAGTTTGGAAATTTTTGCTGTTGCCACTTATTATGGTTGGATCCCTCATTTTTTTTAGTTTGGTGCTATACCTAATTCAATTAATCGCTGGTGCTTCATAAATACCAGAGGCTGTAGGTTTGTATTAATAAATTTTTGTTCATGGGCTCTTTCTTTACTTTCTGCAAACCCATTGTGTTCTTTCTGACAATGAGTACTCCAGCCACAGGTCAGAAGAAAAAGTCTTGATGGATGGGTGAGCAACCCAAAATATTGGCAGCACACACTGCTGAAATGTGGAAAGAGGTTGGTGATACACGGAGTGCTTATATGGCCACCATCGCAGACCTTGCAGAAAATACCATATGTATGTTTGGGCTGTTTATATTTACTATGCAGCTCACATTTTGCATGAATAGCTCACTTGAGTGGATGTCAAAGCAATTTTTCTTGGGAGGCAAGCTGCTGAAGAGTTTCCACAAAGTCTCCATGTTCAATGTGGTTGTGAGACGCAAAATTGCCAACTGAAAGTAAGATGGTAAGGACTTGTTCTCCATAATTGTAGTGATTGACTAACAACAATGTACTAGGTATCTTAGATGGTAGGGAGACACTTGCCATCATCTCCAGGGAACTCAAGGAGTCCAGTGAGTGGAAGAACATGATGCAAGAGGAGGAAGATGATTTAATGGAAGACATCGAAGTTGAAAACATGTCCAAGGCTCCAATAAAGATCTACACCAAGGATGTTGCAATGGAAATTGCAAAGACTATGGGTAATATTGATCCTGAGGTACATTTTCCAAAGATTCATCTAGTCATTTTGCTGACACCACACAGATCATAGTTCTTGAAAAATGCACTGGTTGCAATGTGTTCTGGGGTCTGACAAGGAACACACCAAATGACAATTTCAGACCACAAAGCTATGTGTCTGACCCTGTCAAAAATGTGCGTCTTGCTCTGTTTAAGCTTATGCCTGAACAGATAGTTGTCAACATCAATGCCTACATTGTGTCAGGTGTGGAAGGTGTCATTCGCACCTGAAGTGTGAGGAAGACCACATTCCTTAAAGAAGAAACTCGAGACATGATTTGCACCAATATGGATACATTTTTCAAATTACCTTCTTAACTCCTGCTGCTGACATCTTTGCAGAGGAAATCCTTAACAAGCAGGGTGTTTCAGCCACAGAAATGCCTCAGGTAGCATATCACAACCACGAAAGTTTCGTTTGTGCATGAGGCATCGAGCTTGTAGGTAGGACAGAGGGTGCTATCACTAACCCAAGGGAGATTACCTCAAGTGTTGCTCTCAGGCACTTGCACAATGCTCTCAAAGATGGTTTATGTTACTGGCACAAACTGACAGATGAAAAACTTGCTGCAAGAAAGGAGGTGCATGAGCAATGTGTTATTTTGGGGGAGGAGAAAATTAGAGCAACTCCATAGTGATAAGGGAAAAAGAAAGTGTGGTAGACCTGCACCATCCATCAGCATGAAGAGCAAGGCTTTTGTCCAGACTCAGACTCTGAAATGAGATTGTACTAGTCATGCCTCCAACATTGATTTCCCCCTCACTACCACCCCTCCTGTACCTGCCATGAATGATGAAGCCAGCCCTCTATCCACCAGAACTACAGATGTCTCGAACAATGATGATGATGTCCTCCAATGCTCTCTGGCTCTCATCAAGGCCAGTTGAACATGCAGACTTAGTTGGAGGTACTGTGGGTGTAATGCAACCTAATAACCAAATCCCATCATTTCCATTATATCAGGGGCATGGTGGGTACCAATCAGGCGGGTCCATACAACATTTTTAACACTGGAACATGAGCGTGTGGGGTTCAGTGACAAAGGACTTGGATTAGCTGACTGAGGAATACCATCAGGTAGAATAGGAGACCAATATGTTCATGAGAAGTGTCAGGTTGATTTCCTAGCATAATCTTATGTATATCCTGTATCCTTAAACAATATTTGATTGTACCTTGCAATGCCCATCACTGTGAGGGATAGTGAGCTCGAAGATTAGCTAAGTTTGGTCTGCACGTGATGGCAGGAGCAACTTGCTGAACTATATCCGAGCACCCTCTGACATTCCCAATGTTCCCAATGTTGCAGACAGTGCCAGCAATGACAAGATTGTTATTAGTGCTGATTAGATTTATCTACATCTATGTTTATCTCACAGGGTCCATAATCTATGTAGTATAAGCTGGTACAAGTGCTGAGGTAAAGCTGGTGGTAACGCTGGTGTAGAGGACCATTGGATCTGAGGCAAATAACCCACACCAGTGTCTTCTTACTTGAGGGTTTTATATGTTGAACAGAATACAATGACTATCACAATTGTACTCTTTAAGACTAAGGTGCCAGCTCCTCAAGTTCACAGTCAATGGATTTTCTACTTCTCGGTTGATAATGTGGTGTTCATGGGTGGCCAAAGGGTAATAAATTACTTCTTTGCTAGATCACTTCTTGATAGTAAGGGAGTAGTATATATTTTGTCAGGTTAAGTTAAACCTAGTAGGTAATATGAACCTCTCTGAACTGAATGTGACTCGAATATGTAAAACAATAGATTATTGTATAGGTGATCCCTGTAAGCTAGTATACAATCAATCTAGACTAAAGAATATGATTTTTTTCAAAGGCAACTCATAGGCCTTCACTTTCTTCTGCATCTCACACTGTTGAGACAGAAAGTGGGAAAACTCCTGACTTCAAATTCCTACATTCCCACATGGTTTGGGAAAAGAATGGAAGAGGAAAAACTTATATATTATGTGAGAATGGAGTCCTTATATACATTTTAGAAACCATCCTTACTAAGCAATGAGTCATCACTGGATTGGTAAGATTATGCTTACAAACCAAGCCTTTTAGTGTGCTGAATCAGCTGCTTACTAAAGTACATGAGTAAAATATTACAAATAATGACAAATCATGACAAAACATGATGAGTCATGGAAAGTCCTTACAAATCAGAATAGTACCAATCACATGACATGCTTACAAGCATATCTGAGTGGCTCACTGATGTAATCATGTGGCTGAATAAACATGAACAAGTGCAAAAATTAAAGGGAGGAGGAGGAGGGAAGAGAGCTAGAAGGAGGAGTCAGAGAGAGAAGGAGAAGAGAGAGAGAGACTTACCAAAGAGGCACAAGTGCGAAAATTATAGGGAGGAGGAGGGAAGAGAGCTAGAAGGAGGGGTCAGAGAGGGAAGGAGAAGAAGAGAGAGAAAGACTTACCAAAGAGGCAAAAATGCGAAACTTAAAGGAGGAAGAGGAAGGGAGATAGCTAAAAAGAGGAGGAGGAAGACAATGTCAGAGAGTTGAACACAAAGAAAGAGACAAAGACTCACCAGAGTTCAAAACACCAGTACCAGCACCACCACCCACCTCCAACAACAATATCAAAGAAGAAGAGAAGAGAGGCAATCACTTGAAAATTGTTAGAGAAAGACAGTGAGAAAGACTTGACCACATTTTTGCTTATATAAGCAGTGCCAAACAAAGCCACATGATGTGGCTGGCAGAGACTTAGTGAATTTTCGCAATTTTGCTTATATAAACAAGCTGTGCCTTAACTTTCTTTAACCCACCACTTTCTAGTATTTTGCTTATAACTTATTAGGATATTAATCAAAAAATGTCATGAGACCATGGATAGGCTCCACTTAATGAGGGCCACAACTATGATTTTAATCGAAAATTTAAGATGTTACAGTGTGTAATTTGTGTTGTTTGTACAGTGTGTGCACTTGTGCTGTGTGTGCTACTGTCCGCTTGTGGCAGACTTGTAGTCATTTGTATGTGATGTGTGTGAGAGTTGTGAGGGTGTGTGATGTCTTGTGTGGAGTTGTCAAATGTGTGGGAACTGTCACGAAATCAATAGTTTGCTGATGCATGTATATGGATATTCTATCAAAAAGATCTGCGAGGTTCTCGGCATCCAGAATTCCCTTGTATACAAAACTCTCCAGCTCTATGCCACACTCTCCAATGTTGCCAGTCCCAATTCACGTACAGCAGGCTGTCGTCGCAGTCTCAATTATGAGGACATCAACTACATCAAATCACATTGCCATTTGCACAGCTCTGCATTCTCAGATGAACTTCAGAGTAACCTGCTTTCACAATGTGGTGTCAAGGTTTCAATGTCCACTCTCTTTCGAACTCTGCAACGTCTTGGTATCACACGCAAGAAAGTATCTCGTTGCGCCCTTGAGCGGAATGATGAAAAAAATGCGCCGCATTCATGAACAACCTTGCCGACATTGCCTACTGGCTGTTCTTCAATGATCTTCTCGGCCATCGCATTGAAATCAGCTGCGTTATCAACGTCAATTGCATCCTTTTGGCTTCGCGGGAAACCATCAACAAGAAGTGATGTCGCCTGTAAGGCTTCTTTAGGGCGACCTTGTACTCAGTCTTCCCATGTGTTGTGAGCACTGCACGAAGAAAATTGGTGTAGTCTTCAGCAGTTGGAGCAATGACGAGATTTGCTTCCTTGAGCTTGTTGACTTTCTCTTCGGATTTCTTCTTCTTGGTAGATGGCTTGACAGGGTTGTATACAATGAGATTGATCAAGAACACAGTTTTGAATGGCATGCTCTCAGGTTCCGGTGTAGACATGGTATCAGCGAGTCCAGATTCACATCTGATGCCACAGTATATACTACTTAGTGCCACCACATCCTGTCATTCTGATGTATCAACCATGACACTGTCACAAAAATACTGATACATAAGTATGAGAGTCTGTCATAGTCGTGCCACTACTGCAATGATACATCAGTCCCTGTACAAGTTGGAGGATCCTGTCAGGACAGTCCCATAATAATCTCACACCCCTAACTGTCACATTTTTGGCCACCTAATGGATGACTTTCCGTAGGCTCGAAATATGTTGATTAGAATATCATATCATAAATTTGACTACATTAGGAAGGTGTGCCGCGATGCCGCTGTTCATTTGAGCTGAATTTGCAAACATATTTTCTTTGCTCCCCATTTTCAAACCTTAAACTATTTTAATCTGTAGGGGGGGTCCCCCCCCCCTGCAGACTTGAATATCCGACTTTCGTCCGTTTTAGGCCACTAACGCCAGTGATATTCGCTGACGTAATGTGTGTTGCTCAATGTGCGTGGCACCTCTCATGGTCACACAAAGGTGCGTTGTCAACATCTTGCCAAGTTTGTTGACACCTTTTTCTCCCTCTTCTTTTTAGACTTTAATACCAAGTCGTATATATGAAACTACAACCTGACAATGCTGCCTCTGCCTGCCTCACCCAATCTGTCCCGGCGCCCACCTCCAACCACCAAGGGGTGTTGATGCAAGGATTGGGAAGAAGTTGGGGTCGGCAAAGGTATGAATGATGGGGGTTCCGGGTGTCAATGCGCTCTTGTCGTGATACCTTGATCCCACAAATGAGGGCTGCAGCTAGGACCTGAGCTCCTTCGTCGTCATCAAAAGTTCTGCCTCGTCAGTTGTTGAGAAGCAGGTACTGCATTGCAAGATTGTCCATCGAGGACTGGACTAAATCTAAAGACTACTGAGCGTATGGGGGATTATTGTTGCATAGATTAAATTATTGACATGATTGCAAATGTATTTCAGGCTCTGAAATAATCTATTCTGGATTATTTTGCCTATGGAAAGTCATCCAATGTGGGATTTTCCCCAGAGCACTCAAAATAGATTGCTCCTTCATATCAGGCTTCCCATATTATTCCCACACTCTGCACTTTTGCACCTACTCCCAAAACATTACCCATTATGGGAATCTCCACAATATCAATTATTCCCACACCCTCCCTACCTCACTGGAGCTTCACCATCACACCACAATAGCTCCCTCTCTATATATAAGTAGTAGGTTGGTATATATGTGCATAATATAATATAATGGACCGCTTTTTTTGTCCATTGATGTGCTTACTGCTCCTCCAGGGCACTTTTAACATAGAGTAGGGTACAGAACACTTTCGCATTTTTGCCCCTTTGTAAGGGAAGTATTCCAGGGTACTCAGAACATGTTTATGAGGATATAAGAATATGTTCCTATTGTCATTTGACCCCCTGAAGCGCCCTACATCAATAGGTACCATGTACATATGGGAAAACACAAAATAGGTTCGCATTTTTTGGTTTCTAGCTATATGAGTTTGAAAAAATTGTTCCAAACATCTATTTAATAGTAGGAAGAATGTATTAGGAGCTCAGGACCATAGGGAAAGATCTTATTGTGTAGTGCATCCCTCCTCTCCTGGTGATTCACCCCCTGTGAAAATTTTTGTTGTAGGACCGGACCTTAATTGAGGCAGGGAGCATATTTCTATGTATATTTGGAGTAGATGTATCATATAGCTAGCCCAGAACACACATAGGATCCTTCTACAGGAACAAAGATACAGAAAATCGCATTTTTGACATTTTTGATGTTTTTCAGTATCTTATCCTTGCACATCTGATCAGCCATGTTCATATATCATCAGTAGTACATTCAAATATGTGTTTCATGTTAAGGATCAGCTAGATATAGGGCGGAAATTTGAGATATAATGTAAAGGGGCTGTTCTATTAATTAGATGCCTATATGATAGCAAAGCCTGTGATAAGTGATCAGAGACCTGGGATGCCTCTCATATATGTCCTTCATGATATGATTAAAATTTTAGAAAGATCCATGAATGATTGACTGAATGATATGCAAAAGAACATATATGTGAAAAGTGACAATTGTCTTTTTTTGACACAAAGTTACATTTATAGCTGATACAGGTGGAAGATTTCATTAAAATTATGTAGGATGGATAGTAAACTACCTAAGGAACCTATACTACATATTGCCCTGAGGGTAGAGGATGGGTGGAAGGGATGTAGTGTAAATGTGTGTTAACCTAGCCATCAGGAAAATGTGAAATCCCTGTAGGCAGCCGTTTCCTATGTACAGCGTATTTAGATCATGCGCTCCTAAATAAGACTCTGTAGGTTCTGTAGGCGGCTCAACTCAGCATTCAACTCTGTAGGACCTGTAGACACAATTTTTTTTCTCCAGTATGCGTCTTTTTTCCTTGGACGCATTGGACCACATTACTAACTTCAATGGCAGGCAAATCTCTCAAGTGGTGCGACCTTATCTAACTTCTCAAACTGGTCACTCGCTGACAACTCCAACAGCCCATGTCCCACCAAGTATCAGACAGCCAACTCCGAGTCAGACTCGGACACCCATGCCAACGACATTGTGCCCAGCACACCCTCTGCCAGTGAGGCTCTCCAAGTCAACGCTAACATGCCCCAGGACAAGACCAAGGCCAAACGGTAAGAGACATCAAATTATATATGAATGCTGACATGTGCTTATTTCGAGTCACTGTGACAGTCCGCGTCTTCGCCGGTGGGCTAGCATCCAACTAGAAAAGCAGCAGAAGGAAGATGCACTCAACTTGCAATGGGCCCGGGAGCGAGTGGATGCGGAAGAGGAACAACGCCGACAGGATAACGGTGAGTATTGTTGTCGTTGACCTAGTTGCACATACCTACTGAATAATGGTCCATCCTTGTTAGAAATTGTCGAGGTGACGGTTGGATACCTTCGACAACTTATTGAACACCGTTGGGATACTGAGAAGTCACTCACTGAGGCCAACCGTCGAGCTCAGTTACTCGAGATCAACACCTTCCACTGACGGTTGACTGAGACCACCGATTCACGTGAGGAAAATAAGGCTGAGGGTGATACAACCATTTGCTACACAAGTTTTATAAACCTTCATAATGCAGAATTAATCAAAAGGATACATATCATATCAGGCAGTTCGGAATTTGTAGAAGCTGTACATGTCTATCCAAGGATTAAGGTAGAATGTCTTGCATGCATCCAAGATGAAATCCCGCCTCCACGTTTGGTTGACATGTGTGCCGAACTTAGGTATAAGATGACAACTCCGAGAAATTTGACTGATGGGGATCACCTCAGTGCGAGGAGCTTGACCCGCATAAGAACGTGAGACTGTGTGCAGCTGCAACAATGCATCGCGTGCCCGGAAGGGATTGAACCATTCAACGAGTGCAAGGTGGAAAGGCTGTCCAGTAGTGCGCAGGTGCATTGGTAAGTCAAATATCAGGCAGACTTGCGCAACTTGAAGACCTATGACAAGTGTCCAAGACCATATCAATGCAAAACCCTACTAGTAAGTTTCAGTGAACTTGCTCACCTTCCAAAGCAGTCCCCTGAGTGTGTACATTAGTAGTACCTTCTGTTTGCACCAGGACTGTATCAAATTGTCCTGGCGAACCAGCTGACCGACCAGAAGGAGGGGTGTAAGGCACTGCACGGATGCAGTCCATGGACTTCAACATATGGACTGCACGCAAGTGTGGATAAGGGATTGACAGACACCGGTAAGCATCAAACCTGTCCCAACGACAGACTGACAACGGTACTTGTGGGGGTGGTGGATTTTGGGGTGGTGGAGTTCGATTCAGGTATTGGGTGAGTGCAGTAAAGAAATTGACCGCCCCAAATGTCTGGGCAATATAATCAACTGCTAGAGCGCGCAATGGAGGACGGACTGCCAGGACATGAGATAAAGGTGTATCACCCTCACTTGGCGGCTGTGGCTCGGGTACATCCACATTCAGCGCTATGCCACCTTCAACATCGTCAACATCGCCATCGGCTTCCTCATCATCCATCTTTCTCTGCAACCTCCAGTCCAGGTAAGCCATGAATTGGTCCACTGCTTCCTGTCGTGCTAACCACTTCGTCATCTGCACAACATAGTCTTTTTTGTTTGTTGCTCGATACACATTTTTTGTGAAGTTGATGTGGAGGCGTTCGGGGAATTCAGTGTTGAATCCATCTGCGGAGCCACGAGACTTGATCGACACCACGTAATGTTGCATTGAGTGCATTTTTGGAATATTGAAGTCATTATGCACCCCCAGATCCACGAATATATGCTTGTGATCGTGAAATTCGTGCAGCGCGGACTCTAGGGCATCAAGAGACTGAGATGTATGGGCGTGGAATTGTGCATAGTATATAAAATCGAGGACGGCACGTGCTGCTTGAATAACTGTTGGTTGAACCGCCCCAGCTAACACACCCATGAAGACTCGTTGCATCTCCCGATGCTCTGTCCCTGTCCATTGAGATACAAGGGAGATGCCCTGCGAGAAGTGGCGGAGACCTGGATAATTGGACATCTTTTGGTAACGTTCGTCAATCTCTTTTTCTCCTGCAATTTCAGTGCACCATTTCAACAGGTGATCATGAAACACGCCCTTGTGCAATTGGTGCAGAATATCGGGTGTGATCGCGCCAAAGATATCGGAGTAAGGAAGATCTGCCCAGAATGGACAATACACAGGGCGCAGCCCCTCACGTGTGTAGGTAGGTACCCTGCGACCTGTTCGCTTGTGTTCCAGCATAGTCAAGGTGCGCGCTTCATCTCGTAGGAGTGAAGCCAGAGGTTCACCACGGCTGTCTCTGTGAACATGACACTTAGGACAGAAACTTTCTTTCGTGCAGGTAATGAGACACTGTTCTGGATGGTCGGCAACATAGGCAGCGAGGATCGGGTGCACTCGACGAACTCTCCCATCAGCACATACCATCTCTACACCCTCCTTGCCGGCTTCGATCAGGGGCTGTAGAAGCCTCCGCATACATTCATGAAACAGCCGATACCCTGCAATGGACCGAGTTCCTTTGCTAAAGCAGTCAAGCTTTGTTGCTGGGAGGTAGCCAAGCAAAATGGCTCCATGCATCCGTGGACGACGGCGTGTGGCCTTTTCTATATTCCCAATGGTCAAATACACTGGCCATGCAGATTTGTCGCCTCTAAACTGTGAGAGGTTTGTTTAATCGGATGCAAGGATGACTGGTGCTATCGTTGCTCCTTTCGGCAGCTTGCCCTGCCATGAGGACAACGAACATTAGTAAGTAACAGCACAGCTTTGGTCCGGTTCAACTCTCTAACCTGCATGTCCCACCACCAGTCCCCTGACCACATTTCATCATAAATTCAGCTATTACCTCCCCTGTCCTCAAATGCATGCTCAGGTGCGTAAGCCATCATATCTTTGAATGTTGGATTGCCGATGAGTTCGCGAATACAGTCCACCGGGTCGCGCCGCCAGAGTTCTAATTCAGCTGATGACATCTCACCATCCGTGGCAATAATGTCTCCTGCCACCTTGATGAGGTCACAGTGCCATTCAGGTCCTTTTGTAGGCAGTGCGTCAATTTTTTTCAAGAAGGAGCGGTTATTTGGGTATGTAACCTGGGCACGATTTCGAACCTGCATGAATGTGAGTTTGATGATGATTGTCTTCAAATGGCATGATCCTTACAATAGGAAGCTTTAGAAATTCGTCGGTTTGGTTTTGCCCGACATTTTGGATCAACCACCTAGCTAATTCCCATTCCTCCTCGTCATTGAAAGGGCCCCAAACACTCTCACCATTTGCTTCTTGGTTATCCTTGATGGCGTCAAACTTGGTGGGCACAATGTCTTCGGCAGGACCACATGGTGCACCAGCTAACATCTCATCAGGGTACTCTTCAACCCAGCGCCGTGTCCCAACAGGACCAGGGTCATCGGTGACCTCTTCGATCTGGACACTGCAACTCTGAACATGGTCTTGATCGAACTCGACCGAACCCGGATGTGGAGGTGAGTACGTTTCTTCGTTTGTATTGTCCTCAACTGGTGGTCTAGCATCATGCAGATCTTCATCATCTTCAAGATTGAAATTGTCCTCGACTGGTGCTGCAAACCCGCCACCAAGGTCAAACACATTGATGCTGAAGTTTTGGAGGCAATCCTGCCATTTCTGGCAGCAGGTAAGTGAATTCGCGATGTGCTTGTTCAGACCTGATGTAGTAGGGAGCCAGTGACCACAATCTTTGCAAGCTGGCATTATTGGGCGATTTGACGTGGTCTTCTGACTTGGGCATTCAAAAGGTATGATCTTTAGCATGTGTTTAAGATTTCGGAGAGTGGTTGACAGGTCTGACATCCCAGTCTGCGCATATATTGGGTGGCATCGGAGGTCTTTTTTTTTCTGTCTTCAACCACCATTTCAGACTCCACTGACGCACTCTCTGTGTTTTTTAATGGCACGTCGCAGGAATACCGGTGAACAGCCGGCCAGTGAAATGCCAACAATGCGTGTACAACGTCACCGTCGCAGCGCATCCAAGAAAATCGCCCAAGGTCAGTTGATTTGAGTTTGCTCAGTTGGCACCAAGAACTTAAGATGACATGTTGCAGAGGACCAAACTCACGCACAAGACCTCAGGAAGACTCAAAAGTATGCAACTCAAGGTCTCCGCCAGAGACAGGCTCTTGAAGAGGTCAACGACTTCGCACCTTTGGACCCAGAGTCAGAAGATGCAGAAGATGATGGCGACATTGCCAATGGCAATGATGATGAGCCATTGACTACAGATTCAGTAAGTCTGCAGATCTGTGGTCAAGATTTTCATTAACATGCCTCCATGACAGTTCACTTTTACAGCAGTGCCTCTCCGTGGTCTGACGAATCAGGCCCGTGCTCTCACTTACCCTGCACAAGCTACCAGAACGTCTGTGGGACATGCAGACCAAGAAAACCGTCAGGTCTCACGTATTCCACCTAGACTGACTCCACGGACACATCATGTCCCCCCCAGCATCCCTTCAGCATATTTGAACACACCTGTGGTGCCTTGGGTCCAGCCGCAACAAGTGATCGATCCTCAATTGCTTACTGGCAACTTGGAGGAGGAGGCAGGGCCACGTATGGTAAATGTTTCAGCTCCAACTAGGGCCATAATACTAATGTGCGTCATGCAGGAAAGTTCTTGAAGTGAAAGTTCGAGCAAATATGTTCAACAGACAAGATTTGAACACCATTTTGCAATGGCAGGGCCACGCAGGAGCCAAGTCACACATGATACTCCAACGCCATTCAGAGGAGTGCCGCCGAGCTTGAGGGGTGAAGGATCTTCAAGTTCGGTCGAGTCCATGGTGGCACAACAGGTGAATGATCTTTATTGGACTAGGGATTCAACTGATAAAATCAAACACAGCCAGTTGAATTGATGGCCGCTCTGGGGGCTGTGAAGCGCCCGGCTCTGCCACTCACAGAGGTAGAAGGCCTCCAGGTGGTTCAGAAAGTCAAAATTGGTGATGGCGGCAGTCGTGGCTGCATTCGATGTGCTGACTTTGATCGTCTCTATTCACCCATCATACATCTTGCAGTGGGACACTACCAAGTTATTCTCGCTAACTCGACAATCTATCCAGGTGATGTTGAGAGTCGCAACTGGTTGGGCGAAGCATGGGCTGCATCGTGTCGGGCAAATGGAGTGAGAATTGATTATGATGAGGACGCTTACAAATTGGTACTGGTCTGATGCCTATGACCTATGTCATGCTGACCCGCTGCTATTAGATAACTTCACAAGGCTCTAGTCTGCGGAGCGAACTTAAAACTGTCATGCGGCCTCTTGTTATGACAGAGTTTGGCTTCAGTGACGACAAAACACCTGAAGCCACATCCCTCAATGCAGTGCTGGTAAAGTCACTCCTCGAAAACCATAAGAATTTCACCTATAAGGTAAGGTGCAGGTGTTTTTTGGAGGCCGACATGATGCTAATTGCTGCTATAGGATCGGGAGGGCAAGGGAGCATTCGAGGCTGAGATTATACAAAAGGGCATGATTAAATGGTGCTACGAGAAGAAGAACTCGCTTGGGGTCAAGTTCCCTGCCTATTTCATGGATGCGAGCACTGGCGGCGTGAGCTTTGGCATCATCATGGCAATCCTTACAGCTGTAAGTAATGGATCAGTCATCATAGTAGTAGTCGGAGCTGACAACAACCAACTGTATGATGTATAGGTCAAGGCCTGCGTCATGGAATGGACCACCGGGACAAGGACTGAAACAAAATTTTACAAGGAGCAGTATGCGACGGTGTTCAACACATACCTGACCCTCCTCATCAACTTTCACGAAGGTACAAAACACGCTGGTATTATCCCAAGGATTTGCAAAAAGCTGTTGAAGGTTGCACGGTAAGTAGTAATACACTGATATTTGACATGACAGTACTAATGACAACTCACCAGACACCACGGAAATGTCGCCAACGAGCCTATCCCAAGTGCTGCTACTCAACACTTCACAGTCGACGAGTTCGCGGCGGCGGCAGCTGAGTGGGATAATCGCAGCGGAGCTGACTCAGAGGATGATATGATGTGGTAGTGGCTAACTGGTTGTGCGAGCATTAGTACTAGTACTGTTCATGTTTCGTGGCTCCCGGAAAATAACAATGCCGTACTATTGTTTTCCTAGTGTCCTCCAGGCCTACTGACCACTGGATCCTACGGCGTGCCTATTCTATACATGAGTGTCCTACTCGCTACCTACATATCCGGGACTTACCTACCAGGCTACCAAACCGACAGAGACTATATAGGCTCGCTTAGGCACTGTGCTTTTTCCTGATGGCATTAAAGTCCTACTACTGCTCAACTAACTATTTCGATGTTTTGAGTTTTTGAACTTTCTCACAGTCAATTTCTTATCTATTTCACTTCCTCAGCACTCAATTCTTGTTGGATTGTTCTGTAAATATATACATATGATACTGAATATATTTGAAATGTACTCCAAGTTTCTGATCATTAAATTTGGATGTTTTGAAGGTATTGACCCCTTATCAGTAGAAATAGCAAGCATATGCAGTATCTCAAACCTACAACCTATTTTGACCTGATCTTCGTCATAAAGGTAAGTATATACTGTATACTATTCTAATGGTATATGAACAGGTTGGATCATAGATGCAAGGGTTAGATACTGAAAAACATCAAAAATGTCAAAAATGCGATTTTCTGTATTTTTGTTCCTGTAGAAGGATCCTATGTGTATTCTGGGCTAGCTATATGTAGTGATGCGCAGGTTTGGTTCTGAACCACGGTTTGAACCGAACTTTTCATGAACTGGACTGCGGTCCAGTTCAACGTTCAGAGTATAGGCTGAACTGGACCGATGGTCCAGTTCAGCATTCAGCATTCCTTGAACGCGTTGAACACGTCCAAACCTTTTTGAACACTGACATCGTAACTTAAATAAACCATGTATGCTTCCATTTTAGGCCACTCACACCGATGATACAAGATCACATCATCCATACACGCAATACACTGAACACAACATGATTACTCAAACATGATTGTTGATTCACGCGACTTTTTCGCTTGGAATCCGATTCGCTCGCTCCCAGGTACTGTAAGACACCCTGTTGCAAGGACCATGCCACACTGCCAAGGTCCGTGAAGGTTTATTTGGCTACCACTAACCAAAATGTCACAAAGGAAGCACCTGATAAGGTATGGAGACTTTGGTTAATTTGGTTTAGTGCTAATGTATTTGTTAACGGGTCGTCTTTTTTCTAGGGTAGCTACATGAATTCTTCAGCACTCATGAACTCAATGGAAGTTAAAATGGATCAAATTCAAGGTAAGCTCAACTCTCTTTAAGTTTTTCCCCTCGCAACATGGCTGACCAGTGTGGCCTGGGTGCAGATGGAACTCTTCTTGATGCCAGTCAGATCCAATGGTATAATGATCCCGACGATGATACTCCACTGCCTCCCACTGCATGCTGCTCCACTCGTATCCCACGCCCTGCACCCAAGCTTGTTGACCCCAACAACACTGTAGGCCTGCATGCATCATGATTGCCACTAACACTAGTCTAGTTTGACAAATATCACATTCCTGTTGTGGCTGCATGTCAGCCAACACCTACTACATCATCCTCTAAGTCCAGGCCTACACAATACAGCCACTCATGGATGTGCTCAACGATTCTCGCTTGTCGATCATCCAAAAACTGCATCGCAAATCCTTGTCAAGAACTCGCCATGTATTTGGCGGCTCCATTGGAAGATGTGGGAGATGTTGTCCATTGGTGGGGGGTAAGTTATATCCATTGCATCGACTGGTAGTTATTTACTAACACACCTACCAGCATCATTCTGTGGTGTACCCAACACTTTCCCGTATGGCAAGAGATTATCTTGCCATACAAGGTTCTGCCACTCCAGCAGAACGGGCCTTTTCAAGTGGCAGCATCACAGATCAGAGTTGACGCAACTGGCTCACGCCTGATATCTTCGAGGCACTCCAATTGTTGAAAAGTGCTTATCACAACAGGCATATCCAGGCTGCAGCTGAGGCTGCCACTCGTGTTGGGCCTCTCACTCATGTGACTAAAGATGACCTTTCTGTTGACCTTACTTATCTTTAGTCTTGCTTTGCCTTACTTTCACTCGGTCGTGCTTCATAGTAGTGTACCAGTACTCCTTACTACTAGTACAACTACAATTGAGTAAATTTATAATGTGTTCGACGTTCAAATGCTGAACTGGACATGAATCGGACACTGTGAACGCGTTCACGGCGTCCGGTTCAGCGTTCAGCAAAATGATTGAACCGAACGCGAGGTCTGGTTCAGTGTTCGCAAAATTTCTTGTTGAACTGGACCGAACTGGACTTCTGCAACACTAGCTATATGATACATCTACTCCAAATATACATAGAAATATGCTCCCTGCCTCAATTAAGGTCCGGTCCTACAACAAAAATTTTCACAGGGGGTGAATCACCAGGAGAGGAGGGATGCACTGCACAATAAGATCTTTCCCTATGGTCCTGAGCTCCTAATACATTCTTCCTACTATTAAATAGATGTTTGGGACAATTTTTTCAAACTCATATAGCTAGAAACCAAAAAATGCGAACCTATTTTGTGTGTTCTGCATATACACTATACATATTGATGTAGGGCGCTTTAGAGGGTCAAATAAAGATGGGAATATATTCATATACATATACTACTAAATATGTTCTGAATGCCCTAGAACACTTCCCTGCCAAAGGGGCAAAAGTGCGAAAGTGTTCTATACCCTACCATATGTTGAATTGCCCCTGGAGGAGGAGCAGGCATACAAATGAGCAAAAAGTGATCTATTAAATTATTTTATACATATGTATATATACTAAACTACTACTTAGATACAAGAGGGGACCTATTGTGGTGCAGTGGTGAAGCTCCAGTGAGGTGGGGAGGGTGTGGGAATAATTAACAATGTGAGGATTCCAAAAATGGGCGATGTTTTTGGTGTTGTGGGGTAATACCCAGTGTGGGGATGATGTGAGTAGGCCAGAAGCAATCTATTTTTAAGTGTTGTAGAGAAATTCCCACAGTAGGTGGCCAAAAATGCAGACCTGTCAATGGCTGTGCTAGGGCACAAAATGAGGATTTACACTGATGTATGCAGGTTTCGGTGCGCCACCAAGGTGACGGGTGACACCGCTCAAAAAGGCAACCGCGCGTCACGAAGCCACCCGCTGGTACACACTTGGGTGACACCATTGTCTCAGTGGAGTACATAGGCAGGGAGGATAACCAGCCTGCCGCTGCCTGCCGAATACACGCCGACCGACGAGGACAAGACACACTGGGGGGCACCTGCAAGGATCAGCCTTGATCAGCCTTGATGCCATGGAGGGGAACGAGACATATTGCAGGCTGCAGCTGCTCTTTGGTGCATGTTTCCTCTACTCCTTCTTCCTTGGCGCATCTCGTTCAGCTGTCCTCTTAGTTTTCTTTATAGATCCATGCTACATATAGCCTCGTCACCGTGACTGAGTCCCTTGTTTCGCAGATGGACCTGACCTCCCGTTTTGCAGGCAGCTCTCCTCCCCATTTCAGAGACAACTCCTCCCTGCAGACAACATCCTCCCCAGACGACCTCTGAGGCCTCGCTGTGGTGTTCTCGAACTGAAAGTTGTCAGGATTCTCGTCTTCTTACACTGCCCAATTTCTGTGTGTAATTCCTCTCTCGCTGTGGTGTTCTCGAACTGATAGTTGTCAGTATTCTTGTTTTAACTGCACAATTTCCGTGTGCAGTTCATTCGCTGTGTGGTGTTCTCGAACTGAAAGTTGCCAGCAGTAAATTCTTCTCTTGCTGTGTGGTGTTCTCGAACTGAAAGTTGCCAGCATTCTCGTCTTCTTACTGGGTGTGGTGTTCTCGAACTGAAGGGCATTCCCGTCCCCTTCTGTGGTGTTCTCGAACTGGAAGTTGCCCGCACTCTCGTCTTCTTACTGGCTGTGGTGTCCTGTTCCCCTTCTGTGGTGTTCTCGAACTGGAAGTTGCCAGATTCTTGTCTTCTTACTGGCTGTTGTGTTCTCGAACTGAAGGTTGCCGCGGCCTGCTAGTGCTCTCATCATCTTACCATCCTAGTTCTTTTGTTTTTGCTGAATCAAATAGATCTTTTCAAGAAAAACTGTGATACTACAATATGTGCTCATTACAGAGGTAGAGTACGAAAAAATTATGCCAATGAGACTCCGTTAAAATAGAGGAGATCGAGCTTGCGAGCAAAGAAGACTGTCAGCGAGAAATGAATCAAGGGTAATTGGCAGCCGCTGCAAGCACGTCCTTGGTGCCACTCCCACCCCCCTTCTGCAGATACTCACAGAATGTGCGAGGCTTTTTGAGGTCAGGGTGGGTCTTGTACTTCTCACGCAGAAAAACGGAGTGCCAGGTTGACGCTCCAGTTCGGCTTCCGTGCAAGTGTTTCCACCAGAACTGTGATTTTTTCTGTCAGCAGTTTTCAGTTCGCAGAGTGCTGATGTTCCGTCTCCAGCGTGCCTGCCAGCGCTCGTCAAGGTCACGGACTGCGAGAAATCCATTCAACCCAGCAACATACTCATCCCAAACTTGCATGATGCAGGTGACAGGTTGGAAGGTGTACAGGGGAAGGTAATCCCCCAACACCCACTCCCAGCTATGCTTCAGCAGCCGCTCAGCACCAAATCGGTCCACCAGAGAGGTCCATTGCTGCTGACAAGCATCGAGGTCTGCAGCAGTAGCAGCATCAGTGCTTGTAGCCACAGAAGTTGGTAGGGGAATGATGATGGGCGTGGCAGGAGAGGCAGGACGAGCTGTGGGGGGCAGGAAGAGCGAAAACGGACTAATCTGCGGGCCTGAAGATACACTTGATGCCACTGTGGTGGCTGATTCGAGGGGAGGAGCTGCAGGACTGAGTGGCACTGGGGGTACTACAGTGGCAGGTGGAGCACCTTTCGACCTATCAGTTTTTTTTTCCTGTGTGTGAAAAACTGCTGACTGTGACTCACCACGACGATGACGACAAGATCGACCAGACTCAGCTGCCATCTCCAGCCGTGAAACCTGTTCGCGAAGCAGTGCAAGCTCTTCTGCATTCTTTCAGTTGGCTTCTTCCTGTGCAAGGCGTGATGATGCGACGAATCCTTGCATGCTTCGGGCATACTGCTCAGGGAGGTGTTGCAGTGCCAACCGAGCCTCCTTGTCAACCCTGGCAAGCACAGCTGTCAAGTTTGCTGCAAATTCATGGAACATGTTACTTCGAAAGGGTGCGAACCCAAATATTGGGCATGTTGGGTCTTTGACAAACAGGACAGCAGCATCCTGTATAAGGACCCGACGGAGCCACACGAGGAGTCGCAGGAAGCCCTTCAAGGCAATATCCCGTCCTGCATGGCCGAGCATTGCCTCCCGCTGCTGCAGGGCAGAATTCTCCTGCTCGACCCATGGAAAAATCTGCGAGAGGAGCTCCACTGGAGGCTCTGGTTTCGAATCACAGGTGAGGGCAAGCTGTCAAACGGCAGACACCGGCTTACCAAGATGGTCCCAAGCTAGGAAGTACTGCTCGGGCTTCCTCGCATTGAACATGGCCGCACCAAGCAGCCCTTCGAGTGGGAGGGCACGGTCATAACAGTTGGCAAAGGCATCATTGACACTCCAGCAGCCAATGGCTTTCACATCATTGCCAGATGCCCCAGTGTGCTCGTGCAGTCTTCACTGTGAAGTGTCGGGTGGCATGCTTGGCCTTCGTCAGGCTGATATCATTCTTGCTGTGTATGAGCTTGACTTGGTCGTAGTGATCTGTGGGGGAGGTTCAATGATCCCGATTTTCATACCTAGAGCACGCAGAAAGAAACACCCACTGTCATAAGACATCTGCCTGTCAGCTCTCTCACCCCAGAAGACATACAGGTCATACCATGACCAGTGGCCAAATTCACCATATCCTGCCTTCGAGAACTCAGGAGCGAACTCAGGGACAGGTTGCGAGACTATGTGAAAGCACGCAAAAAGAAGCATGGCAAGGGCTCCGACAGGGCAGAGCTCCACATGAAAATGTCACAGGGTGCCATGCTCATCAAGACGACCATGTTGGTTGCTCTTCGCATTGTCAGCCAGTGCCACAAGCACCTACATACATGCACCACACAGTGGCATCAGCCCTGATCTAATACTGACTACAAACACTGCACAATGCTCACCGGGACAGTGTACCCCAACTGAATGTCATCTATGCAAACTTCGGAGAGGAAAAGATCAGACAGCTGCAACATTCTGGTGCCTTCGCCTCGCAACGCTGTCGAGGCACCAAATAGCAGCATGGCACGGTCACAGAGACCGACAAACACCTGACGAGTGCCCAAGAATTTTGCCAGGCACCATGCCGAGCACTTTGTGAGCTCTTCAGTGGTATATGCATCTGGGCAAGGGCAGAGACGTCAATTGCAACCCTTGAAACAGGCACAACGAGCAAAGGAACACTGACCTGAAGTGGTCCCAGAGGCTTTGAGCACCTGGGAGCTCTCCGCACGCTTTGGCTCGTTGTGTTTGGCGGCAGACTCAATTTGCCGGATGCGGTTGTCGTCACGCAGCCAGACTTGAGCCTCAGGCACACCAAGGTAAAGGTGGTGGTGGCTCATCCACCAGTCCTCAAGGGCACTGATGGCCTGCTGGATGACAGACTTCCCGACATTTGAGCCAGGGATGGTGTCGCTCGATCCTGGTTTCCGCTGATGAAAAAAAAGGAGGAGTCAATCAGCGCAGATATCAACGAGCCATCAGGCTCAGGAACCCACCTTTTCTTGGGTTCGCTCGTAGTTGAGAAATATGAACACCTTGGCTGCCGAGATTGGCAGCGCGGGGACAGAGGTCCATGCTGGGGTGTCAGCAACCATCTCAGCTTGGTATCTGTCCCAGTAGGCAATAAAATTGCGGACATGGCGTGCGTATGCCTCGTTGGTACCCTTGTCAGCATGCTCCTCCGCCACGAGGTGGAGCTGAATTTCGTGGGAGGTCACGTCCAGTGCATCGAGGGAGCACTGCATGCCATTGGAGGCAGCAGCAACCAGCTCAACAAGCATGGCTGCACAGGGAGCTGGCGACGGGTCCTTGACGCAGATCTCGCTAGGATCCATGGTGATCAGTCCATCAGGGATGGGAGGGTGAGCACCAGCAACGAGGGACGACGCGACAGGCTCGGCACCTGGTCCTATGAGCACCAAACTGTCAGTACTGCCAGCAAACACACACACATCGAAAGAGACACGCACCTGGTGCAGCAGCAGTGCCAGCACCACGGCACTTCTGCCTTGCCCTGGAGGCAAGGTGCTCGCTCGAAGAGACAGCAGGGGTGTGATGTGGAGCTGGGCCAACTCGCAGTTGAACCTGCGGGCACTTAGGAGGGCGTTCGTCGAAGACATCGGATGGGTTATCATGATGCATCTTTGCAGGTGCGTGGCTCGCGTCGGAACTCGCAGTTAAGAGATCTGAAACGAAAAAGGGAACACATCAACCTGGGAGACATTGCAGAAAAGAGCATGGAGACTTACCAGGAGGTTGAGCACAGGTAGTACTGCACACCAAGCGAGTCTCGTTTTTGTACTTCTCGAGCCCCGTGAATTGACGCGAAAATGTGTGATATTGAGTGTGGCGGGGACCTGACAGTGTGGGCTCGAGTTCTGAACACGGGAGACGGGAATTAGAGTCGCGTAGGTATGATAAAATTACGAATTATGTCGGGGATCGAGTACAGTAGGTTAGCACGGCGTTTTGAGGAAGGGGCACTATGCCATCACGGTCCTGCGCCGTTGAGTGATTGGGTGAGTCACTGCAGTGTCTGCGCTGCTCATTCGGCGGGGCTCGCCGGTGCCAGCGTGTGTCTTGTTGTGAGCACTGAGGGACGAGAACGACATCAACGTCGACGACGAGAGGCAGCGTCGAGAAACGGAGTTACCAAAACGAGCGACCTGAGCGGCAGCCGAAAGCATGTCCGAAAACGGCAGGTGAACGGTGTACTGGATGGGTGACGCTTCCTTTCTTAGCCGGGCGTCACCGACGGCGTCACCTCCCTCAGTCAGTAATCCGTCATACACTGTATGTATCAGCTGGTCTGCTGGGAGGATCTGTACTGATACATCACTCCTACAGCTTGGATGTGACAGTTCCCATCTATTTGATGTATCATTATGACATTATGGACTGTTAGTGCATCGCTCTCCCTCATTGCCTTTCGGGGTCCTTACCGGACATTTCCGAACCGCAATCCAACTTTTTGCGATTCCGCATAATTATGAAAAGCGCTGTAATGTGTGATGCGCAGTGGCAGCGTGGTAAGTATGATGAGTTGGGTAACTTGGGTTATAAATGGGCAGAAATTCAACTCTACGAGTCACGACACACAAGATCGACTACCTAACCACAGAGTACGCTCATCATCAACTTCAAACGCCACTGACCGTCGCGCAACGCCGGCGGAGAGCATACAATCGACGCAGGCCCCCGGAAGCTCCAGCTAATGTACCCCCGCAAAATAGCATTTTTGAGGGCCAAATATCGCAAAATCTCTGCCCGGAAATAGCATTTTTGAGGCACTCTGAACGAAAGGTCTATCCGGCTATTGCATTTTTCACATCCTTCAGGGCAGGTCTATAGGACACTTGTCCAGCGGTGAACCCTATTCCGACCTGTCCCGACTCAAATACACGGCCCCTCAAACACCTCACAAAACAGCTTCTCGTCATCATGCTTCCCGAAGACCTTAAGCATCAGATCCGGAAGATCCGGGGTACCGAAATTACACATGCCGACATTCAGGCTCTTCTTCCTTCTGAAAGCCAGAGAAAGATCACTGGTACAAGTATCAACGCATACGGCGCATGCACGGAAGACATGCATGAAGACAGAGATTTCTGTATATTTAATTCATGGATCGCGCCAATCGCATCTGGCCAAGTAAAACCAGGGACTACCTATGGCACAATTCATGGTCACGTACATGCGTCTGTAAGTCCTTGAACACTCTGACATTGTAAGTAATCATATGTTCCGCACTACACATCCTGAATGTATGATTGTTTCTGATAGCAACTCAATGCATCTGACGACGACGACGAAAATTTCTCGGATGGTACCAACCTTCCACTGTTCTCACGTACTCTCAAGACATTCGAGCTCCACACTCATGCACCTATACAGCAACTCATTTACCACCTCAATGGAAATCCATTCGCACAGCAGCTCCACAATCATCTCACCTTGACCGCTGAGGCAGGTGCTCGCTGGGCAACTCTCTCTCGACCATCCGTCAAACGTGTTATTCTAAAATTGCCACCTACCATCAAGATTCCGGTGAGGGGGGCACGAGGGATCAAGAATTAGTGATTGATATATTCTAGTAAACTTATTATATGTTATTGAAATACTATGTTCCTCTACGGTCGCCGCCGTTGTCAACAGTGAGCAGCGTGTCACCATCTATCACGCATTGGCTGGAGGTCACGGTATGTCACACCACGTGATTTTTGACCTCTGCCCGGAATTGCATTTTTGAGGCCAAAAGTTTCGCATTTTTGAGGCCAATTTTAGCTGGTCGGGCGGGTGGACCTTGGCAGGAGCTTCCGGGGGCCTATCGACGCAGACAACCCAGCTGGCGCCAATGCAAACGATGCGAGTGCACACGAAGAAAGTGTCCGCAGTCGCATTCTTCAAAGACGGTCGACGGATCGTCACTGCTTCAAAGGACAAATTACTGCGAATCTGGGACATGGAAAAAAAACAAGGTGGTAGGGTCACTGGGGGGACACAGTGACTATGTGGATTCAGTGGCTGTGTCGCCAGACGATAAGCGAATCGCGAGTGGTGGAGGAGATGGAGCCATCATCATCTGGGGCGTCTATAACAAGCAGATGATATTCAAACCTCTGGTGAAGCATACAGACCGAGTTCGGTCGGTGTGCTTCTCCCCCGATGGCAAGAAACTCGCAAGTGGGTCATTTGATGGGAGAGTTATTATATGGGATGCGGAGACTGGCGCTGTCCTGTCAACACTCCAGGGTCTGGGCGGGGTGGCGAGTGTCGCCTTCAGCCCAGATGGGCAAAAATTGGCATCCGGATCATTGTTTACCGTTTGGGTTTGGCGCACCGATGACGCCAAGCTTCTTCTCAGGATCGATGCTCACCAAGATTTCGTTCAAAGTGTTGTGTGGTCACCCGACGGCGAGCAACTTGTTTCTGCATCACATGACAAAACAATCAAGTTTTGGGACTCGTCGAATGGGACCCAAATCGGTCAACCTTGCACCGGTCACACTTCCCTCATTTGGTCACTTGCCATTTCTTCTGACGGCTCCTTCATTGCAACCGCCTCGGACGACAACACTATGCGCATGTGGAACACCAAGTCACACAAGCAGATAGGACAGCCACTCACATCCACCACACGGGTTTCATGCGTTGCAATTTCTCTCAGTGGAGAACTACTCGCGAGTGGAGATTGTGATGGGAATCTTCAGCTCTGGTCCATCGAGAACACACTTTCCGCAGCATTTGGGATGGATTCCTCATACTTTGCGCATCGTAGTAAGGTGAAGTTGGGCCAAAAGCTCTATGCAGAGTCCCTATCAGACGTGGAAAAGGTGCGGACGATATCCGTCGTCGATTTGACAAATCTGATGATATTCGCAGGTCATTAAGCTCAACCCTTCATCTCATCTTGGATATGAATTGAAGCATGCAGCGCTTCGCGGAGCACAGCGCTATGATGACGCATTGGAGGCCTTCACAATCATGCTCTCCAAGTTGGATGATACACCCGACCCACAGATACAACGTAAGCCCCGAACAACTCAAGCACCGACTTGAAGATGACTCATATATTTCGCAGACCTACACCAGCAATACGTCAGTCCATGTGAAGTAGAAGATGCTTTTCAACGAGCCATTCACGCCCAACTGGAAAACGCTCCGCTTCGTCTAATTGACACCATCACTGGGAATATATGTGATCGAAATGCACAGATCAGCGGCTTCATGGGGATGACAGAGTACAAAGAGCTTTTTTATTCATTAGTCACACGTAGGCCCCTCCAAACGGCGCTCATCAAAGAAATGGTCATAAAGTACTTCAGTTGGGTCATGTTATCCCATAGGTGGGGAGCCGTGGAGCCGGGGCTGCACGACATTCAGGACAAGATCATATACTTCTTGGATCCGGTCGGACCCATTGTGAAGTTGCAGAACTTTTGCCGAGTCGCACGTAAAGCGGGGTATTGCTGGGCGTGGAGCGATACGTGCTGCATCGACCAGAACAACAACGTCGAGCTCCAAGAATCGGTCAACTCCATGTTCATCTGGTATCACTACTCAGCGCTCACCATCGTCTACCTATCGGATGTTCCTCCTTCGTCAGAATCTGGCGCACTTGCAAACAGCATTTGGAACACGCGAGGGTGGACCGTTCAGGAGTTCCTCGCTCCTAAAATTGTTCTCTTTAACCAAGCAGATTGGTCCCTATATCTCGACAATCGCTCACGCAACCACAAGGAGTCTGTCAGTATCATGAGGGAGTTGGAGCGCTCAACTGGCATAAATGCGCGGGCGCTCGTCGACTTCCGTCCGGGGACAAGAGATGCCCGAGAGAAACTTCGATGGGCATCAAACCGTGATACCACGAGGGAGGAAGACATTGCCTACTCTTTGTTTGGCATCTTTGATGTCAACCTTCCTGTTATCTACGGAGAGAAAAGACAGAAGGCGCTCGGACGACTCTTGCAGGAGATCATAGCTCATTCGGGCGACATCACAGCCTTGGAGTGGGTGGGACAATGTTCCAACTTCAACAGCTGTTTGCCAGCCGACATTTCCTCATACAAGGCTCCATCATATACGCTGCCATCTCTATCCGAAGACGAGATGCAGAACTTGGTCTCCATGCTGCGAAACAAGGAGTCGGCTTCGAAACTGTATACCACTCTTGAGAACCTCAACGTTCCTCGTTTCGCAAATGCGAGATTGCAATTGCCTTGCATCGCATTTCCTCTCACAGAAGTCAGGCAGGGTCCTGGTGGAGACGGGGATAAATGTTTCACATATGAAGTCAAGGCAGACGGGCTACAAGACCTGCTGGTCACAACGAAAGACAGGCTTGTTCAATTCTCGCCTGCAAGGCGTACTCGGCAGACATTCTTGCTCGTCCGTCCGTGGAATCGGTATGATCTCGGGCTGATTAACTTTGCAGACGAGACGCAGAGCATAGAAGATTGGCGCGAGTCTGGGTCTCCGTCAAATGATACGTTCGGTGGCTATCCTGGATATAGCGAGCAGGCAATACGAGAAAAGAGGTTGATCGTTCGCCTCGGACAGCCTTTTGGCGCACTTTTGTTAGCGCAGCAGTGGGGTGGGGAGTATAAGAGAATCGCTTCAGATAAACATATCATCGCACAAGTTAGGGATATGGCTTCTGTTGATGACATGACGGATGTCAGGATGCTGGAGATATTGTAGCTACGAAACACGGGACATTTTTATTTCATACCCAATTGACAACGCCTCCACATGAACAAGTATTCCTGGAATTTTGCATCGCATCGATCTTGATATCGTATTACATATTGTCTTCGATACAAACAAGCTAATTCCAAATCAGACGGAGGAGCAAGCGCTTCCTAGAACTGTGCTCGTTCAGATTCGTCCGGTCCTCCTAGCACATCTCTTAATAACAGGCAAGCAAACTACCACGATTGCCGTCGCTGATAGTCAGAGTTTGGGGAAGCGATGTTTGTCCTCTAAAGTGTTAGTTTAGTTGACTCACTGGCCTGGTTCATTTATTTAATTGCGTCCAGATGCAACACGAGTAGTTCATCCTTGCAAAAGTACTCGAGATAGCTGTCGAGAGTCCATAATAAAATATTTTTAACCACGAACGCATCCCCGCCAAGCACACTGATCAACTCAATTGTAATTTTACATAGCATACAGTTTCAACGGAGTACGTAGACGACTAGGGTTATGAAACTACCATTCCATAAGGACTCCAGTTTCTTGCCAGTGCCCGTAGGCAGGTCGAGCATATTATGTTACAATCATAAATAATTCTTCGACAAGAATAGGGGTACAATTCAGGAAATCAACACAACACACGACAAGGGTTTCAGTGATAGTGATGATTTACATGCTCCACCCGACGATGCGTACAATCTATGCGCATTGCCCGCGCGCGCTCGCTCGCACACTCTAGCGAATACAGATTAATACCTTCCCTTCGTAATACTTGGCCAAGAATATACGAATTCTTCACAAACTCCAAGTATAACCTGTCTCCAGCCTCTTCACCCACCCGTGCATGGCCTTCCGCTATTATACAACTAATTAGTATGAACTTAAATTTTACTTTTCTGAATCAGTAGATATGCAACGGGGACCTTTACCGGGAGTCTTTCTGTTGGGATACCTTGTCCACTGGAGGGTGCTCGTCTCAGGAGTACACAGTCGAAACCACAACTGCACAACATTTCTCACTTTGGACGCGCCAACCAATGGAAAGCCCTGCGTCAAGACGCAACTACGAATTGTCCTGGTGACTGTGCATTAGAATTACTGTTGCATGCTAAACCATTCCTGTCAAAGAAACGTAACGAGGATTGCTTCCGTCTCTTGCAAGTCTACCCCAGAGCTGATAGGTAAGGCGTCAACAGTCAGGAGCCCACTAACTCTGCCGTCGCTAGTCTCGTACGTCTGACCTCCCCAGGTCAGATTGGTGGTATCGGACGCATATCTACGCACAGCTTTAGCATCCAGGCCACAATGATTATGAAATTAACTCATACCCAATATTCAGCGTCTTCACGCTCATATTATTAGCCGTATATCCGGAACCCGAAAAAGAGAAATCGATGTGAGTCGAATTCCTTGCACCAGCGCCGGAAAAGTAAGCGATCAAGTTTATGAAGACGGCTTTTGAGAGGCTGCCATTCTCGTAAAATGCATAGCCTGACACATTATCCTCGTCGATGGAGATTTCGACTGCCTGCGTGGTCCCAGATGACCCGATAGCCTCTGCGGCGATGATGGCTGCGTAGTATGCTGGTTGTACATGTGGTGCTAGCGGTGCAATTGGGGAACCGTCGAGGATGGAGTAGTTAAGCGTCGTGGGTTGAATCTGCGCATGAGAGGATTGAGTGACGCTGCATTGATTCAGATTAGTACTGACCAAATTGTACTTGTAGCCAATGCCGTCGTGGAAGTGTAGGCGACTGATACCGACTTGTGTAGCATACAAAGTGTAGTCAAGTAACCAGAGGGCGGCGCCGGCTGTATTGCTAACATCTGATAAAAGAAGGACGGCCATATGTAAGTGATTGCAACTTATGTCCATGTTGTCGACCTTACTAGGTGCACCGTGGCAACTCATACCTATCAACAAGTTAGCAAGTCTAGCGCTGCCTGACAATTCTCAGACAGTAACTTACTGTTCGTCTCCCCGAGGATGTAGTCCAGCCCCTCGGCCGAGGTTGCTTCAATATCGGGGACAAACATGGATATATTGCCACGGATATAGCTCTTGGTCATTAAATCCTGCATCACAGATCCGCCGCCAGTACAGAATGAGCCACTGTAATGGTGCTGCGAAATGCTAACCACGAGATTCAGCACGCTATCCAGTTTCTGGCGCTGTGTTTGACATACGTCTCGATTAGTTGACCTGCAGGAGATTCAAGGATCCCCAGATTAAATATAGCTTGCGGAGAGAAACCGCTAAGATTGTTGTTAGAAGACCCTGCGAAAGCGGCTCCAATTAATTTTGTGTATGATGACTCGGAGAGGTTGGCTGTTGTCGATACGTTATACGCAAATTCCTCCCACCTTCATACTGGTCAGCACTAATATAGAGTCATTGTAGCGAACTTACTGAGACACATATTCTTGTACATCCCAGCTACTGTTACGGCCCTGATTGCTGTAGTAGAGATCAGCTTCGTTGCCGACTTCGATGAACTTCAGAGTGATGTTTTTCTCTATGACGGCAGGAGAAGAAAATGCGTTCATGAGCGCAAGAGTTTCGAGATAGGCTGCCGTGAGGTTGTATTCCCTCAAGTTCACGCCCCAGTGAACTTGCGTTCCTGAAAATAAAGCGAGTTAGTCGCTCGAGTGTCCCCGGAAAATCAGATTACCATTTGGAAGATGAGAGATGATGTTATAGAAGCCTTGGCCAACAGTGATATTAGTGGCTTCTGGGTATGGCGTGATTGCGCTCGAAGGAGGGAAAATATCTTCTTCGTACTAAGCACCAGTTAAACACACAAATCAATTCAATATTAAAAGAAATTTACCTCAACGTCATAGCTGAAATCAGTGTGGTCCTCCGAGTCAGCACCTATTCTCACGAAGGGAGGAGTATTCGTGATTTGGATGAAGTTATCAAGGACGTTGTTAAAGAATGCATTAGGTTCTGTCGTCCCTGCCCAATCGATCCATCTATCTTGCTCGATTGAAAGGGAAACGAGGTTCCCCATAAGTGATGCTGCCCCCGAGGGTGCAGTGAGAGGAATTGTGACCTCTATTGCGGAGACAATTGGAGCGATGAGCGTGATGAAGTGGGCACCCCACAATTTAGATCGCGGCATAGGGGGCATCTTCTCGGTTCTGGTGCGAGCCTAGAGTACAACTGCGAGAACCTATTATATACGGTTGAAGGAGGGGTGGGATGAGTCATGGCTAAAATCACGATCCGATGGGCCGCCCTTGTGCCGAGCCTCATGACCGACGAGATGTCGTGCGTATGTGTGGAATCTTTGTACATGTGAATCATGAATCATATATCACGATGGAGGACGTGACGTACGCGAGACTTCGAAGTCCATTAAATTAGCGGGTTTTCTCCGAGAGCATTTTGGAAGGATCATGAGATCAGTACTAATCAGAGAGAAAGGGCAATGACATTATGCGCCGCGTTCAAATTTGCTACCAAGCTTTGCAACTGAAAGATTAGATTGGTGAGAAAGATGGCATTCAACAGCGTGTCACGATCAGTGACAATACCAGGGGATTTGGGCCAGTCCTCAAAATTGTATGGCTCCGGGGCCATACCTTGGCATCGCGAGCTTTAAAGGTGTACAACTTTGAGTTCCAGGAGTATATCAAGTGACCGACGATATTTGGCTGACGGAATTGCCATTGTTTCAACTTCCTGATCTCCCAACGCGCCTACCATTGACAGCGCTTGGATGATCCAAAACATGGTCGGCGTTGTGATAAGAGACAGACTTGCAAGGCCAATGATATCATGTCAAAACTCCGCCGGACTGTTCCGTAGCACCAGCTTCTAAATGTCAGTGCCAGGTTGATTTCGAAACTTGGTGAGGTTGCCCGAGATTGTGCTTGCTGCAAACACAGACATGGAGCTGCCTGTCTGAACTCGAGTCAGAAAATATTCTAGAGTGGTTGATGAGTTTGGTAAAAGTGGATCCGTGTATAGTACATACTTGTCATAGCAGTTATATTTGTTAGAGTTTGGTATTTCACCGGCACCCTTCGTCATCGTTCGTTGTTCGGATAGTCCCGACTACGTATATATCCTAGGCTACGTCGTAGGCTAGTACGGTAGACTCTCCTTGTCGTAGATGCTTCTTACAGCGCGGTTCTCCAGCTCCAATAATATTGCATCTGTCGGATGCAATGCGGTGCGATCTCCGTGCGATACAATATGATGTCAGTGTGATGAGATGTTCTGCAAAACGATACAAAGTTGGTGTGATACGCGACGTCGACGTCGACGATGCTAGTGCAAGGGGTCATAATGAAATCCGGAATATACCATGCTCACGAGCGTCCTGACGTTCTAGTCTTACACCCGGCTATCGATGGCTTGCCTCATAGAGGGATTGGTCACGAGTCTACATACACACTCCACAGTGCCATACTAGATATTCAATAAAAGCTACATATTTGAAGCTATTCAGTGGTCTACAACTCATTTATTCTGAATATCGTACACACCTCGTAAACCTAAAAAGGCAATCGCTCCGCACAGTCACCTTGAAGGCGGCACCGACTCCCCTAGTATAAAGAGCCTGCATGATTTGGGTTATGGGCTGGGCAAACGTCCAATTCTGCTCATGACCTCTCACTGCAAAATCGACGACTTCACCAGAGTACGCCCCTCGTCAACTTCAGACACCACTGGCCGCCCATCTCCCTGTTTAGCGATATGGCAGGATCACGCCGTCGCGATGGAGTAAAAGAAAGACATCGTACTGTGAGAAGGGCGCAGGCAACCTGGCCAACGCCAACACACACAATACAAGCGCACATGAAGAAAGTGTCGGCAGTCGCATTCTTCAAAGACGGTCGACGGATCGTCACTGCTTCAGAGAGTAAATCCCTGAGAATCAGCGACGTGAAGAAGGAGAATTGGTGGGAGGGCCATTCAAGGGACACGGTGACTATGTGTGCTCAGTCGCTGTATCGCCAGACGATAGACGAATTGCGAGTGGTGGAGAAGATGGAGCCATCATCATCTGGGATGTCGATAGCGAGCAGATGATATTCAAACCGCTGGTGAAGCACAGAGACCGGGTGTCCTCGGTATGCTTCTCCCCTGATGGCAAGAGACTCGCAAGTGGGTCACAGGATAAAAGTATTATTATATGGGATGCAGAAACTCGCGCTATCCTCTCAAAATTCCAGGGTAAGGGTTGGGTGCATTGTATCGCCTTCAGCCCAGATGGACTCAAATTAGCATCCGGAACACGATCGGGCAGCATTCGGGTTTGGCGCACCGATGACGCCAAGCTTCTTCGCAGGATCCATGCTCACGACAATTGGGTTCAAAGCGTTGTGTGGTCGCCCGACGGCCAACAACTTGTCTCTGCATCAGACGACCAAACAGTCAAGTTTTGGAACTCGTCGAATTGGACCCGGATTGGTAAACCTTGCACCGGTCACACTGACTGCATCAACTCACTTGCCATCTCTTCTGATGGTTCCTTCATTGCAACCGCCTCGGACGATGAGACTGTGCAACTGTGGAGCACCAAGTCACACAAGCGGTTAGGACAGCCACTCAAACACACGTGCGTTTCCTGCGTCGCAATTTCTCCCAGTGGAGAACTGCTCGCGAGTGGGGATGATGATGGGGATCTTCTGCTCTGGTCCATCGAGAACACTCATTCTACAACACTCGGAATGGATTCCTCATACTTTGCGCATCGCAGTAAGGTGAAGTTGGGCCAAAATCTCTATGCGGAGGCACTTTCGGACGCGGAAAAGGTACGATATCCGTCATTGTTTTAACATTTGTTGATGATATTCGTAGGTCATTGAGCTCGACCCTTCGTCTTATCTCGGATACCACATGAGGAATGCAGTGCTTCATGGAGCACAGCATTATGATGATGCACCCTACCCACAGATACAACGTAAGCCCAAAATAACTCGAGCGCCAACTTGAAGATGACATATTTTTTGCAGAGCTACGCCAGCAATGCGTCAGTCCATCTGAAGTAGACGATGCTATTCGACAAGCCATTCGCGCCCAATTAGAAAACGCTCCGCTTCGTCTAATCAACACCATCACTGGGAATATATGTGATCGAAATGCACAGATCAACGACTTCATGGAGAGTACAGAGTACGAGGAGCTTTTGGATTCATTGGACAGGCATGTACCCCTCCAAACGGAGCCCATCGAAGAAGCGGTCGCGAGGTACTTCAGTTGGGTCATGTTGTCCCATAGGTGGGGAGCCGAGGAGCCGCTACTGCGCGACATTCAGGGCAGGGATATATACGACTTGGATCCGGTCGGAACCGTCGTGAAGTTACAGAAGTTCTGCAAAGTCGCACGCGATGCGGGGCATCATTGGGCGTGGAGCGATACGTGCTGCATCGACCAGAACAACAATGTTGAGCTCGGAGAATCAGTCAACTCCATGTTCACCTGGTATCGCTACTCAGCGCTCACCATTGTCTACCTATCGGATGTTCCTCCTTCGTCAAAGCCGGGCGCGCCCGCAAGCAGCAGTTGGAACACGCGAGGATGGACCGTCCAGGAGTTCCTCGCTCCTAAAATTGTTCTCTTCTACCAAGCAGATTGGACTCTGTATCTTGACAACCGCTCACGCAACCACAAACAGTCTGTCAGTATCATGAGGGAATTGGAGCGTTCAACTGGCATAAATGCGCGGGTCGCTCGTCGACTTCCGTCCAGGGACAAAAGATGCGCGAGAGAAGCTGCGATGGACGTCAAACCGTGACACCACGAGAGAAGAAGACATCGCCTACTCTTTGTTTGGCATCTTTGATGTCACTATTACTATTAACTACGGAGAGAAAAGACACAAGGCACTAGGACGACTCTTGCAGGAGATCATAGCCCATTCGGGTGACATCACCGTCCTTCACTGGGTGGGACACTCATCCAACTTCAACAGCTGTCTGCCAGCCGACATTTCCTCATACAATACTCAATCATTTACATTGCCATCTCTATCCGAAGACTATATACAGAATTCGGTCTCCAGGCTGCGAAACGATGCGGATGTGGAGTCGGCTTCAGAATTGTATACCACTCTTGAGAAACTCGCCGTTCCTCGTTTTGCAAATGCCAGACTGCAATTGCCTTGCATCGCATTTCCCCTCACAGAAGTCAAGTGGAGGCCTGGTCAAGACGGGGCCAGATGTTTCACTTATGACATCAAGGCAAACGGGCTACAAGACCTACTGGTCACAACAGAAGACAAGCTAGTGAATTCTCGCCTGCAAGGCGTAATACTCGGCAGAAGTTCCTGCTCATCCGTCCGTGGAATCGGTATGATCTCGAGCTGGACGATTTTACAGATGAGTCGGAGAGCGTGGACGAGTCAGAGAGCGAGGACGATTCAGAGAGCGAGGATTCGCTTGATGAGCCAGGAGAGGATGAGCTGGTTACCAGAGAGTTGAGGTTGCTTGTTCGCCTTGCCCTGTCCTTTTGGCGCACTTTTGCTAGCGCAACAGCGTGGTGGGGAGTATAAGAGAATCGCTTCAGATTATGAGATCATCGCACAAGTCAGGAACAGGGCTTCTGTCGATGACCTGAGGGACGTCAGGACGCTGGAGATATTGTAGTAGCGAAGCACGGGCCATTTTCATTTCAACACCTCATGAACAGTATCCCTAGAATTTTGTATGGTATCAGTCTCGATATCGTATCATATATTGTCTCGTTTACAAATAAGCTACTACCAGATCGTTTCCTCTCTCGTTCCTGTTCCGTAGCAGCAGCTTCTAAATGTCGGTGCCAGGTTGATTTCGAAACTTGGTGAGGTTGGCCGAGATTGTACTTGCTGCAAACACAGAATGGAGCTGCCTGTCTCAACTCGAGTCAGGAAATATTCTAGAGTAGTAGTTGATGAGTTTGATAAATGTGGATGCGTGTCACATCAGTCGGATGCAATGCGGTGCGATCTTCGCGCGATACGATACGACGTCGGTGTGATGCTATACGATGTTCTGCAAAACGATACAAAGTTGGTGAGGCCTTACCGTGTGATACGACGTCGATTTGCAAAAACGAGACAAAGTTTACGTTATTCAGCATATTCCGACATAGTACTGAACGGGTAATTCGCTGGTTCTTTCTGGGAATCAATTGATACCTTGCATTAGACCACGACTCGCATTACATCTACGTACAGACATATACAGACACTCCACACAACCAGAGACAATTATATAACAAAATGTATCAGTCATCCGCGCACACGCAATGAAATTCCTCCCATTCCCTCACCGCCCTCTTCTTCCTATTCCCTGATCCACACTTCAAAATACGCAAACACAAGGCACACATTATATCACCAACCCTTCTTGCAGAATACGCGCATGTCCTCGCACCAGGTGGAATCGTCTACGCCATCATCACAGTTGTCGAGGATCTTGCACAGTGGATGCGTGCTCATCTAGACGTTCATCCTCTCTTTTAGTTCGTTGAGGAGCAAGAACTAAGGAAAGAAGGAAAGCATCCGATCTTGGATGCAGTATATGGAAGGGCGAAAAGATGTCGAACACAATGCTGGTGAGAAATGTCCCGCATGCTTCAGACACATCGAGGTCAACAGAATTAATGTAATCCATTAAGAAATGTACAATTTTTGCTTGAGACTTTTGCTCTTGACTCCGTCTCTTAGCCATGGCGCGCTCAATTCACTCCATCCCAACACAACCCTCCCACCATCCACATTCAGTCCTCCCGTATCGAACTACTCGATGCTGGTCTTCTTCGCAGCAACGGTCGCAGACCTTATGAACTATGAACAATAGCCATCAACTTCGAAGCACAATGAACAGCAGACGGCAGTGTCACCCACTTACTCACATGGCCTGACAGAAGTCCGAGTCTCAGTCCTCGGCCCACACGAAGCAAAACCAGGACAAAAAGCGAAACATTCCATGATCGGGCAAACGTCGAAGTCCAACTCGCCCCTTTGGCGTCTGTGAACGAAGAATAGGCAGACGCGACAAGTAAATCTCATCTACACTCACTTTATTTTCTCGTTAATACCACTTAGGCGCCTCCTCGAACTTGTAGCATCAATAAAAAGCACATCCGAACCCGTCGTCCAAACTTGTCTCTACCCCCACAGCACAAACGACATCTTTATTCATGTCCTCCAGCTCGACGGCGGCCTTCTCCCCGCTTGCATAAACGCCTCCACCGTCGCCCTCGCAACTGCAGCCATCCCCCTCTTCGACTTCGTCTGTGTTATCAGCGGGGGCGTGCACGGCACCCAACCCTTACTCGATCTAATCACAGTCGAAGAAAATGACGTGCCGAGCGTCGTTGTGGGCGTTATGCCTCGTACAGGACGCGTGACGCTGGTCCAGATCGTGTCAAGGCTGCACATGGATCGCTTTGAGGAGGTGTTTAGAGTTGCGTGCGATGCGGGTAAGGTGCTTTGGGGGTGAAACGAGGGATGCGCTCAGGGAACAAACAAGTGATTTTGTGGATAAACTTGAGGCTAGACCCCTCCATTGACGCGCAGTCGTGGATCCCTGTCACATTCCTCCCGTCTTCTGATGACCCCGATATGGGCAGCGTCAGGATCGAAGCGAGGGCTGTGGCTGGAGACGGTTTTATAGGAGGTCCCGCTCATGGCGTGTATTTGTGAAATGTATTTTCAGTATGCGGATCAGGATTAGGATTATACTGGGCAAGAAGGTGAGTCAACTCCTTTCTCGGTTCTTGGTTCTTTCGTGCTACTGAGTACGGGCATACGTCAGAACAAACCACGCATAAAGCTACATCCCTTTTAGACGCACGATGTACGTTCAGCGAATTCGGAACGCGGCGCAGGCGGTCGTTCCTCACGCAGTATTTGGTGGTGAGAGGGATTATGAACGCGAAGGATGCGCATGAGTGGAAGGAGTGGTTTTTTGGAACTAGTAATGTATGCAATCATTGGTGGTCCCCCGTTTTGTATTTTTTGACGCAGATGGGCAGGTCTACCTTGCTATGCGATACAACCTCAACGTGAAAGGCACGATCGCTCAGTACGTCGCTGTTCCTTTTATTTTCATGACTTATAACTTGTGTTTTATAGCGAGTGGTTCATGGGTGCAAGTTCTACTCTCTTCATGATAAATCCCCTCCTGATCAAAGACATAATTAGATCGCGGCGTTGGGCGATTACAAAGACGCTGCTGGGACAGCTCTAGATCTCTGGTCAAACCTCTACGGAGACAGTCTTTCAGTCACGCTCACGGACACATTATCCACTGAATTTTATCGGGTGTGTATGTCGACTTTAAGCGTCTCTTATCTCCCATCTTCATTTTTGGTGTGCTTTCATCATCTTTATAGGAATTTGACAATAGACGCGCCAACCAATGGAAAGCCCTGCATCAAGATTCGGGAGACCCCAAAGTATTCGCGCCGAGGGCTAAACGGATGTACGAAAGAGCGCGGGATCGATTATACACAGGCAGCTATCATCTTTAGCGACGGGTTGTATTTCCAGAAAGCGAAGGACTTAAATGAGCAGTGTCAGCTGCTTGGGTTCAAGTGTACGTTGTCGCGTTATTTTTGGTTGCCTTTCGTGGTCTAACTGCATGTGCAGGTTCGTTTGGTATTGGCTGACAAACGACATTAAGAAGAAGAGTAGTGGGTACGAGGAGCAGACCACGGCGTTGAATATTGTGATTAAACTTGGGTCGATTGATAGGAAGGGGCGTGTTAAGATTAGCGATGAAATTACAAAGGTGAGATATGTCGTGATTCTCGGTTTTGTTTTCTCGTTAATAACCATTTATGTTTTTGACAGAATACTGGTGTCCCAGAAGTTGTGGCAAAGGTTAAAGAGATGTACCAGATGTCGGTCTCGTAAACCCATTGTAGGCCAGCACTTATGTGAGTGATGGTACTCTTTTGTGAATGGGGATCTAAATGGATGACGATCTTGCGCTGCTTTGTAACTCCACGGCGTTCAAACATTAAAGTGTCCTGATGGCCGTGTATTAGAATGACTGTAGCATGCTCAACCATTGTACTGGGAAGGACTGCAAGGAAAACCCAAGGCCAAACCTCCATAGCGGGAGGCTGCGGCTCTAGCTATCGAGGATCGACTACAACATATCGCGGGACTACCGACTACGAGCCAGAACTCCTGCTACTGCATCAGGACCCTTGGCACTCCCGATGACCTGCACCAGACCTCCCTGGTCCATCCATGTCAAAGCAGCCGTACAACGTATGGGTGGTACCAGAGGGATATGTACTTCCGGATAGTCCCAGCATTCAGATTGCGACCGTTATAAAAAAACATCTCATACCCAATTTTCAGTGCTGTAGCGCCAGAACCAGTGAAATAAAGATCATTGAGGCGAGTTACTTGTACCACTGCTGGAGAAGTATGCGATTGTGTTTATGAAGACAGCTTTTGAGAGGTTGCCATGCTCGAAACATGATGCATGATAGGCTAATGCATTGTTCTCGTCCACAGCATTTTTGACTGCCTGTGTAGTTCTGGATGCCCATCATGAGAGTGCTTGAATGAACTGATGATATCGAATGCGTCTGGCAGGAGTAGTCTATCTGAGGGACGAAGTGGTACCGCGTGATAGGAACTAAAATTCCGGGGTATACGACAAGCTTATTCGTTCCATTATAATTCTTCGGGAGAATATAGGGGTATAATCAGTACTGTGAACAGAATGGAGGGATTGATTGTGACGGTCATATATGGACAAACACTGATGGAAGGAGCGAAATGGGATCCACGCTGTAGCAACGCGGTGTAGAGCAAACGATATATAAAGAGTCTACATGAATTGGGTTATGGGCAGAAATCCAGCTTTACTCACGACACATAAGATCAACGACTGAACCAGAGTACGCTCCTCGCCAACTTCAAATGTTACTGACCATTCATCTTCCTGTCTAGCGACATGTTAAGATTGCTCGATGTAGCAAAAAATGCATATCTTACTGTGACATGGTGCCCGACGCCGACGCCGACTTGGCACCCAACGTCGACGCCGACAACCCAGCCGACGCAGACAAACCAGCTGGCGCAGACAACCCAGCTGGCGCAGACAACCCAGCTGGCGCAGACAACCCAGCCGGCGCAGACAACCCAGCCGATGCCGACAATCCAGCCGGCGCAGACAACCCAGCCGATGCCACCACATACGATGCGAGTGCACACAAAAGCAGTCTCGGCAGTCGCGTTCTTCAAAGACGGTCGACGGATTGTCACTGCTTCAGAGGATAAGACCCTGGGGATCTGGGACGTGGAGAAAAGAACATTGGTGGGAGGGCCATTCGAGGGACACAGTAACTGGGTGGTTTCAGTCGCTGTATCGCCAGACGATAGGCGAATTGCGAGTGGTGGAAATGATGGAGCCATCATCATCTGGGACGTCGATAGCAAGCAGATGCTATTCGAACCGCTGGTGAAGCACACAGAATGGGTTCGGTCGGTGTGTTTCTCCCCGGATGGAAAGAGACTCGCAAGCGGGTCATATGATTCGACAGTGATTATGTGGGATGCGGAGACTGGCTCTATCCTCTCAACACTCAAGTGTAGGGGTTCAGTGTTTTGTGTCGCCTTCAGCCCAGATGGTCTAAAATTAGCATCCGGAACATTGCGTAGCGTCTGGGTTTGGCGCACAGATAACGCCGGGCTTCTTCTCAGGATCGCCGCTCACCAAAATTTCGTTGAAAGTGTTGTGTGGTCGCCCGACGGCCAGCAACTTGTCTCCGCATCAGACGACAAAACAATCAAGTTTTGGAACTCCTCGACTGGGTTGGAGATCGGTCAACCTTGCACCGGTCACACTTCCCACATCAGGTCACTCGCTATCTCTTCTGACGGTTCCTTCATTGCATCCGCCTCACTCGACAATATCGTGCAACTGTGGAACACAGAGTCACACGACCAGATAGGACAGGCATTCCAACACACCACATTGGTTTACTGCGTCACGATTTCTCCCAGTGGAGAACTGCTCGCAAGTGGAGACTATGATGGGAATCTTCAGCTCTGGTCCATCGGGAACACACTCTCCGCAGCATTCAGGATGGATTCCTCATACTTTGCGCATCGTAGTAAGGTGAAGTTCGGCCAAAAGCTCTATGATGGGTCCGTTTCAGACGCGGAAAAGGTGCAGACGATATCTGTCATTGATTTGACAAATCTGATGATATTTGCAGGTCATTGAGCTTAACCCTTCGTCTCATCTTGGATACGAATTGAAGCATGCAGCGCTTCGTGGAGCACAACGCTATGATGATGCATTCGAGATATTCACAATCATGCTCTCCAAGTTGGACATTGATAATGATGCTCCTGACGCACAGATGCAAAGTAAGCCTAATTGATTGCTAACGTGTTCACGTGATGATAATGAATTCGTTCTCCAGAGTTACACCAGAAATATATCCGTCCATCTGAAGTACTGGAAGCCGATGTTCGACGGGTCATTCACGCTCAACTGGAAAACTTCCCATTTCGTCTAATCAACACCTCTACTGGACGTTTATGCAATCGAGATGCGCAGATCAATGCATTCATTGAAAGCACAGAATACAAGGAGCTTTGGTATTCATCGGTCATGTATGGGCCCCTCCATACGGAGCCCATCAAAGAAGCGGTCGCAAGGTACTTCAGTTGGGTCATATTATCCCATAGCTGGGAAAGGACGGAGCCACTACTGTGCGACATTCAGGACAGGGATATATACCATTTGGATTCGGTGGGAACCATGGCAGAGTTGCAAGGGTTCTGCAAATTCGCACGCGATGCGGGGCATCATTGGGCGTGGAGTGATACGTGCTGCATCGACCAGGACAACAATGTTGAACTCCAGTAATCAGTTAACTCCATGTTCATACGGTGTCGCTACTCAGCGCTCACCATTGTCTACCTATCGGATGTTCCTCCTTCGTCAGAGTCTGGCGCGCTCGCAAACAGCATTTGGAACACGCGAGGATGGGCGTCAAACCGTGACACCACGAGGGAGGAAGACATCGCCTACTCTTTGTTTGGCATCTTTGATGTCAACCTTCCTGTTACTATATATGGAGAGAAAAGACAAAAGGCGCTCGGACGGCTCTTGCAGGAGGTTATAGCCCATTCGGGCGAGATCACAGCCCTGGACTGGGAGGGACAATCGTCCAACTTCAAAAGCTGTCTGCCAGCCGACATTTCCTCATACAATGCTCCGTCATGTACACTGCCATCCATATCCGAAGACGACATGCAGGATTCGGTCTCCATGCTGCGAAACAATGTGGCTGTGGAGTCGGCTTCGAATCTGTACACCACTCTTGAGAACCTCGGCGTTCCTCGTTTCGCAAACGCCAGACTACAATTGCCCTGCATCGCATTTCCTCTCACAGAAGTCAGGCGGATACCTGGTGAAGACGGGGCCAGATGTTTCACCTATGACGTCAAGGCAGACGGGCTACAAGACCTGCTGGTCACAACGGAAGACAGGCTAGTTGAATTCTCGCCCGAAAAACGTACTCGGTAGACATTCTTGCTCATCCGTCCGTGGAATCGGTATGATCTCGACTTTACAGACGAGTCGCAGAGTGTGGACGGTTTGTCTGATGAGCATGGAGATGATGAGCTGGTTACCAGAGGGTTGAGGTTGCTCGTTCGCCTCGGACAGCCTTTTGGCGCACTTTTGCTAGCGCCACAGCGCGGTGTGCAGTATAAGAGAGTCGCTTCGGATAATGAGATCATCGCGCAAGTTACGGACATCACCTCTGTTGTTGATATGATGGACATCAGGAGATTGGAGATATTGTAGCTCTGATCAAAGCACGGAACATTTTCATTTCTATGATTTCATACCTTGACAACGTCCCCACGTGAACAGTCTTGATAAGATCAGATAATCAGATGATCCCTAGAATTCTGCATAGCACTTGATATCGTATCATGTATTGTCTCGTATACAAACAAGTTAATCCCCAAATCAGACGTTTAAGGAAGAGTTTGCAGCGGGGCTTTCCAGAACTGCGCTCGTTCAGATTCGTTCGGTCTTCCTATAGGCGTGTCTTAACGGCAGGCATCGCAAGTAAACCACCAGTTCGCCCGGGAAGCGGTGTTTGTCCTGTCAAGCTGCAGACTCATTGCAACATGGTTGCCCATCCTTGCAGAAGTACTCGAGATAGCTGTCGATCCAGAAAATATTTTGACCATGAACGCATCACCGGCAAGCACATTGATCGACTCAACTCTAATTACATAGCACATAGTTTGCGGAGTACGTAGACCACTAGGGGTATGAAACTGCCATTCCATAGTAAGGACTCCAGTTTCTTGCCAGTGCTCGTAAGCAAGTCGAGCACAATGATTATATCGCAAGCGCAAAATAATTCTTCGGAGAGAATAGGGGTATAATTCAGACATAACACTATACACACACGACAAGGTTCTCAGTGATAGTGGTGATTCAAATGCTCCATCCGACGATGCGTACAACCTAATATATGCGCCTTGTCCGCGCGCACACCCCAGCGAGTGCAGATCAATACCTCCCCTTCGCAATACTGGGCCAAGAATATACGAATTCCCTGAATTTCTTCACAAATCCCTATTAGAGCTAGACACAGCGTTAGTCCTCAGTCGTGATGGAACAGACTAAATTATAATGTACCTAGACACAGCGTTAGTCTAATACGAATGTCCGTTAGTGTCTAGGTATGGCGAGCGTACAAGGAACTCACCCTCAGTCGTGATGGAACAGACTGAGGGGAGAAGACGGTACGAGGGAGTCTATATACGATGGTTCGTATTCCTATCATTGGACTCCGCTGCCGTAGGCTTATCGCGTCGGTCACGTGCATAGCACTAACAATCCCAACTTGTATAACCCTTGTTTACTGTGTCCAGCCTCTTCGCCCGTCCGTAGATGGCCATACAACCAGTTTGAACTTGAAATTGACATTTCTGAATTAGGAGACCTTTACCGGGAGTCTTTCCATCAGGATACCTTGTCCACTGAAGGGTGCATGTTCCAGGAGTACACGGTCGAAACTACGACTGCACAGCATTTCTCACTTTTGGACGCGCCATTGTATCAATGGAAAGCTCTATGACAAGACGCAACTACGAATTGTCCTGGTAAACGTGCATTAGAATTATTGTTTGTATGTTAAACCATCCCTGTCAAATAAAAGTAACGAGGATTGCTTCCGTCTCTTGCAGGTCTACTCCAGAGCTGATAGGTAAGACGTCGACAGTTAGGGACCCACTAACTCTACCGTCGCTAGTCTCGTACGTCTGACCTCCCCAGGTCAGATTGGCGGAATCGGAGGCATACCTGCGCATAGCTTTAGCATCCAGGCCGCAACGATTATGAAATCAGCTCATACCCAATTTCCAGCGTCTTCACGCTCATACTATCAGGAGTAATTCCAGGACCCATGAAAGAGAAATCGATGTGAGTCGAGTTCCTTACGTCAGCATCGGAAAGGTACGCGTCCAAGTTTATGAAGACGGCTTTCGAGAGGATGCCATGCTCATAAAATGCGTAGCCCGACACATTATCCTCGTCGATGGGGATTTCGACTGCCTGCGTGGTCCCAGATGATCCTATAGCCTCTGCGGTGATGATGGCTGCGTAGTATGCTGGTTGTACGTGTGGTGCCAGGGGGGCAATCGGGGAGCCGTCGAGGATTGAGTTGTTAAGCGTCGTGGGCTGGATCTGCGCACAAGAGGATTGAGCGACGTCGCATTGACCCAGATGAGTACTGACCAAATTGTACTTGTAGCCGACACCGTTGTGGAAGTGTAGGCGACTGATACCGACTTGTGTGGCATACAAAGTGTAGTCAAGTAACCAGAGGGCGGCTCCGGCTGTATTGCTGACATCTGGTAAAAAAGGACGGACACATGTAAGTGACTGTGACTTCTGTCCATGTTGTCGACCTTACTAGGTGCACCGTGGCAACTCATACCTATCAACAAGTTAGCAAGTCTAGTGCTGCCTAACAATTCTCAAACCATGACTTACTGTTTGTCTCCCCGAGGATGTAGTTCAGCCCGTTGGCCAAGGTTGCTTCAATATCAGGGCTAAACATGGATATATTGCCACGGATATTGCTCTTGGTCATTAAATCCTGCAGCACAGCTCCGCTACCAGTGCAGAATGAGCCACTGTAATGGTGCTGCGAAATGCTAACCACGGGATTCAGCATGCTATCCAGTTTCTGGGGTTGTGTTTAACATACGTGTCGATTAGTTGACCTGCAGGAGATTCAAGGATCCCCAGATTAAATATAGCTTGTGGAGAGAAACCACTGAGATTGTTGTGAGAAGACTCAGCGAAAGCGGCTCCAATTAATTTTGTGTATGAACACTCGGAGAGGTTGGCTGTTGTTGATACGTTATATGCGAATTCCTCCCACCTTCATACTGGTCAGCACTAACGAGGACGTCATCGCCGTGAACTTACTGAGACACATATTCTTGCACATTCCAGCTGCTGTTACGGCCGCCATTGTGGTGGTAGAGATCAGCCTCGTTGCCGATTTCGATGAACTTCAGAGTGATGTATTTCTCTAGGACGGCAGGAGAAGAAAATGCGTTCATGAGCGCGACAGTTTCGAGATAGACTGCCGTGAGGTTATATTCCCTGAAGTTCACGCCCCAGTGAACTTGCGTCCCTGAAAATAAAGCGAGTTAGTCGCTCGAGTGTCCTCGAAGAGCTAGATTACCATTTGGAAGATTAGAGATGATGTCATAGAAGCCTTGGCCAACAGTGATATTAGTGGCTTCTGGATATGGCTTGATTGTGCTCGAAGGAGGGAAAATATCTTCTTCGTACTAAGCACCAGTTAAACACACGAGTTTCAACATCAGAAGAAATTTACCTCGACATCATAGCTGAAATCAGTGTGGTCCTCCGAGTCAGCACCTATTCTCACGAAGGAAGGAGTATTCGTGATCTGGATAAAGTTATCAAGGACGTTGTTAAAGAATTCATTCGGTTCTGTCGTCCCTGCCCAATCGATCCATCTATCTTGCTCGATTGAAAGCGAAACGAGGTTCCCCATGAGTGATGCTGCCCCCGGAGGTGCAGTAAGAGGGATTGTGACCTCTATTGCCGAGACAATTGGAACAATGAGCGTGATGAAGTGGGCATTCCACATCATAAATCGCAGCATGAGGGACATCTCCTCAGTTCTGGTGCAAGCTTAGAGTGCAACTAATAGTGGTATGGGCGGGATGAATCATGACCAAAATCACGATCCGATGTGCCGTCTTTATAGTACTGAGCCCATGGACATATATTACGATGAGGAGGTTACGTACGCGAGACTTCGAAGTTCATTAAATTAGCGGGTTTTCTCCGAGAGCATTTCAATTGGGGGATCGTGCGCATAAATCACGTCACAGTAAGAGAGAGAGCATGCGCCGCCTTCAAGTTTGCTACCAAGCTTCACAACTGAAAGATAATATTGGTGAGAAAGATGGGCCCATCAGTGACAACGCCATTAATTACCTTGACAAGGGTTTTAGGCCAGTCCTCACAGTTGTACGAGCTTTGAAGGTGTACACCTTTGAGTTCAGTACCCGACAATGGTTGACGGAAAATATTGTCATTGTTTCAACTTCCTGATCAATCTCCCGACGCGCCTGCCATCGACTTACGGTACAGCGCTAGTACGGCTGCACGGCGAAACAGCCCATCAGACAACGACTGCTAGTGACTGGCATTCCGTCCTACTATCACACCTACACAGGGCCGAAAACTGGACGTCGGACCTTGGCATCGCCCACTATGTACATCATTATTACCTTCGGTTCCCTTAATTGCTTTGCATTCAGGCCGGGCGGCCGGAGGGTCCCTTCTGATTGCACTCTTCGGTTTCAATTTCCTAGTCTGCAACTAGATTATCATCCTTTCGTGAGATGGCGCTGGCTGACTAGTCAATGGTCATGTATGCTCAATAGCTGTCGCTACTCGTTGGCACAATCATCTTGTCGCCGGTCCTTTGTTCGCGCCCGACGCCACCCTGGGCGTGGATTTTGGCGCACTAGACTCTAGTTCGCTTCAGGCCATGTCGGCATCTTGCACATTCTAAATGGGTCACCATCGCTTGCCTCGTCGTTTCCGCGAGCAGCTCCGCCGACATTCAAGTTGACAAAACATGGCTCCACGTTATTCTCACTCAGGGTTCCATTTTGAGACTTTCCATGACTTGAGGGTCACACCCACCATCCCTACAACGCCATCTCCCAGCGTTATTATCATGGCTCAAGCGTCTTCCCTTTGCGGCGTCATCAATGTGCTCGGTTCACGCGATAACACTCGCTATTGCTCGCCCTTTGCGACGCATACAGGCTGAGGTATACCGTGTCGCGTTATCATCCCTCCACTCAGCTCTTACCTTCACATTCTCCCAACAACATCCCATTGCTGCGTCGGACGCGTCGATGCTCCCACTGACAGCATCCTTTTTGCAGGCTCGTTCAGTCACTTCTGCAGCTGCAACACCTGACAGCCGGGTGGTCTTTTTGCTCGGGGACATCTGCAGGTATACTGCATGACGAGCTGTTGGGCATCATAGTATTATCTATTAATACTAAGCCGCACAAACCCTACCCCGTCTTCACAGATCACAAGAATGCAGTGCACTTGGTCCTGGATGTGTTTCCAGGTGTTCTGCCCCACATATAGAACATTCAGTCGGCACGTTCGTTGTACTGAGGGTTATTTTCCCTCCTCCATCTCCTTTGCCTTCGCTCTTCTGGACTGCTGCTCACACAGGCGGTCTCACACCAGAATGTCTAGCTAATAATTATGTAGATCGCATGGCCTCTTCAAAGCAGTGGAGTCCTTCCCTCTGTGCCACTTGCAACATTTGCATGCCTTTGAGACCACACACCATATATTCGCTCTTTGCCCGGCCTTTTTGGCTATCCGTCGTGCGCGTAGCGTGCAACTCTATGATGAGGGCAAAACTACAGATCGTATCTGGGAGGTTTTCAGTGGAGTTGCATGGCGCTTATTTTACGATGACATGAGGCTCTGGCTACAATATCGGACGCTTTTTTATGTAGATGTATTATTGTGGCGAATGTTGGGTCACAAGTGGGTGTTTTACCCCTGCCGTCTAACGTCTCGGGCAGCACTCAATCATTAGGTAATACGGGTGTCTCATCCCCACAGCCCGTTAGTACGACAATGGAACCTATGTAGGCTGTTGCCACGATTAACGCTGGCATGCCATGTGCGTAGCATTTGGCTTGTAGGTCATTTAGGGAGAATACAAAAGACGTGTCCTTGTTCTCAATGCTGATCCTTTCTCCCGAGTTACACATTTGTCACTCGATAATTATTTGTACATAGTTTGCGAGCTTGGCTTTGGTTCCTGGCTTGCTTATTTCGTAGTTGAGCCGGCCTGAGGTTATGTGAACGTAAGTAGATGGCCAAATAAGAAATTCATATCGTAGTTGCCTAAACTGATATGCTGACATAACTAACAACTCTATTCTGCTCTCTACAGTCTACCATGACAGACGTCCGTGCCCTGCTTAAAGCCAAACGCCAGGAAGCGCGTGTAACACATCCACTTGCATCTTATACGACAACGGGACAATTGCGATGCTCCGTTTGCGGAACGAATATAAAGTATGCATCTGCTTGGGACGGTCATCTCGGCAGCAAAGCACACCGTACAAACGTGTCTCGCGCTAAAGAAGAGGAGAGGGCTAGGGAACAGCAGCAGGCTGCACAGGAGGCTAAAGCCACTAAACGAAAGGCAGATGAAGATTCCCCTGGCGGAGATGCAACCAAGAAGCAGAAAACCGAGCCTGCTACCACAACTCCTCGTTCTAAGCGCGTTTCCATCAGACTTTTTCTCTGACCTATCAAAAGCACCACCACCACCCCTTTCAGATGATTCGGATGACGAAGATGTCAACTTATCTACAGTTACTCCCGCGAAGGAGTCGGGCCCACATACTGTTTCCGTCACTCAACCAGAGCTTGACCAAGAGTGGATCAAGTTCCAGCAGACGGTGATTAATGCGCCCGATGCGCGCGAGACGTATGACCGGGCGACTGTATTTGCGGAACCATATCTCGCTTCTGACGTGGCAGAAGGTTTCCCGCCCCTGCAGGGTGAGAAGGATCCTCCAGAAACTGAGGCTAAATTAGACCCGGACGAGGAAAGGCGGAGGAAGGATCAGGATGAAAAGGAAATGATAATGGACCGCTTATTAGATGAAGAGAGGGCGCAAGAAGAGGCGGACATGAAAGTCAGTGTAATGAAAAGTAGGTTGGAGGCATTGAGGATAAAACGAGAGGCTGCACGGACAAAGCCAAAAATTACGGTGTAGCAAGGTTTTTGACAATCATTTATTCTCCCGGGCCTGATTGACTCTGATCATCTTAGGTACTAGGTGTAATATACCATGATTTAATTGCACGGCGTACATTTTGGCGTCTCCACAGTGCCACCGGGTGCTCCATCCGAACCTACAAATATGAGCCTCGTCCACGCGCGCTTGTTCGCACATTTATTTTTAGCACGGGCTATCACCCTACGCTTTCACTCATTGCAAGTAAATTCAGTGCACGAATGTAGACTTCCACATTCAATCATAGCTGGCATTGCTTACACGAGTAGATCCACGAGCAGATCGTCTCAAAAACTAATGCAGATCAACCTTGACATTCCCGCTTTCACTCTGCGATACTTGGCTCAGAAAGTACGAACTTCTTCAGTTTCCTCACAACAGAATCGCGTCTCCGGCTCTCTTGACCCACCGGTATGAAACTCCTTTGAAATTGGAATCCCCGAATTCGCAGATATGCAATGAAGATCTGCTGGTTGCCTGGATCGATGATTTTAAATTATCTAGATCGTGGCAGGTACGATGCTGCGGAATGGTCAGCTGTAAGGACAGCGACCCAATAGTTGGGGGACGGACCGAGTCGTTGGTGGAAGACTATGTGCCACTTCCTCCCTCGAGTACGGGGCACCCTGTGCGTCGCGGGAATAGATGTCTATCAAGCATCTTGAAGCACATGGTGGTCCTCTCGATCACTGAACTTGATGGTCGTTAGATGTGTAGTTTGCAGAGTAGAAGGTGAAACAATGTAGCTCATTATTACCTCCCTGCAATGTAGTTCGCCGCCAAATCTAAAAGCCATCATAACTTCACAGAACCGGTCTGAAAGTGCGGACTACGTACCAGGCCACGCAAGAATGCCACTATAATCCGCATATTGCAACACGGCGCGTTTCAATTCATATACGCTGATTGTTCGCCGGGGGAGTGAGCATATTTGTGCTAGGGATTGATATGAGGGGCGTAGAGAGGAGAGAAAGAACAAGTAAAATATTGTCATAGACAGGGGCTTGAAGTCGCGGACGAGTGGCCGCGTGCAAAGTTATATAGTTCGGCAACACAACGGAGCTCGGACATTCTTGGCCCTTGGGCAAGTAGATGAGTTGAAAGGTTTCATCTGACGACTGTGAAAGCTTGCAGTAGCTGTAGGCATAATATATCAAGATTAATTGGACAGTCTATGCTTATGGCTTTGGTATATCTGCTCCGTCCGACGGCACCTCGTCTTGCATTCCTACCCAACGTCTCCATTCTAGCCCTTGCTTGTGAACCATCATCAGAGCCAGCATCACCGGCAGATACCACAGGTAATTTTGGAACGATACCCTTGCTTCCTTTTCTCCACAACGGCGCCACCAGACCCAAGAACCACGAACGCAAATTGCGTTCGGAACTAAGCTTGTGATAGCAAAGGCCCACGTAGTCAATCCTGACAGTGGGAACAATATAGAACAAATAGGGACAAGGATTAAAGAGTGGCGGAGAGCCACGAGGGCATTTTTTTGTGGGTCCAGCACGCATAGCATCTTGTAGCCTGCTTGAGCGTAGGAACCTCGAATAAAATGCGATAACGAGTTGAAGTGAGGGAATTGCCAACTGTAGAGAAGCATGAATAGTGCGAACGCGCCAAAGGGGTTATCGATCATGGACATGTCTAGTGGTGTCTCTGTGAGGAATGAAGGAAGGAAAATGTGAATCGGGTAATCTGCAGATGGGAGTATTTTTCCACCACAGGCTGTCCAACCCATAACCGGCGGGATTCCACCAACGACTGCGCCCACCCAGGTGTTGGATACGCTTTTACGTTTCATCCAAGTGTATGCCGCTGCATAAAGTACAATGTTGGCTACGCCAAGACAAGCTGTAATTGGGCTCGCCATGAACCATAGTACTGCAGGACCTGCTACTCCTGTCACAGCGGCAAACCCTGCAGCATGCAAAGGGGAAATGGCTCTTCGAACCAACGGCCTTTGGCGGGTGCGAGCCATTTGAGCATCATAAGGTATCTCTTGGAGTTGATTCAAAGTATTCGCCGAAGCCGAACATAGAGCCGTACCGACAGCTGTGGAGAGCAGAATCGGGACCGTTGCAGGAAGTGGTGAGAGAGCGACCCCTGACATTGCGGTCAAGACAACCAGGATGGTCAGGCGTGACTTGGCAAGCTGCGCGTAGATCTTTAATAGGCGTCTCGGGGTGAGTACTTCGACTTCTTTGAAGCCTGCGGGGGCGACATGAACTGTATCTGGTTCTGCAACTGCATGTGCAATGCCTCGAACGCGAATTATATCGGAAGCCTTTAGCCCATCACTACGAGCAGACCACTGTTGATTGTGGCAAAAGAAGGAAGTAAAATCTCGACGCGCAGAAGACACGGTGTACGGTCTACTGAAAGCCGCGGAGGCCAGAAACTTTTGGCTAGCGAGAGAGCGTGATGCACTTGATGTGCGGGCAATAAAACTTTTGCTACATGACTGAAAAGCATGTATTTTTCTCATTTCTGAATACAGGGCAGTGAATTTTGCATGAGCTCGCTGTTATGGATAGCGGCGACTAACTCACCTGCACCAGCGCACAGACCAAGGTTTCAATTAGCGGAGTTTGAACGCCTTCTCACACAACAACTAGTTACACGTTTCTAAAAAGTTAACAGGTGCATCGTACAGCAGCTTAGTGAGCCCTTGTAATTACACCTCATCGTCGCAAGGCTCCGTCGTAATACCTTGCCATGCCTGGTACACATCTCCTCCCACCAAATCTTCTAAAACTATTTGCACCTCGACCGCCTCTTCCTTATGCACGACCAGTTGGCAAAGACATCCACCGTGTAACTTCCAAAAATGTTGGTGGTGTTGCCAGTATCCTAGACCGACTCAAGGAGGCCTCAACTGCAACATTAATCGCAGGGAATGGCGAGGTTGGGGACGGGATGGAAGAAGGCGAGGAACCTGCATTCACGCTGGCCGAAGAAACCAAACGGCAAATTCGGAGAGAGGAACGCAAAAAGAAAAAGACAGAAGAGTTCAAGATCGCAAAGGAGACCTGTGAGTGATTATTTTCGTTAACGTGGCATAGGTCGCTAAGCACTCTTCATCCTATTTCTAGATAAGCCTGCGGATGATGCGGAAGCCATTGGAGACCCATATAAGACGCTCTTCATATCACGTCTGGTTAGCTCTATTGACATGGTAAATTTGTGCGTTTCGCTCACCTTTTCGTGCAGAATAAAAACGCAACCGAAAGTGACCTTCGACGCGAATTCGAGAGTTTTGGCACCATTGAACGGGTAAGACTGGTGCGGGACCAGAAAGGCCGGTGCAGAGGCTATGCATTCATTGTCTATGAACGCGAACGAGATATGAAAGGTAATGATGGTAAAAGTGTTGTTTCTTTCATTTGTACTGAGCTCTTTTTAGCGGCTTACAAGGAATCTGATGGTTTACACATTATGGGCAAACGCATACTTGTCGACGTCGAACGTGGCCGAACTGTGAGAGGGTGGAAACCTCGTCGTCTCGGTGGAGGTCTTGGTGGACGCCCGAAACCAGTCGAACAACCTGTATTACCACCTCCGAGAGTTTCCAGTGGACGAGGCGGTTTTGCTGGAGGTGGTGGTGGTGGGGGCGGGGGTAGGGGTGGAGGATTCGGTGACCGAGGTGGAGGATTCGGTGACCGAGGTGGATTTCGCGGCGGTCGCGGCGGCGGATTTAGGGGCGGCGGCGGCGGCTTTGGAGACCGGGGAGGCGGCTTTGGGGACCGAGGTGGTTTCCGGGGTGGAGGTGGAGGTGGCTTTCGAGGTGGACGTGACGATGGCTACAGGTCAGTTCAAATGTTGAACATAAGCTTTATTTGTGACTTACTCTCTCTCAGGGGTGGTCGAGGCGGGGGCGTTGGTTACCACGGAGGTGGATTTGGCGGTGATGCTCCTGCTAATGGCTTCGGCCCTCCAGGTGCTCAAGCTCCTGGTGGTCCCGGCGGCTTTGGCGGTCCTCCACAACAAGGTTATGGACCACCAGGGGGTGGCTTCGGTCCAGGTAGAGGCGGATTCCGCGGAGACCTCAAACGTGAAGGACCTGGTGGGTATGATGACAGAGACGCCAAGCGACCGCGATATTAGTTGCGGCTGGGTGAGATACGTCCAGTTCTTTTTCGGTTCTCGTGCTTCTTGCTTCAAGTGCTATGACTCCGCGCTAGGTGGGGTGTGTAAGTACTGAACGCTTTTGTTGTCACATTGCTCTGCAGCCTTTGCGTAAGTATCACTATTTTATTGCTAGGAGATGGCCTATTTTTATTGGTGATGGTTAAGGCAAGTGTGAGTATACCAACGTGCTATACAACGACCAGCAATTATGATGTACATATCTACGTATATCTTGGTGATCAGTACGCTTGACGAGATGACAGTGTAGCGAGAATGTTACTATTATGTGAAGGCCCATGCCCGTGCTACGTTTTGTTCGGATGATTTTCGGGTCAATCAGCGCCTATCAGCGCCCGCCTAAGGGTTCGATCTGAGATTATTGACATATGCATGTCACCCGTGGTTACACATCAAAGGGTCCCTATACGGTACTGTGATGGTAAGTACGTATCCCTTCGTATCAGTTCCTACATATCGCTGGCGGTGGGCAACCTTGGGCAACACATGACACGGTTAGCTGTTATCATGAGCCTGCTGCCTGCGTGTCATCCAACTCAACTTTCCGTTTTCCGCTGACTCCATATTAGCCCATGATACAGTGTCACCGGTAAAACCAGACTTTCGGCTTCTTCGGGAGAGAACGTCACGGATCACAGGCTAGCACAGCCTGAGGCAGAACGTTGACATGTCTGATCGGAAGTCGATCCTTAAAAATGTTTTCTGCGAAAAACATGATTTGCTTGTTTGACAACACGGTGGGATCCTTGGTATGTGAACAGAATTATGTATATGACTGCACACAGCGATTTAAATGAGGCATGCAGGACCCTGCATTACAGCGTTTTTAAGCCCGGAACCGTCCGCGACTTCGCGTACTTTTTCTATCGAGAGACGTAGAATGTTATTTTTTTGCGAAAAAGGTTAGTTCTCATGTTGATCATTTGTTCCGAACTGCATAGCAACTCCCGGTGCCGCAACTTTTTTGTTCAGCCGCGCCTACCCAAACATTCACATCGGTTTGTTTCAGAGACCGGATAAGAAGCTGAGTGCAACTGCCAGCACACTAGATCGTGATGCGACTTCTTCGGGTGCAGAAAGTAAGCTTTGCTTGCTTGGCAGACAGCGTACAAACATGCGTATCTCCCCGCCAATGGTAGCAGTTCCTGGGACCCATCAAAGATTCAACTCAGCCAGCTACCCGAATCCGACAGATCTTATCATTCCAAACTAGTCATCATTGCAGGCAGGATTACAGCATACGGACATGACCCTACCCAAAGATTCCGCTCGTTTGGAGCGCTAGTACCATCAAACTTTATACTGCTCTGGGCACGGTGTTCAAGTTTGTCTTGCTGGTTCAAACTTGCTCAAGAGGAACGTCAAATTTTGTGGATGCGTACGTCGCAGCCCGGAAGTAGACATCTCCCCCAACTACGGTTCCTTGGTTGGTACCCCGATCCGGTGAGTTCCCTTATTTTGGCTTTGATTCGTACCTTCCTCTCTCCTTCCTTGCGTGAATCTTCCTGCGCGACCCATCATTCTCCTTCCTGACTTGCCTTTTGAGTAGGCTGCGTGATCGTCTGATCTGGCGTACGATTGGCCTGCCACCTCTCCGACCTTTTCTGGCTATCTTGTCCTTACAAGGGCGTCTTATTCAACTCAACAACTTGACATACGGGCAATCGATCTCCGGTTTTTGCGACTGCACCAAAAGCCGCTCAAATAAACAAGTAAAAGGGATAACTTCCTTGCTACGATCGTCTGCTTTTTGCTTCCTACCTCTGCTGCTGAACTTGGAAACTGAGTACGAAACCTGTACTCCAGAGCGCATTTTGTGCGTTCGTCCCTGGATGCCCATGGCACGTGCAGGATATGTTGGCCAGGATGAGCTGCCCAGGCATCCTTTACACTGCGAAAATCCTCATGCTGCGTCAGATTGTTCGCCTTCTCCCGTTAGTTCGTCAGCTCAGTCTCCGGTCAATACTGGGGCTGTCCGACCCAGCTCCGCGTCGTTATCGGACAGCAACGAGGCAGATTCTAGCAAAGTCCCATCTTCTGGTCCACAGAGGTCAAAGTCCATCAGCGGCGTAGGTGCCAAGTGGGAAAGAGAGAAGCGGAAGCGTTCACGTGTCACTCCAGAACAACTTATCCATTTGGAGCGCTTCTTTTCCATGGACAGAAGTCCCACTGCAGCGAGGAGGAAAGAAATCAGTGATTTGTTGGGCATGCAGGAACGACAAACACAAATATGGTTCCAAAACAGGTCCGTAAATTCTCTGTAGCACGCAAGCACTGCTGATAACGGTCCTTCAGACGCGCAAAGGCCAAACTGCAAGATGGCAAGAAGGGCCGAGGGGACGGCGCTGAAACCCCACCGGATACACCTCCAGAATTGGCGACCGGATATGAAGCAGAGCTACATAGCCTCATACATGAAGACGAACGTAAGTCGCCAAACTTTTGGAGCTTGGTTTCTTTACTTATACCGTCTTTGCTACCAGCTGTAACTATCATTCCGTGCAATGATTTGTCTATAGGGACGTGGCGTCGTATTGCAACCGCTGTAGGGAAGCACGATCTTGTGGCTTACCTGTGTGACGGCAAGCGGTGCTTGACGTGGTTCATCCACTCAGCAGGCTATGGCTTTAAGATGGAAATTCCTTTCGATATTATCGTTCATACAGAATTTACAAACGCGGCGCCAGGGTCAGGACTCGCTTCATTTATCCTTTCACAACCGCCAACTTTTTACCTTGAGTCCTTCTCGAGCCCCGGGCCTACTCGGCAGTGGAAAAAATGTGCGGATTGGACGGAAGGACAACAAGCCACTAAGATCCTGCGTCATGACCTGATAGGTTCAGCGGTACAACTTGCACACCTTCTGCGTCATCTGAACGCCCATGCTTCTGGGTCGGATATTCGTCTTCATTCACCATCCTATTACTCTCAGGAGCCACCGCCACCTCTCATGGAGGTCCCCCAACCTCCCATGGCAATTTTAACAGGGCCTGCATACCCCTACGGTGGAGATGCCAGCGACTCTAGAAGGGCAGAAGGTCCTGTCCACATAAGGAGAAGGTCTTTTTCAGGTGGCACCATGCAATTGAGTCATCTGCATCGCCCTGGTCATCAGTCTCTCGCTGTGGACCTGCCTGTCAACCCAACCCCAGGGCCACACTCAGCCCCGTACGCTTCATCATCCTTCTCACCATATTCTAGTCGTAATCATCCATCCATTCACTTATCATCTCATTCACCGATGTTCTCGGAATACGCGAACTCCGTGTCATCGCACAGTGCATCGCAACAATCTCAATCCCCAGTCGACTACGGTTCAACAGATACCCATAGTATCCCCCCGCATTCCTATTCATCCGCACCGGTGCATCATATGTATGATGGAACTATGTCGATGGCTTCTCCATATTCTAACAATGGACCAACCCCTAGTTCCTCTACCCAGACGCCATTCGTTTCCCCTTCACCGCCGTTGTTGACAACTCCATTTTATCCTCCCACAAATGACTACAGCACACGGGGCTGAGCCTCATTAACTCGCAATACCTGGTTTACCATATGAATCTGAGAGGAACCTTTTGATCAAAAATTGTAACCCCCTGGACCTTTGCGCTACTTCGCACGGGTCGCCCAATAATGTTTTGCCTTCATTCGCGGTACAAACTTCATTCACCTTCGCTTCGCAAGTTGATTTTTAACATTTTAATACCCTACACTGCTTCGCTTCCACATCTTTAGTACGGGGTCCGACATTCCACGCTCCACGGGAAGCATATCTTCCTTCACCGAATGCTGGTATACATCATTATTTAATATCTTACTTGTAACCACAAAGACACCTTTTCGCACACCATAGCTTGCACAGTAGATGGTAATAAATCCTCCATGCAGCCTCGTGGTTTCAGGGTCAAGAATGGAGCCGTCTTGATAACACGCAGGTGAGATTGATGAACGACTAGCATGAAAGTATGATTAATGGAATGGGGTGGTATGGATACAATATGCCGACTATATCTGATTAAGTTGCCGCTGCTCCCGTTCCCTGCTTAAGCGGGCACTGTAGGTTTTACTAATCATGTTGACTGCGAGACTGTGAGCAGCTGCATGACAGGGTATCTTGGCCAGAGACTCACATGTTTCCAGGTAACGTTCGAGACATCGAGACAGGCATGTCTAGATAATGTCAGCATCTTCCTTTGCAAACTCGATGGGTACACCCACCTCCTCTGAGCTAGACAAGGAGGTCCCAGGCTTCGTTACGCACTTAGCGAAGCATTTTTCGTTCGTTTTCTAAAAGCCTTTGTTACTGTGAGCACTAGTAGCGATAGCAGGGACCGCACGTTTATAAGCTCCTGCGCACTGGCTAGGGCAATCTCGGAGCGCACACCATTCATCACGGCTTCCTTTTTTGCAGTCATGTCTACAAATGATGGCATGTGCTGAGTAGCAGTCGGAATTGCATAATTGAGCGTCGCATACCTGACGGAAGTACTAGACGACGACGACGATTTGAAGAAGTCGGACATGTTGCAAACAACGAGGAGCCGGTGGTATAGCTCTTAGAAGTTAGAACGGCTTGGTTGCGAAAATCCTCTAGTACGACGGTTCTGTTCTGTGTGACTTCGGGAGCAATTACAAACTCCAATTGGTTACGGCACGGAATTTGCGGGACCTGCATTGGCCCGTACTGTGATCGCAGAAATACTAACAGCAGTTTAATACGTTCATGGGTGCACGCGAATCCACCGGACGCAACACCGAATCTGAAGATGCAGTTCCCGACTACTATGAGCTGCTGGGTGTCGAGGAATCAGCAAACAGCGACGAGATCAAGGTATGATATGGCTCATATTAACTTATCAAGTGCCTGTGGTCTGATTGTCCCCAAGAAAGCATTTCGAAGATTAGCCCTTGTTCATCATCCCGACAAGAACAAAGATGATGTCGAAGGTGCTACCAAAAGATTCGCCGCTATTCAGCAAGCATATGAGGTGCGAATTCTAACCCCAAAGGATACGAGTCGAAAGCTCATCGCATGTCGGATCGATAGGTATTGAGTGATGACCAGGTTAGTACCTGTTATTTATGCATTCCTTTATATCGCTCTTGACTGTACTGTGCAAGTAGGAAAGAGCCTGGTATGACTCTCACAAAGCATCTCTTGCACCAGAACCTGATGCAGAGGCCGTCTTCGAGGACATTCGAAAAGGCGCCCCACCTCCCCGTGCCCGTGATAGGGGCCTGACCGTCAGACATCTCGCTCGATTTTTTGATGCTACCGTCTGGTCAGGCCTTGACGACAGCGAGAATGTGCGTTCCATGTATAATGCGTTGCCCCCATAACCGCAATAATATATACGCTATGATCACTGCTTATACTCACCACCACCAGGGCTTCTTCACAATATACCGCAATCTCTTTACACGCTTGGCACAGGAAGAGAACCTCATCTCTCAGATCGAGTATCCCATCTTTGGAGATGCCTCCTGGCCTTGGTCCATACCCAAATCAACAAATGAGCCCGCCGCACGCAATTTCTATAATGCGTGGATGAACTTTGCGACTCTCAAGGATTTCGTATGGATGGAACAGTGGAACCTTGCGGAGGCACCCGATCGCCGAGTGCGACGGTGAGTGATGGCGTCTTGTCGCATTATGTGTCTGAGTATTTTCCAGGCTCATGGAGAGAGACAACAAAAAGGCCAGGGATGAGGCGAGAAAGGATTATAATGAGACTATCAGAGTAATTGTTTACAGTTACATCTTACTTGAAAAAGCTCTAAATATTGGTGCGCAGCAACTGGCTACTTTTATTCGCAAACGGGACCCGCGATACATCGCTCATCTCGCTGCACAATCTCAAGCCAACAAAATCTTATCCCAAGCCAAAGCCCCCACATCTGGGTCCTCCACACCACGCCCCCAGCCCGCCAAGCCTTATGTAGAGCAAGCCTGGCAAAGAGCAGGCGGTATGGATTATGATGCTGATGCTGACCTCGAGTGGGCGGCAGGTGAAGGCAATGCAGAAGAATGGGAGTGTGTCGCATGCGGGAAGACGTTTCGTAGCGAAGCCGCATGGGACAGCCACGAGCGTAGCAAGAAACACATGCGTGAGATCGAGAGACTGAAAAGGGAGATGTGGCAAGAAGAAGAAGCACTCGGGCATGGTCCAGAGGAGGGAGAAAGCGACGAGAATGAGGTGGATAGAGACTTCGATAGCGAGTTCGTTCCTCCACCCCCACCAACGCCTCCAGAGCCGGTACTCGAAAATGGAGACGCTGATGAAATCGGTTTACCCCCAGAGGGACTCCCTGCTGAAGAAGACCAACTCGCACATAAAAAAGATAAAAAGAAAAAGATCAAGCCCCAAACAAGACCTTCGAACGATGCGCCAGCACCGTCCATCACACCACCAGAAAGCAGGGATGGTTTTCAGGATATAACGTCTTCCCAGCCCGAGCTGTCAAAGCGGGAAAGACGAAAACTCCGAGAAGCAAAGAAAGCAGCCAATGTTGTCAAGGCAGAGCACAGCATGGTCTGCACTTCTCCCTCCCGCAATTATTCTGCTGTATTGACATACTTATAGGTTTGCAACGTGTGCAAATCACCCTTTGAGAGCCGCACGAAGTTATTTACACACATCCGAGAAACAGGACATGCGCTTGCTGAATCCGAAGAACCAGCGCGAGGGAAGAAAGGGCGCAAGGGGCGATAGTAGTTGGGTTGATGATAAAGATCGCCAGAGTATACCAGATAGAACATGGGTCACCGGAACGCATAGCATTTCGACACCGTAGAACTTGCACTGGGATGTGCTAAGCCATGAATGGCATGAACCGCATAGATATACAATCAGCTTGAAAAAATGTCCAGTACAAATGATAAACACACACAAACGCCCTACTAGAGCAGCATAAACACGACTATCCCATAAGCTGTGAAACGTCCTCTGGTGGGTATTTCGTCTGAGAGAACGTCAAGAGCCTGTGAGGGTGTATCAGCTAAGTTGACACTTGGAATGAAGCAAGAGTGGAAAAGAAAGATACAAAAGAATCAAGACCAACCGTTTGAGGCTCTGTATATATTTCCTGCTGACTTCGTCATTCAGCACATGCGCAACCTGGTCCGTGGAGATCTTTTCGCGTGCGGAACGTTCATGGATACTAGTAAATCGTTCGAATGAGACGAGCGTGATGAGAATGGAGGATAAATACGCACCCCACCATCGTAACACCAATCGGCCATGGCGCATTACCAATGGACAGACGAAGGTACGAGTCGTTCGCTCTTTGGTATTGCCGCTTTTGCATGTAATATACTATTTCAGCTATCCGCACAAGCATGTCCGGCGGTAGATTCTAAGATTATCGAGTGTCAGCTTGATGGCTCCACTTTTAACATAAAGAAAGAAAGTCTGTGATAACAGCAAACAACGTGTATGTAGGAAAATTGGACAAGCGGCAGAGAGCAAATTCAATGCTATATGCAAAGACAAGAATTGAAATGATCGAGAGAAGTGGAAGGGCAGACTCACTCGTGAACGAAGTGTCTTAAACAGTGGCTTTAGATACTCGGCAGACTGAACTTGCGTTGCTGCAGCCAATTTTCCCTGATGAGTCCGCTTGACGTTTTCTGTATCTCCTGTTAGACATATAGAGTTAACACTTGTGCAAGGCATACCTGGTCGTTCATCCATTGCCTCTTCCCATTCCTTGAGCGTCCGCTTGAGTGCATAGTATATGACGGGGTACAATTTGTCCGGATCTGTCTTTAGCAGCCCCAAATCCACCATGGCTACACTCCCGGCGCTATTGTTCACTTCTCCGTCATCCTTCTTCTTCCCCTTGTCGTTTTTGGCTCTCAGCTCCCTCTCGACGCTCTCGACATCCTCCAGTGCCTTCCTGAAGTCGTTCGTGCCAGCTTTTTCATGACCACGCTCTTCAATGAGTTCGAGAGCACGCAATCGCAGGCGCCGGTCACGGTCGCTTTCACCAAAAAGTCGGATCGGCTGGCCTTTGGCTCGCAGTCGGCGGATGGCCTCATTGTTTGGAATGTTGAATGCACTCTCTAAGATTGTCGAGTCTGGGTCCCGGCTTTCCGGTAAAGGGGTGTTAGAAGTGGAGCGCGAGGAAGTGTCGGCCTGCTCTCCAGCCCATAAATCTACTAGCAGCGAAGATGACGAGATGAGCTGACCGTTTTCTTCTGCCTGCTTCTCACTAGTGCAGCGTCCATCTCTGCCACGCGCTCCGCCGCCCTTTCTTTTTCTTTCTCCTCCCGTGCTCGCCGTTCTTCTTCATCTTTCAGGCGCTCAAGTTCACCGCGACGCACGTACTTAGACGGACGCGTTTCGGCGTCATTCTGCACGGCTTTGCGCTTGAGTGCAATTTCAGCTTTGAGAGCGTCCATGACGATATTTAAATACGAATTAAGTGTCTGTGCAGTTGTGTCACGGTAAAGGATGATATGCTGACTAATCGACATACTCCGTCCAAACCCGACCTCTTGAAGTTTCTAAGACCGCATCAACATCCATCACACAAAAATGTCTGACTCTGAGGCTGTTGATCTGTCGAGGTCCGTCTGCACTATCTTTGTCGGTCTTACTTTCAGCTCACAGAATATTAGCAAATACGTCCTCCAAACCGCTGGCTTTGACGGTGCGTCTTACTCTTCCTTGCTACATGTTTTACACCAACTAACTCGATACAGCTCGCTTTCCGAACACCAACCAGACGCGTCACTGGTGAGCAGCGACTTATTTCGAACGTGTAGCGTGTGTTCTGATAGTGTCACATTACAACAGCTTCCAGAACTACACGGACTACTTCAAGTGCGTCACCGCCAAAGGTGAAGACTTCGCACCATGCAAACAATTTAAGCGTGCCTACAACTCATTGTGTCCTAGTATGTTCCCTTTCTATCTCGTTATATTAAGCTTTCTGATTGTTGTTCCTTTAGATGAATGGGTAGGTGTTCAATATCATGGTACAAGCCTGGTTCCTTATTCATGCTGTCATGTCCAGATAGCGAAGTGGGACGAACAAAGGGAGAACGGAACATTCCCTGCGTCACTCGAGCCTTGATATAGATAGTCGATGGGCTCTTGCTCCTTTTTATTCAATGATAGACTCGACTTGCTTGAGCGAATGTCTGCGAACCTTTCTACGCTGCTTTTACATTTCCAGGCTTTCGGAATAGTTTTCACTGTGACTGATTTGCGATTGACAAACTCCAGCTGTAAGGCCTTCTTGGCAAATGGAATTGAAGTTCTGAGCAAGTTCTGAGCCTGACTCTGACACTTAAACAACAAGTTCTCAATCCGACGCCTCCGTACAAGACGCATTATGGACATACATGGAACAGGTTGGTGGCACGTGAGATCATGATCATGCCAATCAACTTAGGACTTACGTGCATGTCCACACCAAACGATGGACGGGATCAACCTCAACGCTCTGAGCGAGAATGCAACGCGGCTTGGGATGAGGATTCAAGAGACAATAGCTGAGCACACCCGGGATTTGTCGTTGACACGGGGCGGGAGCTCATTGTTTGACATGGCGGACGACAAGGCGAAGAATATAACAAAGCAGCTCGAATCAAGCAGCGACCGTGAAAAGCTGGACGCCATGAAACGTTTGATCGCGGTTTGTGCCAGTCAGTGTAACATCTGTATAGAAATTATAACATTGCTTGTCCTCAGCTCATCTCAAAGAACCGGCCAGTCTCCTCATATTTCCCTGCTGTAGTCAAGAATGTAGCCAGCCCGAACCTCGAGCTACGCAAGCTGGTGTACATCTACCTCCTTCGTTGTGCACCATCTGAACCTGATCTGGCATTGCTGTCGATCAATACTTTCCAGCGAGATCTCGCTGATTCGAGCCCTCTCATACGCGCTATGGCTCTTCGCGTGCTGAGCGGCATTCGTGTTCCTACCGTTGCTACCATTGTACTTATGGCTGTCCGAAAGTCTGCTGCAGACCCGAGCCCATACGTTCGTAAGGCTGCTGCGTTTGCCGTTATGAAGGTATACAAGTGAGCCTAACTTAGTTCAATATCCATTTCATGAATCACAAACTATGTATCAAGACTAGACCAGGCGCATCACCCAACTCTGCTCGATATTATGACGACTCTTCTGCGCGATCGTTCTCCGCTTTCACTTGGGACTGCTGTTCTTGCTCTCGAAACCATTGCGCCATCTCGCCTTGACCTTCTCCACGTGCATTTTCGCCGCCTCTGCCGTGCCTTGCCGGATATTGACGCGTGGGGACAAGTCGACGTTCTCCGCGTACTCGTGCGATACGCGAGGACCATGTTACCCAAGCCCGTTCCCGCCAGCGAGAGGCAAGGGGAAGAGGTTGACAAAGATCTGAAGCTCCTGCTGGCCTGCGCAGAACCTCTCTTCATGAACAAGAACCCTGCCGTGCGCACATTAAACCACTTCCATCATGAAAACCATTCTGACTAAGTAATCAGGTTGTTCTTGCTGTTGCACGAGCCTTCTACTACCTTGCTCCTTCATCGATGCTCCCAAAGATTACCGCACCTCTCCTTCGCCTCCTCAGCGTGTCGCGCGAGGTTGAGCGTGTGACACTGGCTTACTTGCTCGTCGTCGCACGTTCGCATCCAGTACGTGTCTCCGCGAAGATATAGACTAAGAGCTAACGGTATTCATTGATTGATTATTACATTCTCCTTTCGACTTGACCTTGCTCAAATTGCATATCTACTACCCCTGTATCCATATTCAGGCTCTATTCATTACTTCACATAACCGCCTTTTTGTGCGCGTGGATGATGCAGAACAGGTGAAGCGGACAAAGATTTCGGCTCTCCTGGCATTGTGCACAGTTGACAATCACCAGGCATTACTGCGAGAGTTCGTGGTACGTTTAGTTCACCTATTTGGAGGTAGGGGTAGCTGATTGCAATTCCCTTTCTTCTCCAATACCCTTTGACACCGTACTTGGCATTTAATCGCGTGTCGTTATATTTATCCTTACTGTTAAACCCTCATCGGGTATATAGGACTATGCTCAAGACACAGACGACTCTGTTGTGGGAGATGCGATTCATGCCATTGGACGCATTGCCAGCCTCGTTCCCTTGTCTACGCCTCAATGCCTCACTGCCCTCATGGGAATGATCAACAGCAAGCAAGGTCGGTGCGATCTTTTGATCTCCTTGTAGTCCGAATTTACATGATTGCATAGATACCATCGTCTCAAACGCAGTCCTCGTCCTCAAGTCCCTCGTCCAAAATCAACTTCTCACACCTTCCTCTACCTCAACGACGACTCTCGCAACTTCCTTGTCATCGCAGCAAGCTCTCACGTCATCCATTCCCTCGCTGACACCATCAATCTCTACTTCATTATCAGCTGCACCCCTGTCCTTCACAAGCCCGGAGTCGACCTCTGTAGCCCAAGCTCCACTCTCCATTATTGCCCAGCTGGCCCGCCGCATTGACGACATCCGGCACCCCCACGCGCGAGCTTGCGTGCTGTGGCTCGTCGGTCAATACGGGTCGGTCCCAGGCACGGGAACAACAGTCGAAGGCGTAGCAGACTGGGCACCAGATGTACTGCGCAAGGCAGCGAGGAGCTTCAACACTGAGGTGTGTTTCAACGCACTTCATAATCCCCCCGCTCATGATAACTCCTACCAGGCTTCCCTAGTCAAACTTCAGACCCTCACTCTTGCTGCGAAACTGATACTGCTCGCGCCTACGCACCGTACACTTGCCCTGCTGGCACAGCATGTTCTCACACTGGCTCGGTACGATGAAGACTGGGACGTGCGTGACCGCGCGAGGATGTTGAGGGCACTTCTTGTTGGTGTAGTTGCGGGTGTCACGAGTAGTAATGATGAGGAAGGCATCGAGGAAAATTGGAACAGGGAAGAGCAGGCAGGAAGGCCGGGTGTGGTATTGAGAAGGGAACAAGTGATACGAGTGTTGTTCGAGGGAAAGACTGGGACGATTGAAGAAGAGCCAGTGACTGGTGAGTGTGTTTGTGAGTTCTGATTTTGTCGACGAAAGACTCGTTTACGATTGTGACCTTCATTCATCTTTCTCTACTTTCCCATCACGTTCCACTGAACCCAGTCCTCTGCAGACACTCGTCCACTCGGAACGCTTTCCCTCGTGATGGAGAGTGAAAGTCTACATCTGCATGATGACGACGATGACGAGACTGTGATAGATCTCCCCGAGTGGCTGGAACAGGGAATTGACCCCGCGTTGCGCGATAGCGATGATGACACACCCCAAGTTGCCTTGTCGTCGGTGGCTCAAGCGATTTCATCCCATGGAATCTCGTCTCAACGTGTGCCCACGCCTGCGGGTTCGACACCAATCGTGCTCACGCCCACAGGGGGATCGACACCAAAGGATACGAAGGACTGGAGGGATTTGAACAAGTTCTATGCAAGTGAGAGCGAGTCTGAGGAAGAGGAGGAGGGAGTGGAAGAGGGCAGTGGAATTGACGAGGATAGTGATGAGGATGAGGAGACTTCGGAGGATGAGGAAGATGAGGAAGGAGTTGCAGAACACGATCCTGGTCCGAGTCACGAAAAATCACCGTAGCTGATTATCATTGGACCTTACTTGGGACTCACAACTCGTGCTTAGAACTTCAATGCATGTGCCTCGAGGCGCCCGATGACTATCAACTTTCCGCCAACCCATGCCTGAACCATGCCCCACGACAGTAAAGCCAAGACATCTTATACGATTCTTTTTTGAATGAAAGCATACAATTTACGGCGCGGAGAAATGTGTCAGACGGTAATGCCTTCTCATACAGCATACATACAGTGTAGCAAAGATACCTAAGCCGAGATGGTGACTTCAACCTCGACACCAGGCTCCAAGCTGATAGAAGTCTAATCAAAGAATGAGGAACCGGTGATGCAACCAAAAAATTCAGACTCACAATCTGCTTGACGACTTCGCTGGAGGAGTGCAGATCAATGAGACGTTTGTGCACCTTGAGCTCGTAGCGGTCCCAGGTCTTCGAACCCTCACCGCAAGGCTAAAGAACGCAAGAGTCAATGAAATGCAGGTATATCATAAAGCTGGGATACTGACAGTCTTACGGGTTGTGATCTTAAGGACCTTGGTGGGGAGGCGGACAGGGCCCTTGACACGGAGCTGCTTGTCCTTTGCACGGTTGATGAGGTCGGCGGAGACTATATTTGATGGTTGAGTAGGTGTTTGTGATAAACTGAAGTGCACAAACATTTTTCCAAGTTCTTGACGTTGCTGCTCGTCAAGGTAATCCGAATTTTATGAATTTTGGCAGCAGGAACTGCGCCTGCTGCGTCGTACTCCTTGTCCTTAGCGACGTAACTCATTCTGGGCTATTTTTTGAATAAGTCAGAGGTGACTAAACAGATGATTAGCAGCTTGAAAGTGAACGATACTCAAGATATGCGCACCTAAGGTTTGTGTGTTGATGAGAGAGATAATTAAGGTTTACTAAGATTGTTCATGTATCGGCAAACTCCGGCAGTTCCCATTAGGCTTCCTGTCCGAAACAGTCATGCAAGGCAAGTTGTTAGATCTGTAGTTAGGTGTTAGCGCACGACGGATCGTCAACTAATCCTGCTCTCTTTCCAGGATTTAACAAGTATTATCCGCCAGATTACGACCCAGATAAACACCAGAGCTTAAATGCGTACAGAGGTATGCACAATCAATTGCCTGCGTATTGTTTCTCATGGTTCGTAGGCAAACATGCGCTCGGTGACAGGGCACGTAAACTCGACAAGGGCATACTCATAACCCGTTTCGAGCTTCCTTTCAACATCTGGTGGTATGCATAATAATCATAGCATCTAGAAACAGCGATTTCTTAAGTCTTTAGTGGAACATGCAACAACCACATTGGCATGGGCGTCCGGTATAATGCGGAGAAGAAGAAAGTTGGTGCCTACTATTCTACTCCGATCTACTCGTTCCGCTGCAAATGTCATCTCTGCGATGGCTGGTTTGAGATCCAGACCGACCCGAAGGTGAGCCGAGCGTGGTTGGCCTTATTTTATAATGTTAATATTATACAGAACACTCGCTACGTCGTGGTATCAGGCGCCCGTCAGAAGGACGAAGATTGGGACCCAGAGGAGAACGGCGGCTTTGCTATTCACGGTATGTATCGACTTGCATATCCTTGATCATTATCTTACAAAGGTTGCAGATACCGAAGGAAAAGCTGGTCCCGCGGATCCCCTTGCAGCGCTCGAGAAAACCACCGATGCCCAAAATCATGTCGCTAAGGTGCAAATACCACGGATTGAGGCCTTGCAGGGTGTTTCAGATCACTATAATAACGATCCTTACACACTTTCATCTATGGTGCGCAAGCGTTTTCGTGCAGAGAAGAAGATCGAGGCACAGAAACGCGCCTGATGACGATACGATCAAAGGCAAATACGGCTTACCGGAGGAGTTAAAACTCGTTGAAGATGATGCGGAGGCCAAGCATCAGGCACGGGACGAATGGGCGAGGGCTAGAATGGATTATGAAGCAGAGAGAAATAGTAAGAGACCTCGCTTATCAATACCATCCTCATCTGGTTCCAATTCTCGGCCGACATTGGACACCGTATCTTCTCTGAAGGCTCGCATCCTTGACAATACTAGGCGGTCAAGTACGCTTGCAAGCAAAAGGAAACCCCCTGATCGAAAAGTACTTCTCAAGTAGATACGATAACATTGATAACGGACCGTTGTACACTACGTTCACACAAAATTCATTATACTACTGCTGTCTAGATCAGCAGCTCATTAATTTCTATGTTTCGATGATTTCGGAGCAAGATACGATAGCAAATCAGAACAACATTAAGAAATACAGAGTGAGTGAGACACGAAACCAAGATACTAGTAGTATGGATGACAGGACGTAGAGTTGACAAGTCTGATCAGTGTAACGGAGGGCATCACGGACGAGCGAGTATATCCAGCATATAAAAGAAAAAGAAGATTCATAAATAAGCAACAAAACAAACCAGGATTCCGCCCTATAATTCCTATTATGAAGTTTGGTAAATTGCCCACGGTTGGTCAAGTGTGGTCATAGGACCGTCCCATTTCCAATCTGATGATTGGTAGTAGGCGGACTCGCCGCCGTCGATCTCTTTGAATGCCCCCATATGAAGGAGATCGAGTTGGTTGCTTTCCCTGGGATCCTCGATCTTAGCTTTGCCGGGGGATGAGGCACCCTGTGACTGATCAGCATCCGGGTTGGACTGCGGGCTAGGGTTCGTGGATGATGATGGTACAAGGTCGGGAGTAGGAGCTTTCGAGTCTTCCTCGTCTTCAAGAGTAGTGAAACGACTATAATCAATAAACTCGTGGAACTCCAAAAACGCATCGTTAGGGGCCGCTGGAGGTGAGAGTTCCGAAGGTGGTCCACCGATGCTTGAGGCGAAAGCAGAGGTCGTGATATGTGTTGGATCTTGGGCTGCGCCTTGCAAAATCCGGTCGAGAGTGTGAGCGATGTCGTCGTACACGCCGGCGTCTGTCGAGGCAGTCATGGCGACTAGCTCCTTCATCTTATCCATGAAAGCGTTTGCGTCCTCGTCCGTATTGATATTTTCAACTTCCTGGTGCTTCTTGGTGAGTTCCTCGCTAGGCTCCCCCTCCCAATCTTCTGTCTTCACCTTCTTGGGAGATGGTGCGCCCATAGACTCGGGCTGGGTAGAGGGGCCCGCAGGAATAGAAACATCCTCGTCGGCTTGGCGCTTTACACCAGGGCTAAATGCAGCTGGGGTTTCAGACGGAGATGCAGTGGGCTGCTTGGTAACACGCTGGACCTTCACCTTTGGCGGTTTAGACTTGGGAGACTTTGGAGTTTGTGGGGAAGTGGGCGCTAGAGGAGTGGGAGCAGTGGAAGCCGTAGTCGCAGGTGGTGGAGTAGGTGACGGCATCGCATTTGTTGTGGCAATAGCCGCGGAGGTACTTGGGGGCACGCGCACAAGAGGTTTCTTGATGGGTTGGGGTGGCTGGGGATGCGAAAGCGGGTGGGACTGGTTTGCGGAAGGATGGCGACTTATAGCAGGGGGAGGTTGGAGGGTTTGAGAAGGCGTGGGCTGTGACGGGAGAGGAAGTGGGGGCGGTTGATTTATATGAGAACCACTATGTCCACCCGTTTGCTGCGATGCAAGAACGGCTTTCATCATTTGACACCTTTGTTCGAAATCCTCGTTTGCCTTTTGTACTTGGCTATACATGCTCTTTAGAGTATGAAGACCGATTATGACTTGTGGTGACCCCGCTGCAAAACGATTCCTTTGATGTGCCACTGTTAACACCTGGAAAGAAAATGCACTTAACGCGACAAAATGCAGACACACGCAAAGAGCGCTTACGATTGTCACGAGCCTGCGAATCATATCTTCCGATCTCAGAACAATCCAGTACATTGGTAGTCTTGTGTCAAGCTCCCGAGTCATTTTCTGAACCTGATCCATTAGCTGGTTGTACTCCATTCGCCGGTCATCTGGCACTGTGACCAGTGGCATTACTTGTAGTCCTGCAAAAAAGGTTAGAATATGGGACGAGAATATGGATGTGACGACCTACGGGCTGAGAAGAGTTGTTTAGTCTGTTGGATTACGGACATTGCATGTGCGATCTGCTCCTGACTTGGTGGTAAAATTCCTCCCGACTGAACGGGCTTCATCTCCGTCATCGGTGATGGTTGTATCCCATTGAGAATCATAGGTGGTTGTCCTCGTGGCGCGGGTACCACGCTAGGACCAGCGTTTGACACCTGGTTCGGGAAGCCTCCTTGGTGTGCGACGGACATACCCGACTGCTCACCGGGCGCCTCATGATTGGTCACTTGCTGACTGGACTTCGTGGCCATCAACCGACTCTGCTGGTGCCAACGCACTATGTCCGAACGGTGCCGGTCGATCAATACGACCATCTGCTCTGATAAGCCATTTGCACGCATCTCACTAACGCTCATATTGACGAAACGCACAGCACTTGCCATGGCTTGTGGATTGAGAGGAGGGCGCATAACGGAGTGGGCCATTTCCCCTGAGGCGCTTCCAGGAGCATTGTTCTGAGCGCTGTTCTGTGACAAATTGTTTTTTGCAGCGCGAGATCTAACGGTGAGGACGAGCATGGTCTCGAAAGCCTGCAAGTGCTCTTTGTATGCATGAGCGAGCTGCTGTGCAATACCAGGACCACTCTTAGCTGGCTCAGTATCCGTGCCTGGAAACTGTATAAGACCCATGCGACCCCCTATGATCGCCCAGTAATCACGTTGAGTGACCTAAGTCGTGACTAGTGAGTATGCTTCGAACGTTGCAAGTTGTCGTGAGCTTACAAATTGAGCACCGCCTTCGCGAAAGACATGAACATGCAGGTTATGCAAGTCAACTGAACGATTATCGGGTAATAGAACGTGCATGCTAGGCTCCACGCGGTGGCTCTTGCAAAAGGACGTGTACATAGCCTCGAAGTGAGACTTGTCAAGATAGGGGACGCCGAGTGTCGATAAGTTGACCATTCTATTCGGGATCTGACCATTAGCGACGGACTGAGGATTGAATTGGGGACCCATGTTC